GCTTAGCAAGTTGTTTTTTTATGATACTCTGCTGAAATTATTGTAACACCTATGTACCAGTGTGTAACCTGACTAATTGGTTGATGTACTTCTCTCAGGATAGCAGGTACAGAGGAAGAAATTCTTCAGCCATGGATTGTGGTGAATCTGGTAGTGTCTATTCTAGTTGGGGCAAGTTGGATCTTCTTGTCTTACCGACCAGAGCTAGACCATAGTGAAGGTAGGAAATACTAATAGGCTAAATGTTGTTTATTCGGTCTTTTATCGGCTCTGCTCTGCATTGGGTGTTCAGGACTAGCAACTTTTAAAAGCAAGTGCTTCTTAGGATGCTGATGTCTGTGTGTGATCTTCTAAAGAAGCAGCAGTTATTAAAAAGGAAAGAAAAGCCTTGTTTCTCCTGGCTGATTTTTGAAACTTGAAAATATTTGTCTTTTCTTATTAGAAAGAAAATTAATTTTAACTTTAACAACAACAACAAAAAAGAATGTTTAAAATGTATTCATTCTGCTTCTGTTTTAGAAAATTCTCCAGTGTTACTAATGCTCCTTTTGCAAATGCTGAGTGCATTTTGAGTTCACCTGTATATTATTTTCAACAGAACAATGCAGTAGTTTTGGGAACTCCCAAGCTTTGAAAAGTAAAATTTGAACTTGCAGAACAGGGCATCAAATGAGGAGTACTTGTGGTCATGGTTGGAAGAGGGGGCAAGCAGGTCATCCCCTTTCTTAGAAGCAACTTTGCTACATGCTGAGCCTTCTTCCTTTTGTTGTTGGAGCTTGGATCCAAAAGGTGTATCATTACTAAGCTTTCCTATTAAATGCATGTAGCCTGTGACTTCAATTCGTGTTGTACACACAAATTTTAAGTATTAGCTGTAAGTCAACTCATACCAAAGAGCATCATGAGTTGAAGCACAAAATTTGTGTTTGGGAGGCCAAAGAAGATTAAACGTGTTTCTTCAGATTACTTTAGAATTCTAATTTACCAATTCTTTATTTCAGTTGGCCTCAGTTACTCCGCTTATTTCTATTAACTCAATGACATTTTTTTTTTTTAAACAACCGTGGTTGGCAGCCTTTACAATCATTGAACATAAACTTTTTAATAGATGTCTAAATTGTATTTTAAGCCATTTAAAAAATAATATAGGCTTATTCAAGGGTGGCAGTGGCAGGATTTAGTCCATTTTTTAATGAGATTTCAGATGTTTACAGGTGCCAACAAGGATTAGAAAATCTGCTTCAAAAATTTCAAAAGAAAAATTCTGTTAGGATTTTTTCCTATCAGAAATAGTAGAAAAATGTTAATCTCCTAAGGATGGCATAGTAAAAATAAGTGTGTGAATCTCACACTTGAGTAGATAAAACTGCACTGTTGCACGTGCAGATTTTTGTGTGATCTTACCTTATTGACAGGTTGTTGGCAAACACAACCTGGTCTATATGCTGAATGTGCTGTTAGCAAGCGAGAAAGTACACCCATGCTGAGGGTGCAGTACATGTGTAAAGGAACACAGAGAAGAGAAAACTCTGCCCTCAGCAGCATAAAACTCTGTAAGGACTACCCCATCAGCTGCTTAGCATGCCCAGCTGAACTTCTCAACAGTTCCTCACTGCTGACCTTAAGCAGTTTCCTGTGCCTGAACTACCTTGGTGACAACTAGCTGTGAGCAATATCATAAATCATACTTTCTGTCGTGGGTTCTAGTGTTGCAAACTTATGCTGGGATCCGCAGGGCGTTTACATCCATAAATGAATGGGCTCTAAACAGAGATCTTCCTTCCTAGTTCTGACACTCTGAACTTCAACAATCCCTCGGTCTACTTTCAGATATCTATTTAAGTGTCCAGGCTGAATGCAGGATGATATTTCCTATTATCAGCTGCTAATGTCGTCACCAATTCTGTTAATTACGGGGAGCAACAATAGTTTTCTACAGACAGTGGTAGCTCTTCCCATTACTGAGTTGCTGATATTATGACTGGGAAGAAAACCATGAGGCTTCAGGAAATTCCAGAGAAATTTTCTGGAACAATGAAATTATATCCAGGTAAAACTTCTTCAAGAAAAACAAATTCTTCTCTCTCTCTTTTAGAACTGATGTTTCATGCTGAAATCGAGGAATTTCCCCAGGGAGATATCATACCCAGAGTCCAGCCATAGTGTGGAGCACGCACCTTGCAGTTGTAACTAACTGATGGCTCAACACATGCTGTGTTGTAACCATTTATTATAACTTTCATAAAGCAAAAAATGTATTTTTGTATTGTATATAATTGATGGATCTTTTATGTATGCTACTTTTTAAATATCCAAATGTGACTGAAAACTTTTATACTTCTGTTTTTTGTTTTATAAAGTAGATTAGTACATAAAGTCAATGTGCTTTAGTAAATGTTGCTACCTAGACAGCCAAAGGAAATAGATGGAAATAGAAGATCCACTATTTAGTGCTTTTTTGACTGATACCTTCAACAACCCGTGTTTTGTTACTCATGCTGATAGCAGTTTGGGTTAAAGAAAGCTAAGAATTAACAACCATAGTAAAATAATACTTGGTTTTAATTGTCATAAAAAGTATTTTCTAGACCTAGGAGGTTGGATTGTCAGGGGTTTTGTTTGCTATTTCGTTAAAAGAGAACAATTTATTCATCTTCTTCATTTAGTTCTCTTGACAGAGATCCTGATAAAACCAGTTCTTTCGAGTTGATGTAGGTAAAGGAAACAAAAGTTTTTAATTTCACAGCATTTCAGTCAACTAATGAATACTTAGATACAGTAGGGTGTTTTTGGTTTGCCAACAAGATGTGTGTCCTGTAATGTCTTGATAGTCAAGATGCACAACAATTACAAAACTGATTTATCCTTATCTTGTATGGTACGAGCAATAGTGTTGTTCACAGGTCATTCTAAAGAAACTTGAATTTCACAGATGCTAAAAATATTACTACTTCTACCTGTTTTGCTAGAAAATGATTTCTCACCAAAGAATTTTTGTTGTTTTGTGTTGGGATGAAATTGGAAATTTCTCCTATACTAAAATTATTGGGTGATGTTATTAAAGCAAAGCAAGAACCCTCCAGCAACCAGTGTTCTGCGTAGCAATGTAGTGGTAATAGTGGCAGTTGGTGGTTTTTGATGATGACAGCCATTGTTCTTTTTCTTCAGTATTAAAGTGGCAAAATGAAAGCATTGAAGATGTGAATAAATACGGATATGCTATAGGATGAAATAGTCTCCTCAGTAGACATAGGCAAGAACTAGTTTGAAATCTATTTCCCAAGAAAATGTCACACAAAACTAGTTGTATATTTTATTTAATGTGTTGAGTTTTGCATTACTTTATTTAATGTGTGTCTAAGATTTTTTTATACCTGTTGGCTGTATTCTAGGGCATTCACTTTGTTGTGGGAAGGAGACATTAATTTTTTTTGTCAGTTGTTATGGTTCTTAAGTATTTTCGCAAAACTGTAGAGCTAAATTATAGCTGGCACTGCATTGTACATTAAAATGGAGAGATGGGTGCTGCTCCCTGCCACTGTAATACTGGAAGTTCTTGTTATTTGGCTGTAGGGGATAGGGAATGAGGCACTACTTAGTGATCCCATGTAGGTTTCCAACACGGTGTGAAATGAGCATCACAATTTCTTCAAATGTGGTGTTTACAGAATTACTGAGCTCCTGAAGATGAGATTAATAATGATTTTATTATTAATGTCTGTGCTGATTGATGTTTGTCATCTTGGCATGATAAAAAGTGTATTTTCCCCATAAAGCGTGTAGATTAGACACAACAGTGTTAAGGGATCAAATCAGTGTAGGAAAGAAATCACTGATTTAATTTCTGAAATTGTTATTAGGAATTGGCCTCCTAAGTATCCCTTGAACAAAGCAATGTTAGCTAGGAGCCAGATTTGTTTTCACTGTGAAGTATAATAGTTTGTTTAGATGGTTGAGCAGGGATTAAATTATTTAACTTAATGAGATCAATATTTCAAACCAGGCTTGCCTTTCCAGTTTATATTTTTTGGAAGACCCGAGTATAAACGTACATGAAAGAATGAGGTTTGAGGTTTGCCATCTAAAATTACACTTAAGTAAATAATTTGGTGGTTAATCACCTATTTTTCAAGGTACTTTTCATTCCATTAAGCCTCACAATGGAGTTTGAGTTTAACAGTGCTTCTTTGTTGTAGTTACTTGGAAAATTTTAGAACATTTTAAAGTTTACAGAATATGTATTTAATTACAGAACGTGCACTGTAGGAGCCTTAATTGAAATGCTTCTGTGCATTTCCATACCATTGTTTCTAATGGGGTATTTCTGTGTTGGGAAAAATGAAGAAATGTTAGTGCCAATTTCTTGTTTTTAAGTATCTAAAGCAAGTAAAGAACTGATCTAAACTCCTGTTAGAAATGATTGTACTACTATGTACTGTTTCCAAATGATTAGTTTGTTTAAAATAAATCAGTCTTTTTTTTCCTCAATGCTACATTATATATTGTATTAAAACTCTGAAGATATGATAGGGGAAAACATTTTTTTTCTTTAATTGTGGTGGTGATGATGTAAATAATGGTTTCCTTTTCTCTCCACCAGCCAGATTCCTGCTGTTGCACTGGTCTTTTGCACAGTCTGAAGCAGTGCAGTGAAATCCTGAGAACTAGCAAGTAGGTTGACTGATGTGTTAGTTTCTGAAATGTGAATTTAATCAGCTACTGGGGAGTACAAAGTGGGGAATCTGACTGCTGCCTTTAATCGGCCCGGCTCCTGCTTTTAGCGAGAGGCGAGAGCAGGCCCCTCGAGCCGAGGCCTTTGCGTCTCAAATGGCTTTTAAATATAAATCTGAAATTTGGAATTTTGACCTAAGAACGCATTGGAATTTAAAATTCGGTTAAGTTCCCGTTGCTTATTCCTTTACGTGTTACTGTCTCAACTTGCAGCCAGGCGGCGTTAGTTTGAGCAGTACCAAGAGCAGCCTCGCGGCTGTTGGGTACCGCTGAGGTGAACGCGGGAGCGTAACGGCAGGGGGCGACCCGCCAACGCCTAACGGTCGGTGGCGGTGGGGCCGCCATTTTGGGCTCTGCCTGAGGGAGGCGGTGGGGCTCCCTGGCGCTCTCCCAGTTGTCCTGCCAGCCCCGGGGAGCCATCGCTGGAGCCCCTCATCCCCGTGAGGTGCGGGCGGTGCCACAGCACGGTAGGAGCCGCCTCGACGGGCCGCGAGGAGAACCGATTGCTTACATTTGAGAACGATGAGTTCTGCAGGGACCTGTTTAAACTTAGCGTTCATTCCTTCATCCTATCACACATATTGGGGTAAGTTTAATTATTTTAATTACTAAATGCTATTCTGCTATGTAGTTATTACCTCAATTTTTTAGTGATTTATTTTCTAACCCCTTAAATTTCTTGTGCACTGCTGCGTCGAATAATTTTTTCATAGTATGCTTTGTACTAACTCTTTGGAATGCATTGTGTAGTACTGATTCACAGAGGAACTCTACAACTCAAAAGCAAATGAGTTACAAAGTAGATATGTGGTTTATTTTGGTGCTGGGCACATGCGGGACAGCTCCCAAAGGCACACGCAACACTTCGCTCACTCACGTTCTCTTTTATCCGCTAAAATATTATATATGCATTAAGTTTTACAATATCTATGTATATTAATTTCCTAGCTCTGCCCAGCCCCACTTTGTATAAATTGTATAAATTTGTATAAATTACCTAATTTTCAGTCCTTCTGCACTTGTGTAGTACGCTCCTGTGGTTGTCTGGGTGGTAGTCGGGATGAAGTATGATGTCTTCATGGGGGAAGCTTGGTGCCTAGGAGACCCAGGCTGTGCCATGACATTAGTCAGCTCAGTGTTTCCTGCTTCAGTTTCCCATTTTCCAAAGTGGGAATGATACTGATGACTTCACCTGGGAAGCTCTGGGAAGCCAGCTGCCACCAGCTGTGGGACAGAACAGCAGCGAAACTGAGTGAAGTACTCCTCTTTCCCAACTCAGGGAAGAGAGCAACCCTTCCCTCTCAGCACAGGCTTCTGTGCAGAGAGCACTTCAAAGGCAGTTGCTGGCACCCACAACAGAGGCCAGTTCACCAGAGACTTCGCAGTGCACTCTATCACAATGCTGGGCACAGGAGAAGCCCCAGATCCCACACTCCTCCTGCACAGAGCCAACCTGGGGGTGCAGGACAGGTGAGAAGACAAAAAAGACAAAGCCAGCCTTGCTCTACCCAGGACGAGAGAGAGTCTGTCTCGATTTGTAAAACAACACGGCTTGGCAGCTTTCTCTTTGCAGAACATCAGACTGGTCTGAAAAGGCACTTCAGTGCACATTCCACAAGGAAGAATATACCTGGCAAGAGCCTTTAAAAGTGTATTTTTAGAAGAGGGTCAACAGAAAGCAGAGACTCCATGGTACTATGGCAGCACTCTCCTCCCTGGCAGAGGCAGTGGTCTGTGTGTTAGGATAAGCACCAAGATCCTGTGCAGGAAGCACCCGTACCCCTGTGCAGCATGTGGTACCTACGGCAGGTCAGAGGCCATGGTGTGGGTTCAAGAGGACAAGGCTGCTTCCACAGTCTTCCCGGCCCCAGCCAACGGTCTGGATTGCAGCTGCTCAGCAAGAGGGCTGTTGGGATGCAGCCGGCAGAAACGCCCAAGTGTCCAAATGGGGAAGACATTGCAGTAGGCAGTGTAACTGATGGCACACGACTTGTTGAATACCCCAGCAATGTTCTCCTGAGAGACAGACAGACAGCAAGGTGGTGTGGGTGACAGGAGACCACAGGATGTCCAGGACACTGCTGAGCTCATCATGTTCCTGAATTTCCCACCAAAAGCCACACATGACTTCCCTTCCAGGTAAGGGAGAGCACTGATGCAGTGGCTGCATGATGCCCAGGACATGTACAACACTGGGGAAGCCCCTGGAGAGAGAAGAGGGAATCCACATACCTGAGGCCAGTCGCCGTTGGGCAGCTGCTTATTGATCAACAGTTGGATGCCCCTTTCCAGCACGTCAATGTCAGGGTACCTGCAGAGTACAAAGGAGATACAGTCAGTCACCTTAGTATCATCCGAACTGTCTGCATACCCCTACCCAAGTGGGAACTCAATCACCTCCAGTCTGCCCCAGACTTGACCAAGTCATGCAACTCCAGGGTACCAGGCAATACAAATACAGCAAGATTCTCAAGACCTCTGCTTTACCCTGGCTCTCCCTCGTCTGGCATCAACAGCCTCACTGGCTGGACCACAGCTTTGTTGGTCAGTCCCCCATTGCAGAGGTGTGTGACCAAGAAATGTGGTTGGGTGCATGGCCCACACTAGCAGGGCCCAGGGCCTGTGCTGGCCTTTCCACACAACTCAGATGGTATTTTCCATTTCACTGGACCATGTGGTATCAGGTGAAGGCCACTCTTACCTGACAGCCATGAGCCCCAGCAGGGCCCAACACGTGTTGTGGATCTGTGATGTGGCACTCTGCACATATCTGCGTTGCTCACATGACTCAAAGTCCTCTCCCCACCCACCATCTGTCATCTGCTTGGAGAGCAGGAACTGGCAGGCCTGGGCCACTTCTCTGCATGCCACCCTGCAAAGACAGACAATAAGACAGGGTTAGGTACAAAGGAGAGCTTGCATGTGTTTCCCAGACACAAATGGGAGCTGTGCTTCACCCTGCCCATAGCAGGTACTTTCCAAAGAGCTCAAGGCTCAGAAAGTAAGTGCTCTAATCCTACCAGATTTGGGAGGAGTGGTATCTTGGGCAGGAGTGCTCATGGGCAGACAGTGTGTCCTACCCAGACTCACCCTTTGATCTCACCCTACCCCAGAGACAAAGGCAGAGAAGCTGCCTAACCCCTACTCACCCATCACAGTATTTGTACTGCATACAGGCAAATGCCTCCAGACCAAACCAGGTGCCGTACGTGAAGCAAACTCCCCAGCTCCTAGGAGGGAGGGGAGACCAGTATTATCAAGGGTACTGGAACAGAGGCAGGTTGTGACACTGCTACATCCACAGCAAGAATAGAACCAGGCAGAACAGTAGCCTGCTTGCGCCTATGGCACAACCGTGCCCTGTACCACCAGCACCTGTTCCCAGATTGCTCAGGCATCAGCTGATGCACTGGGATGGGAAGAGTTGGAGCCACCCCAACCCCCAAGGGAGATCAGCATGTACATGCTTGTTCTTACACACCCTACCAGCCATGAATGCTGCCCACTGTGGCCCATCATGCTAGGACAGACAGGGGAGAACTGAGCAGTAGGAGCACGGCTTACCCTTCCCATGACCCATCAGCTCGTTGTTTCTTGCGACAGAAGTCCAGGCCCTTCTGTAGAGTGTTTCTGGACAAGAGAAAAACACCTGATGCAGAAGCAGCCCAAACCCTGTGGACTGCTTTGTAGAGACATTTGTCATCATCTCTGAGGATTTGATGGGTCCCATGATTAAAGGCTTGATTGGCAAGAGAAAGCAGACAGGCGGTGCCACACAGAATCTGAGTCAAACTATGCACCAGTGGGGCATTTTTCTGTTACGTGCCAGTATGCAAGCAGGGACCTAGCCTACAACTGGCTGCAAGATCAAGGCAACTGCTAAGTCAAGAAGGCAGCAGATGATCCACCAATTTCTCCCAGCATGATCCCAAACTGCCTGTGCCCTCTTCCTTGAGTGAGTCTGTGCGCTAGCACCTTGGGGGCACTCTCGTTTGGACATGTCACTGGCATCTCAGCCCTGAATGCACCAAGGGCCAATCCAGGGGCCGCTCCAGTCCAGTGCAGAGGCCAGGCAAGAACCCTGACAAGGCTCAGCAAGGACTGTGCCAGCAGAGGCCACTGCAGGCACTGTGGGTCATTGTGGCCTGTTTTTTCCCCTACTCAACTCCCCTCCCAGTGCCTCACCTGATCTCTGGGGCTCTGTGCTCAGGGTACGTCTCTTGGAAGTGTCTCAGTGCCTGCATGACAGCCGAGGTGCATTCCACGTAGGTGTAGTCGATCATGATGTCACCTGCCAGCAGGACAAGAATATCAGTGCAACAGTCCCTCTCCCGGGGAGCTCACCAAGACATGCTACCAACCTTTCCCAAAGACCCATGGCACATGTAGCCCACAGAAAGACACGGGGAAAAAACAGCCCCTTCACACTGGGCAGGATGACTGGGCCAATGCAGCTCCCCTTACCAAACACCTCTGAGGGGTTCAGCAACTCCAGCAAGTGACCTCCTCGCTTGGTTTCAGTATGTGGCAAAGCCTCCATCCGAGTTCCTCATGCTCAGCAACTGCACAGACAAGCAGAGTGAGGGGATGGGGCTGACTCACAGGCAGTACCACGAGTCAGGTCCCAAGTCAGTTGTGAGGACGAAGTCAAACTCACATGGGTTTAACCACATCTCAAACCACATTGACAGGCAGGTCCAATCCAGACCATTGCATTTCCCACTCTACTCTGCACTGGTGCAGCCTCACCTTGAGTACTATGCACAGTTTTGGGCCCCACAGTAAGAAAAAGGATGTAAAACTATTACAAATTGTCCAAAGGTGGGCTACAAAGATGGTGAAGGGTCTACATGGGAAGACATACAAGGAGTGGCTGAAGTCACTTGGTTTGTTCAGCCTCGAGAAGAGGGGAGGCCTCATGCGGCCTGCAGCTTCCTTGTGATGGGGAACAGCAGGGGAGGTGCTGATCTCCTCTCTGGTGACAACAATAGGACCCTACAAAATGGCGTGAACAGGGAGGTTCTGGTTGGATATCAGGAAAAGATTCTTCACTGAGAGGGTGGTTAGGCACTAGAACGGTCTCCCCAGGGAGGTGGCCATAGCACTAACCTGCTGGAGCTCAAAAAGCATTTGGACAATGCTCTTGGACATATTGTCTGATCTTTGTGTGGTCCTATGTGGAGTCAGATGGTAGACTCAATGATCCTTGTGGGTCCATTCTAACTTGGGATATTCTATGAGCCTATGACCACATTGGCCTTACAATGGCTTAGTAATACTAGATGTAGCCTTGACTTCTCTTATTTTACCTGGGTGTAGCTGCCTGCATTTACCCCATCCAAATTTTTGCAGCACTTACCACATTGACAGCATCAAAGAGGCGCTCAGGGGGAACAAGTTTGGCTATGAAGGGGCACTTCTCCTGCAGCAGCATAACTGACTTCAGCCCCTCTGCTGTGCAATCTGCCACAATCCAGCCACAGTCCCGCGTGCTGAAGGGGAAGCCACCCTGAAAAGGGGCAGAAGGACTCAGCGTCTTCTCCTGAACTTGCTGTTCTTGTGCAGGGGAAGGCACTGCTCCTCATTCACTCCATCCCCTCTGCCCAAATCTCAGCCCTGTGCATGCACCCTTTGTAGGCCAGCTCCAGCCACTGTACCTTGTTCATATGGCGGTAATATTTCTGGTAGTCAGGTGGATTCTCTGGAATCTGTGAAAACAAGAAACAAGTGAGGACAGGTTGAAGTTGCCCGCCTGCAGGGCTATAGACTGAAACCATCAAAGATACAGAGTCCTGTGGAACTGCACACCATTTATGCTTTACTGAGGAAGGCAGATGGGGAAAGAAGTCAGCTCTGGAGCAGAGAATGCTGAAGAGAAATCAAATTTTTGCCTGGTTTCAGCATGGCTAAAGCCCCCTCTTGGCTTCTTTCCTGGCAGTGAGACATCTATTTTTAGGGGTCCCATTGACAGCACCGTGAGTAAGACCTACAACTGCTTCTGCATGAAGCTGCTGGTGACCTCCCCACCTTGAGCCACTGGCCTGGCTAGCAGGAGCTTCTGCAGTCACTAGCAAAAAAGGCTGAGTTTCCCAGAAGGGCACCTCAAATACATGGGCACCAGAGAGGCTGAGCTCTGTTTTCCAGCCTCCCTTAGCCCAAGGCAGCCAACTCACACATCCCACAGGACCTCACAGCAAGGCCTGGGGCTGGCCAAGATCTTCTCCAAGCTGCAAAGCTTGCTCCCAGCAAGATGGCACAGCAAACAGGCAGCTGTTCCCAGGACTTTGCTAGTCTAGCCTTGAAGAAGAGCTCTTCAGAGGGAATGGAGGTATTCAGCTGGGCTCTCAGAAGAAGCTAAGTCTGCATAGCCAGCATGGCAGAGACACCACCATCTGGTTCTGCTCACCTGGGTGAACCTGAGAAAGTCATAGGCATTCTGAAGGCAGGACATGAATTCAGGTATCTTCTGGGCTTCCGCCTAGAAACAAAGCGCACAGTCAGCAAGGAGTTCTGGCCACCAAACGTGCCCCTCAGAAGGAAGAGGATATGCTGGGATCTTGCTGGCCTTGGTGCCATTAATGACTGCCCTTCATACTGCCAGGCTGGGGGCTTACCTGGGCAACCACAACACCCTCCAAAACACATGCCCACCATAGCTACCTCTGCCCTTCTGTAGGAAAGCAGGCCTGCCTGCTGTTTCTGACAGACAGAAATGCTCTGAGGCTATGCACAGCAAGGAGGAAGGGCCAGGGTTTTACCACAAGACTGCAGCAACAGGGACAACAGGGAAATCTAACCTGACCCATTCATGTGGCACTGTGACATCCCACTTGAAAAGCATCTGGCAAAGATGGGTTGTACCAGCTGTTCTGGAAAGCTTGCATGCCACAACCAAGAGGCTCTTTGAGAAGGAGCAGCTGCCTGATGCGGCTGTATGATGTGATGCCAGAATCTGTTTGGCAGAGATCTGGGCAGACGTGCAGTAGAAGCCCCTGGTATTTTAGAATACTGCCTTTTCCCAAGACAGCATGCAACACTCAGGGAAGTCTTACCTCCAGGAAGGCTTGGACAGCAAAGGCAGTATCCCACAGCTGGGATCCATTTGTACCCTGGAAGAAAGTGGATAGTTCCAACAACAGAGGAATGGCAAATGAGAAAGCTGCTTCAGCCTGCTCTGTGCACAGCAGTAACAGAAGAGGTGGCTAGCGATTTTGAGCAAAGGGACATGACAGCCGCCAGATAAGCACAGCTCAGTTCACATGCAGTATCAGAGCCTCTGAGCCACTGGGCAGGCAGGGGAATGTCTTTTCCTGGCATGCCAGGGTCCCTCTTAGTCACAGCTGGAATCCCACAGCACCTTACCTGCATCTTCATGCCATCAAGGCCCAGCCTGTGGGAGGAGAGAAAACTGTTGCAGCACAGGCACAGCACAAGCACCAGGAAGAGGGTTGGGAGCCACAGTGTGCCAAAAGCACAGGGATCAGAGCCCCACATCATGCCAGGCAGATTACACTCAGTCCTTACCAGAGATAGTCAGGGATCCTGGAAACATGCTCCTGAAAAGCTGGGGAGTTCTTCCCATCCACAAACCAGCGAACCAGCATGTTGATGGTCTTAGAGATCTGTTGAAAGCAGCACTGTCACTGCTCTGGCTACAGCATCTTCCAGCCCCAGACACATCTCTCCCACCCAGCACCCAGCTAGAGGTCCTGAGCTTCACCCTTACAGCTCTCTCCGTGGCATCACTCTGACTGTAACAGATGGTGGGGCAGATTCCACAAGATTACTCCAGGGCTTCCCCTCAAATCATGTCCCTGGACCACAAGGAGAGGTACCCACACTAGGGCCACAGCTGTCCCCATGCCCTCTGCCTCTCTTGTGTCCTATTAGCACTAAGGTCTTCAGCATTAGAAACAGCAGCAGTTGTGCCTTAGCAAGATTCAAAGGTTTTGGTTACACACCACAACTGTAAAGGACTGTGGGACCCCAAGCAGGTTCCTAAAGAGACAAGAACAAGAATTTGAAGGGATATCATGTAACCTACTGGACCGATGCTGATACATTTGGTGAATCTGTCATCAGCTTTGATGTGGTCATAGAGTTCCACAATGGCTCGCTGCCGTAGGTAGGTGCTGTGGTGGGCCTCATACAGGTTCATGACAGCTGCAGGAAAAGAAAGGGACACGCAGAGAAGAGTTCACCCCACGTGGACAGATTTACTTGCTGTGGCCAGCTGCACCACTGCTCACATGATGACCAGCCAAGGAAGGAATTGGAACTGCTCTGCCACAGAGTGGCCTGAGGACCAGGACATAAGGTCCTGCTGCTGCCACGGTAGCAAAGGCACAAAGACCAAACAATCAGCGTCTCCATTCCAGCTTCAGGGCATGCACCAGGAACTGGCAGCAGACCTTAAAGAGCCCCCTTGGTACAAGAAAGCTTCGGTTCCAACACCAGCCTACTCAAGGGCAGTCTCATAGCAAGGACCCTCCCACCCCAGCCAACACCACACTCACCATAGGCGACCTCCAGCAGCCAGCTGTGCGGGGTGTAGACATCACAGGCAGCCACGTTGTTCCTCTGGGCTGGCCAGTCGATGCTGGCGTAGTCTTGCACATACAGCTCCTGGCAGAAGACAATACAGGTGATCAGCTTGGAAAGCTGGGAAAAAATACCCAGAGGCAGCTTGCTGCAGGAAATTTGCTCAGCTGCCTGGACTGCTTTGTCCATGCAGGCACAAGAGCTGCCGATGAAACACAGTCTGGCTCTAAAGATGTGGCTGGCACAGCAGGCAGTCAGGGAGCTACATGTTCTTGTTAGGGAGTCCCAGGAGGGCTGGCTCCTCACCTGCCGCAAGCTCCGTATGAGTTCATCTTCTTCTGCTGACAGGCGCTTGGCGTAACAGTAGCTCATGGGGAGGTACACCTGGCGGCAGTGGCACCAGAGTCGGGATGGATGCGCTGGGAACCACGTAGGGAGCAGCCTGTTCGTAACAGAGAATGTGCTATGGAATCAACAGGGAGGGCCAAGAGAGACATGCAGAGATGCTGGGTCAGCAGGGGGACAGCCAGGGTGGGACACGCCTTTCCCCATCCCCTGTGGCTAGGCCTTCTACTGCGGGTTACAGTTCCAGCAAAAAGGAAGGGAACATTCACACTGCCTGACCCCACTCGGACCCTCTCCGCCTGGGCTGATCCTGCTCCAGTAGGGTCATCAGACACCATTCCTGTCCCAGCTCAGACAGGGCAAAGAGCATCCCAAGCTCAGGGAGAATTCATTCCAGGGGCTCTGCTCTTCCCCATGTTACTCTGAAGGTGGAGGTGCAAACTGTCGAATGTATCTGCTGACAAAGCACCAGCAGCCCTTGGCACTGTGCAGCCTCTGATCTTCCCCGGGAAAATGCCATACACTTCCCTTCTCTGATACCCACTGACTACTGAGGATCCTCTGAGTGACAGCAGAGTTTGAGCTGGCAGCCGTACGCATGGCAAGCTCTGCTCTGCTAGGGCCTAGTTCTGTCTGGCCACAGGAGTGGAAGGCGCTATTGGCAAGAAGCGCGCTATTGGATGGATGCATCATGGACCCTATGGGTGAAGCTAGTGGGGCTGAGCTCCTGCATCCCTTCAGCGCAGCGTTCAGTGCAATCTACCTGTCAGCTGACCTTGCTGCTAGCCTCCCAGCTCACAAGCAGTCTGAGCAGCCCCAGATCCAGGCCACAGCTGGAGTTATCCCAGCAAACACCAATGCCTTGTGCAGCTCTGGACTGAGCCTGGTGGCAGGACTAACAACACTCCCCACATGCACGTCGAAGGAGACATATACCACATCTCCGGGAGAAGCGTGTTCATTCCCTCCCAGCTGTAAACGTTCAAGACAGCCAGCCAAAACTTCCCCCACGAAGGGATTCCCACAGCACCTCCTGCAGAGATGGATATTAGCTTTCAGTGTTAATGCAGCCACATCAGCTCCCTGCTGTCTCCCACCTTAGAGGATCTGCCTCTCCCCAGGTTTGGGAGCATGTCACTCAGGCTGCGACACACTTCCCAGAAAAGGGCTAGGCAGGCAGCGGTCCAAGAAAGGAACAGACTTCCCCACCGTAACTGAAAATCCAGATGCCACCCACAACTGCTGTGCTGGGCACAACAGAGCTGACCTTTGCTGTGCAGGTTGACACGGGCCCGCACAATGTCAGGGTCATCTGGTCCAAGCCCCAGGATCCTCAGGGCAACATAGTTGAGTGCTGTGCCAAACACTGTTGATTTGTCCTCCACGTGCCTGTTGAGAGCACACACAGAGACAGCGCAGCCAGTTGGACACAACCATTATGCACATGGCTCTCTGCGTTGGGCTGAAGTGCCATGCCAGGGATAACTGAGGGAAAGGGAGACTCAGGTAACCCTGGCAGAACAATGCTCTGTACTGCCCTGCAGCAGGATCAAATGCCACAGAGCAGCCAGAGCTGCGGCCTCTGTGATAAGGGATACACCCAGAGCCCTTCACAAGCAGGCCCAGCCACCTGTGGGTACCGCAGGTGTACCACCCCGCTTCCCAAGCCTGGGCAGGTCAAGCGGCAGCTCCACATGCTGAAGCTCAGACACAGCACCACAAAAGCACAGCTTCGCTACTCACAAGCCCCAGCCTCCGTCTGGGAGTTGCACAGAGCGCAGGTAGCGCACCATCTCCTCCTGAAACCCCTCCGGCAGCTGGATCTTGGCGGTGTGGCAGGTGATGAGGAGCCCTGCAACCATGGACAGCCCAACCACCCCGTGAAGCGGATCACTGCGTGGCGACCCGCAGCCCCCCAGCACCGCAACGCTGTGCCGGGACCCACCTGGCAGCAGGAAGAGCGGCCCGCCGTAATCGCCGGCCCAGTGCCCGTCCTCGGCCTGCAGCCCGGCATAGAAGCGCATGCCGTTGAGGGCCGCCTCCCGCGCCGTGCCGGCCGGCGGCAAGGGGCGCAGCAGCTCGTCCTGCGGGGAGACGGCAGCTCAGCGCGGGGAGCGCCCCCGGACCCCGCACCCGCAGCCCGGCGGCCCCGCACCGTGTCCAGGCCGAGGCAGTGCGCTTCCAGCGCCGTCTGCTCCCGCCGCTCCCCGGCCGGCTCGCCCTCGCCCTCGCCGTCGCCGCCGTCGCCCAGGTAGCGCCACCGCTGCCGGCCGCCCTCGCAGCGCAGCCGCCAGCCGGGTAGCGCCGTGGCTGCCGCCGAGCGCCGCGGGCCGCCGCGCCTCCGCACCACCCTGCCGGAGACGGGCAGCGTTAGCCGCGGGCGAGGCCACCACCGCCACGCAGCACCGCACCGCACCGCGCCGGTACTCACCCGCCGTCCGCCATCGCCATCAGCACCGCCGGGCTGCAGCTGGGGCTGGGCCGGGCCGTAGCGGGGCCGCGCGGCGCTGGGCCCACATGGCCTCACGGGCGGCCGCCAATCGGGCCGCCAGGCGCCCCCGCAGCCCCGCCCCGCCCCGCCCCGATGGGGGCGGCCCCATTGGCGGCGGGAGCCGTGCGGGGGCTCCCAGCAGGGTACGGCCCCCCGGCGCGACCCCCCGCAGCCTCAGCAGAGCCCCGCTGAAGCTCGGAGCTCCTGTCACCCAGCCAGGAGCTGTCCCCGTCCTGTTTGCACGAGCCCGTGGTGCACCTGCTGCCCGCTCACTGCCCTCCCCCGCCCCCCCCCCCGCTCAGAAATCACCACCAGACACAGCACCCGCTGCAGGGATTTTTATTCACAAGCACAAGCTGGGGGCTGCCATTCCCGGCAGAGCGGCTCCGCGGTGGTGCCCAGCCCTGAGGGAGGTGAGGCCCCTGTGGGCTCCAGGCAGCCCACTGGGGACGGGGAGCTGCAGGGGAGCCAGTGAGTTGGAGCAGCAGCAGCTCCCCCTCACCCAGCCTGCTCCTGGCGGTGTGGGCGGCTGATGGAGGCACACCTGAGGGAGCAGCCGCTTGCTGGCACCTCACTGCCTAGTGATGAGGGCCCGGTGGGTGGGGGCCTGGGGGGTGGGGGCCCGGTGGGTGGGAGCCTGGTGGATGGGGACTCGGTGGGTGGGGGCCTGGTCCATGTGGTGCAGGTTTTCCAGGCTCTGGGTGTGGTGGCCCCCCTGGCCCAGGATGTGGTGGTGGCGGCCCTCCGTGTGGTCCTGCAGGAAGAGGAGACACATCAGAACTGCGGTGATGCCACAGGGCTCTCCTGGTAGGCACAGCACCTCCTGGCACCACCCTGGCTACTGCACCTAGCAGGACCAGGTCCCCTGGCAGTGCAATGGGGACATGTGGGGCAGGAGCAGCCTAGGAGTGCATGTGCCTGTGATGGCTGCACCGAGCCCTTCCCAAAGCCCCCACAGTGCGCACTGCCCACAGCCTGGACCCAGACCCATGGGTGCTCACCTGGATGGGGGGTTGACATCTTCTCACAGCCTTTGAGCTGCAAGGGAAGAACAGGTTCTGTCAGTGCGCTACTACAGTGTGCAGCCATGGTGCGGAGCTTCTCCTGGGGCACTGCATTTCTGCAGGTAGCCGTGAGCCACTGTCCCAGGTGAAGCCCCACATACCCCAAGCACAGAGACAACACTTGGGCTGGGGCCTCTGCAGTTCCCCACAGCCATCCCATCCCTTTTGGAGACCCTGAGAGCAATTGCCCTCACCCCTGCAACACCTATTGCAACCCAGGCACACAGCTTCCATCATTAAACCAACCCCAGCCCAACACCTCCTCTCCAGCCACTGGGGAACATGCTGAGCCTGTGCCCAACCACGAGGGACTGTGGGCAGTCCCAGTGCCAGCCCTGGTGCCATCTGCCCTCCAACCCCCCGACACTGCTACCTCAGGGACTGTTTCCATTTACCTATGCTGCAGAACAGCCCCGTCTGAAAGCGCTGTAGCTCTGACTGTCAATCTTGCACAGCAGCCCAAGGTAGCGGGGCTGGCTTTTGAGCACTCCTTAAATACAGGGCCCTGCCAGGACAACAAAGGTGTGACAGGCAGGTGTGTCACCCATAAACCGTTCTGTTAGTTTTGCATGTAACTGGAGCAGTGGGAGTACAGATACATGTCGCATACAATACTGGGCACAAAGGTCTGCCACCCCTTAGAGAAACAGAGTCAAGGTTGGGGTGAGGATGGGTGGTGGCCTCAGCACTGGCGTCAAGTGATGGGTTGAGTCAGGTGTCCTGGCCATGAACCCTGATGGGGTGCCCTCAGCACAGGCAATGTGCGTGGGCGCCAGTGTGTGGGGTCACATCCCCACAGGGGCTGCTGCAGGGCAGGAGGCTCAGGGCCCTGCTGATAACCCCCACAAACAGGTTGAGCTCAGGTACTGCCAGCATGGGGGCAGGAGTGCTATCTGCCATCAGACCCAGTGATGGAGATGTGCCAGGCTGTGTCTGTTCCTCCCCACCCCACACTCCACACCCTCTGCAACGTGCCCTGCTGTCCCATCCCAGGGCTGTGGTGACAATGACTTGAAGCACGTGTCCTCAGCATGAACCAATTCCCCTTTCCTCCTGTAAACACAGTTCTTATACTGTATCTGTCCCTCCGAGGATGTGTACAGTTTATAACACCCACTGTAAAAAGTTACTGAAAGGAAGCATGTGAGCCAGGGATGCTTTACTTGCTGCTGTCTTTTGTTGAAAGAGACGGGTGGGGACTCAATGCATACCAACTTAAATCTGGCAGTAAAATCTGTTCCTGCTTACCTGGATTTCCTCGTACTGCAGAGGTAACATCAACTCAGACCTGAGACAGTGAGAAGTTCACGTTGAAAACCCAAACTCATTGCCATAAATACTTGCAATTAACATCCAACCTTGATTTTAATGCCTGGGAGGTAGGGACTGTGGCTGTGCAGTGCATCACAAAGCAGTGTCTGGAGCCTTGGGGAGCAAGGGAGAGGCAGCAGGGATGCAAACTCTACTTCCAAATGTGGCACTCATCAGCAACTCGGGACAGAAACATGCCTGTGAATTAATATATACGACTGTATACATGCACACACTATAAGTTGAATTTTAAATACTCCTTTGCTAGCAAATAGCTTTTCACTCATGTCCTGCATAAGATCAGGGATTACCTGGGAAGAATACAGTGATTTATTAATTTTATTTAGAAATTAGAGAAATAATTTGGTATTTATTCTATAAATAAGGCTTAGGTCACACACAGGTTCAGCCGTGGGTGCATTCATTAGTAGTATAATTTTGTCTGAATGATTTAGCAGGGCTGGAGTGCTCCCTGGAGGGGTTGTTGTGTAAGGAAAACATCATCTTCAACCCGTGCTCAGAAACAACTCCACTCTTGTACTGACAGTCCTCACTAGGGAGAGCTGTGGAGCTTTTGCACAGTTTAAATGCATGCAGTTGGTTGCAACACTGATATGGGTGATGTATTTGGGGCTTAGCCTATTTATTTTGGTTAGAAGAAAAAAAAAAAAGTTGTTGTAATGGTCTGCCTGAGATGAGCTTTCTGTAAGGAGCTCCAGTTCCCCGTGGCTGTCAAAATCTTCAGATAATTTCTGAAGATACTTGCCTAAAGTCAGTGATGGAAGGTGAACCGTCTTTATAGAATCAGCCTTAGAAATTGACTTAGTTATGAAACTTTACTTGCCAAACTCCTGGTAACTAGGCATTGTTTTTATAATAATTTCTACATTTCTGAGGTTTAGATCAGAGTTAACAGGGTAGTGCTCTGCTCCTGCTGTTTGTGGGAGCTCTGCTTGGCAGAGACATTAGAAGCTGAAAGTATTCTTCCGAGGTGAGGATGCAGCCAGCTCAAAAAAGCAAATACCACAACTCCCCCCCTTATAGTTCAGTCTAGAACATAAGACTCACTTCAGAAGGTATCATCTGCCATTTGTTACCTGTTATGTTTCTAGACCAAAATATGCTAAGGTACTTTAAAGCCATGGGATATCATCTAGTTTGTTTTTAAAAGGGATTTAGGGATCTGATCAAAGGAATTTCACAAAACATGGTCTAAATACAGTCATCTCTGCTTTGACAGAAGGTAGACCTGAATCACTACACTGGTAGCCACAATATTTTCAACAGAAACACAGGTACTTTAGAAGCACCTTAAAAAAAAAGAAAACAAAACAAAACAAATAACAAAAAACCACCATTTGGTTTCCTCTGTGCTGGTTATTGTAGCTTGGATGTGAACTGCAAGGACATGAGCCTTCAGCACCAGCATGCCTTCCCTCTTTATACCCCCTGCAGTCCTCTCCTTTTGGGGTTGCTCCCTGTACCAGGCGCAGGAGGGACACTGCAAATTGATGCTGTAATGCCTTTTCTCAGGGCCAGTTTCACAGAGAACAAATTCATATATTTTTAATGAACCTAGAATAGTCCTTTGGTTCAGCCAGGGAATGACCTAAGCGCAAGGCCATGTTTCAGCTGAGGTTACAGCGTCCCAATGTTTTCAACTTCAGAGAATTTGCAGTGGCAGCAGAACCGTTTGGTGTTTTTCATGAGAACTACCAAAGGGAGGCTATTTGGTGGGCCAGCACTGGAGTCCAGAGCTGTTCCTTTGCAAACATGACGCGCAGTTGTGCTGAGAGAACACACATCAGGTACTTGAAGAGGCCCTGAACCTACGTGCAGGGCACTGAATTGAGCCCCTTTCCTCGTCTCCGTCCACAGAGTTCCATGGGCACCAGCCCCATTCTCAGCTGTGTGCTGCTGTTTCTGCTTCTAGGGCTTCCCCCTAGGATCCCAGCTCATCTCTGGCCAATGTATTTGTTGGCTCACATACACACACAGTGACCAAGGCACAGAGCTGGGGAACCTGCAGAATCCCACTTCCAATGTGCTAGGACTATAAGCACAGCCCTGCAGTTGCAGAAACATCTTCCCCCTCCCACCCAAATTCCTCTCCTTTCATTACTTTTTTGTCCCAGTTCAATGACCACCAGCCTTTGTCTCGTGGTCTGGCAGAGCCTGGTGCCACACACGCCAGAGACACAAAGAAATACGCTGGCTTTTCTCCCAGGGCCTGCTATGAAGAGCTCGCATTGTGTTTTACTGGGAAGGGGGAGACAAGGAGAGGGCTGAAATATCACGCTCGGCCTTAGGCTATGTAAAACCCTCTGTTTCTCTGAATACATTGGCCCAAAGCTCTGGCAAAAAAAGCAGTGACCCTGAGGAAAAAAGCCCCAAGGTCACAGTCTCCTTTTGAAAGACCAAGGCCATGAGTTTTAAAATAATGGAAGCGGTTCTTTGCGCAGCATGGAAGTGGGTAAATTTAAGTGTGGAGATGAACACAAGCTCCCAGACTGGCACAGCCTGGCACCTGTGCCAGGTCGGAGAGGACCCAGAGCAGGACGGGGTTGTGTGCTGGGCAATGACCCTGGGGAGGATCTGGGAAATCACCTGGAGCTGCTCATTTGCAGAAGCAGCAAAGGGCCAAGGTTTCTGGTGTTCGCACCTAATCCTGCTGCTCCTTACTTCACAAGCTACCAGTGCAGCAGATCTTTCCCTGTAAAATATACATCGGAATGACTTGAAGTCATAAGAATAAGCAGGACAGAATAAGCAATGACATCAGAAAATGGGAGAACGAGGCAGAGCTTTGAGCTTTTTGTCTCTGACTAGAAATGATGTGCATTGATGCATTTCTTGGCCAGTTACCGAGCTAGGATATCTACCAAAATCAAATTGTTATTGATAGAGAAAAATACTGTTTCTTTCCTGCTGGCTGAGAGCACCACTTACACCCAGCTCTTACATCAATACATTTATCCTTAGAAAATAGAACATTGCAACACTGATGACAAACGACTTCATCTCTGCAAACACCACTGCCCGAAAGCGCCTCCTAGCCCTGCCAATCCTCTGAGAGCACAGGTAACTAACTGCTGCAGATCGCAATGCTATAAATGCAAAGATTTCAGTGGTCAGGTCTGCATTTAGTGTCAATGCACTCAGGTTTCACACTGGGGACATTACTTTGCTCCCTGCTCCTGCCACTTCTCACCAGCCCCCCTGCAGCTCCCAGTCCCCACCTCACCTCCCTCAGGGCTGGGCACCAACGCGAGCCGCTCTGCCGGGAATGGCAGCCCCCAGCTTGTGCTTGTGAATAAAAGTCCCTGCAGCGGGTGCCGTGTCTGGTGGGTGATTTCTGAGCAGACGGGGGGCCATCATCGGGCAGCGGGTGCACCATGGCCTCGTGCTGGCCCCCAAACAGAAGGACGGGGACACAGCTCCTGGCTGGGTGACAGCCCCAGGCAGGCGCCCTTTGCAGCTCAAAGATTCAGTGGGGCTTTTTGTGAGGCTTCAGGAGGGCACGCCCAGGGATTTGGCACCATCTGTCAGGTATATGCATCAGAAAGGAACTGCAGCTGCTACCAACTTTGTCGTTCTACACTTGCAGCCTGATACAGTCATCTCCCCCCACGTAAAGGTTCTTGCTGTCCCTAAGACTAAAGGGCATCAGAGAGACACAGCTAGACCCATCTCACAGGTGCCCAGCAAGGGACAGGAGGCCAGAGACACAAACCGCAGCAAGAGAAAGTTCTGACACACACAACAAAATATTTCTGTCTCAGAGGGTGCTGCAGCCCAGGGTCAGGGTCCCCAGAGAAAGGGGGGGCTCCATCCTTCCCACGTGGTTGGCTCTGGCTTTGGGGAACCTCAGCCCCACTGTGGAGACCCTGACCCAGCTGCTGCTCACAGCCTATAGCCTTTACTGTGTATGAAAGCTGCAGCACCAGAGATGCTGCCAAGCTGGAACTGCTGCTGACTGCCTGTTTCTTTTTTCTTTTTTTTTCCTTCTCACAATGGTGGCTTTCTCTGCAGCAGCTCCCACAGCCAGCTGCTGCGCCCCAGCCGCCAGTCAAAGCCGTGCTGTGTGCATCTCTGCGCAGTGCGGCTCTGCAGCCCAGGACACCCCCACGTCGAGCTACCATTGGTGCCACCAGCGCTGCGGCACGGCTCAGGGCTCTCCGCCCCCAAGCATAAGAAGCCAGCAGGTGCCAGGGCCCAGCCGTGTTCCTGACCATCGCCTGGCTGCAGCTCCACCGTGAGCAGGGAGGTGAGAGGGGCTGGGGAGCAGGGCAGGTGCTTCGCTGCTGCAGCCGGCAAGCTGGTGCGGTGGGAGGGAGCGGCTCGGGGACGGCTGTGCTGGAGCAGAGCTCTGCCCTCACGCAGGAGACCATCAAGGAGCTGAAATAATCCTGGGTCCGGTGGATGGGAAACGGGCAGCACTGCTGGCTACTGGCTCAGCCTGGCGCAGGCAGGACGCAAGCACACGAGTGACTATTAGGGTGCATAAATTAAATACTTCAGAAATGCTTTCTGTTTGGAAACAGCCTTGCAGTTCAGACATAACCGCTGCAGAGGGGAGGGCACCTGCAGGATGACTTTCAGTGCCTTCCGCATCAGGCCCAGCACTGATGAAACAGGAGCCAGGCACCAGGGCAGGTGCTTATCACTAAATGAGCGTCAGACAATCTTCTTGTTGTTGGATGGTTGGTTGTTTTCTTCCCCTGAGTGTCAGTGCATTCAGCAGCTTTGGGTGCATTTGCATTTCTCCCTTTCAGAGTATCTTGGGTTTGGCTGTTTGTGGAATCCGTAGAAAATGCTGCAATTATTAATACTCCTGAGAAGGTCTCCAGAGGAAGCGCAGGAGGAAAGAAGTTAGAGATGTCTTTATTTTTTTCCCACTGGCATCCACCAAAACTGACTCCTGCCTACATGCCCCCGCCTGTTCAGTCGGAGATGTAACTGCAGGCAAGAAAAGGCAGAGGCAAGGGCATATGGCATGGAAGTAGAAAGCAGTGTTTTGGAAATTCACCCCGTTGCCTGCTCCCATTCCAAGCAAGCAGGGCAAAGCAATGGGCTAAGCTACAAGAGCCAAAGAATAGGTGAGGCGACAACATGCATGATTAAATAAATGCATTTTTTATGCTCCTGCATTTCTTGTATCCATAGAATTTCCCAAAGGGCATCTGCAACACAGGTTTAACAGCCAACCCCATCCCATCTGACAGCTGGCTCTGCATGTACAGGAAATGCAGGAACATCTACTGGAAGCCTGCAGGGCTTTGCCATCTCTCTCCCCCTCATTTTCTTGTCTATGCCCTGCTCACAGCAGAGACCCAAGGTGCCAAACTCACATTGGTCCCAGGGGTTGTGCCCGCTCTGGGGATGGACCATGACAGGCACTGCTTGTGTTGTAGCTCTCCTTGACTCCAGGGCCCTCTGAGACACAGCCGAGGTCTCTTGGGATCTTGCTCCCTGAAGTGAGAGCAAATGGGGGGGGCTGTTCTGCAATGTTCCTGGAGTGCAGGGGGTGGCACTGCAGATGCTGGGGGGCAGCCCAGGGCAGCACGCTATGCAGCAGAAGGCATCACTGCAGCTCGACTCGGCTAACGCACCCATTGCCTGCCTCTGTCCTCAGGACTGCACCGCGACCATGTCCGAGCTGGAGAAGGCCATGATCGCCGTCATCGATGCCTTCCACCAGTACTCAGGGAAAGAGGGAGACAAGCACAAGCTGAAGAAATCAGAGCTGAAGGAGCTCATTAACAATGAGTTGCCCCATTTCCTTGGTGTGAGTATTGCCCTCCACAACGCATGCTTGACTGAGCCGTGCCAAGCAGCTGCTGGCTCTGCTAACCTGTCTCCTCTGGGCAGCAAGTACAGGGGAAAGGGTTTATTCTCGCAGCAGTGTGTGAAACACTTCCCTACAGCTCCACAGGAGCAAGAGGTGCCTGGACAAGGGCAACAGCCTGCGTTGGGGCTGGGGATTTGATTGCAACTAGATACATTTTCTTCCCTGGGAAGGTGACAGCCTTGCCCCATGGGACTCAAGATGCTCCTTCCCACCAGCACTCTTGGGGCTGCAATTTCCAGTTCAGTAGGGCTGCTGTTGCGCAAGTGTAGCTGCAGGCACAGAAAGCACATAAAGCAGCAACAAACTGTTAGGGATGTGTCTAAACAGAATTCAGCCATAGGAGTGGCCGAGAAACAGGGACATCTTACTGTCCAGGCCTCTCGCTTTGATCCTTCCCAGCTTCGGCTGTCTGTTTCTATCCCTTCAGGAGATCAAAGACCAGGAGACTGTGGACAAAGTCATGGAGGCGCTGGACAGCAATGGGGATGCAGAGTGTGACTTCCAGGAGTTTGTAGCCTTCATCGCCATGGTCACCGCTGCTTGCCATGAGTTCTTTGAGCATGAGTGAGCCAGTGGGGAGCAACTGAGCACCTCCCACTCAAGCTGGAGAGATGCAGAGCAGTACCACGTCTCCTGGGAAAGAAAGACTGGGTATGCTTAGGGGCTCCTTGGAGTTAAGCTTGTGCTAGTCTTAAGCAGCTTATTAAGTCCTGCAGCTTTGTGAGTAGAAGCACCCAGGTGGCTCAGGAAAGCCTCTTGACCAGTGCCCGCCGGGTTGGATGCAGTGTGCGCAAATGCCTCATCTCAAACTCAGTCCCTGGTGCCATACACAAGGGACAAGCATGGGGCTGGAGGCAGGTGGCCACTGCAATCTGGGGTTGTTTGCAAAAGGAGAAGGAAAACTCAAGACCTGAGGTGGGGGGGGTAACGCAGAGGGGCTGGTTACAGAAGCTTGTCTCTGAGCCCACTGGCCTCCATGGAAAGGCTCCTGGTGATGCTGTGGGCTCTGACCACCTTGCACGTGGTACTAACCCAGTCCCATCACGGGGGCTCAGCAGAGACCATGCAGCTCTTGGCAACTTGAGACACTCCTAGTTTGAAAGGCAAAGCATAACCATGTAACAGACCAAGCTTTTCTCTCGCCCATGAACCCTCCTGCTTTTAGCAGCCTGCAGAACTGGAAGTGAAAGCACACGAGGCTCCTGGGCTGGGGGCAGTTTCTGTGCCTGGGATGCACCTTGGTAAGGTCTCCAGGCTCAGCCCAAGGAAAAGGGGAATCCATACAACATTACCACCTGCAGCCTCCAGAGTGTGTGGAAACAACGAGAATAAAATGTTTTGGTATCTAGGCCACAAGTGGGCTCTAGTGAAAAACGTGTCCTTTTGTCCCAGGCTCCGTGCACCTCTATGGCTACCACGCACTGTCAGAGGGGAATCTGAAGGACACAGCCGGGAGTGCCACCATGGCACATGCTGGCAGTAGGCTGATAACTGGGCATCAATTCAACTCCCCCCTGGCACCACTGCTGCCAGTCAAAAAGCTCAGGGCTGTTGCCCGCACTGCACTCCACCAGGCTGCCCAAACTGCGAGGCCAAAGGAACACAGTGCACCTCAACAGGATTGCTGCCATTCGGGATGTGTCTGCTTCTGGCAGGGTCATGCTCGGGCTTGCACTGATGATCCTCTGCAGAGCCCAAACTGAGCCTAGGACAATTTCCCTAAAGCCTGTGCTCCTGTCTTTTTTCAGTCTGCACCTGCCATCCAGACCAGACACACCTGTAAGTTAGGCATTCACACACAGGAACAACACAGCTACATCTCTACTCATAAATTCACAATAAAGATGACTGTGGATGTCACCATGTTCTTTTACTTCACAAAGACTCCATGAGCAGAATGCCCTGCCTTCCAACAGAGACCAGCTTCTCTGTCTCCTCACGAGGAGGAAAGAGGACACTCAGTCAGAGACACGCATACAAGAAAGGTATCTCTTGCTCCATCAGGAACTTAAAAAGGCACTTCTGCCATGCTAGGGTAGCACTCATTGTTTAGCATCCCAGTTACTTCTACCACATTTTTAACATTCTCACCAGTTCCCGGTACTGCTCTCTGTCAGCCATTTCAAGCACTTGTACAGACCTAAGGCCACGTGTGAGGACAATGCCCGAGGACACTGTCTGTCCCAGAGCATCCCAAGGTTAGGGGAGCTGTAATGCTCACAACCCTGCCTCAGACCTGAGCCTGAGGTTAGCAGTGGTTTAACGCGCTGCACAAGGCTCTGCAGGTGAGGCTGTCTGGCACCCACCTGCCTTTTGCCCCACTGCACTGCCAGTGCTCACACATGAGGAATCCCTCCCCAAGACAGCCTGCAGAGCACTGCAGCAGCAGAGAACTGCAGTGCAACGTCTGGCAAGACCCAGGGCAGGCTGTCCTGTCCCCTGGCCAGCAACCAGAGCAGCATCAGGGGGTGAAACAAGAGGTTTACGCACACATTGCTGGCAGTAAGGCTGATCCTGTCTTAGCAACACCATGGCTGGAAATAAACAGGAGCTTTGCCTTACACAGAAGGTAGAACAGAGCCAGTGCCTCTCATCAGGGAGGAAGAGCACACGGCTTCCTTCAAGATGAGTGCCCCTAGCTGCTGCAAGTGCAGCACACAGCTTTGCACTGCACCCACAGAGGAAAGCAGAACTTTGCTGAAGTGAAAAAGAAACAGACTGCAAAGACAGAGGCATCTGCACCACCTGGTATGCACTACAGCACTGCTCCTGCTGTGTCCCGCTGCATGCTGACATAGGTGGTGCCTCAGCTGAGAGAATGGGCAGAGACACGCACTTGTTGGCTGAGGCCAGCAAAACAGTTTGGGAAACATGCAGTGCCCCTGCCACCAGCTCACCGCTGCCAAGCCCTCCTGCACACAGTGCTACTGCCAACACCTGAGGCCCCCACAGACTACACAAGCCCCAGAGAAAGGAAGTCACTTCAGCTTTGGGGCTGAAACTGCTTGTTTTCAGAGCTCGGGAAGGCAGACATCACAGCAGGGTTGAGGCAGGTTCAGAAAGCTTACCTAACTCACTAAATTCCCATCAGTAATAGACTGGAGATATTTAAAAGTGCCAGTACTGGCAGCAACAGATCTGCTGAAAACCAGCACTGTTTTTCAGACTCTGACAGTGGCAGATCACTCTTCAGGTAGTGAATATGACAGGCTAATGAAATTCTTATTTTTTTGTTATGCCTCCATCCCAGCCAAAAGAAACAGCCAGCTAGATATCCAAGGTGTGTGTCCTCTTACAGCACCTCACCAGCAGTGTTTGAAGCTAGCGCTGATGAGATTGATCTGACATTGCACCAAACCCAGCAGAGCTCAGAACCCCCCCAGTTCTATTATTTGTGCAGACATAATGTGACAGTCTCTGGAAAGGGTAGTTTGGTAACCGACCTCTGTCTACGATGCTCTGCAAAGCTGGCAACACAGACCTCCATAGTCTCATAGTTTGGTAACATAAACCTCTATCACAGATGCTTTGGGGAGAAGGGAGGCCAGCACAGACACAGGACAGGTAAAGTCCACAGCAGCACATCAGGAAGAGATGGGGATTAAGGGTTCCAAGAGTCAGCAGCATGGGGGCAGAGGCCCCGGGATTGTGCCTAAAGACAGTCCTTTGGAGAGAATGATAAGGAATTGGAAAAACAACCCAAAACCTAGGGGAAAAGACAAAAAAAAAAAGAGAGATTGTGTAATTGTCTGGCCTAAAAAGACAATAAAAGGAGTTTCAGTGTTTTGGCCAAAATATAGGTCTTATAAAATTTGAGGCTTTAAACTTATATGTAAACAATAAGAATCCTTTTTCAGAGGAGGAATCAAGTTATGCTCCATATAATCCCAATATTGCACCGGAGGCAGCAGCAGCTGCTCCAGGAGGGGAGACAGGGACTGCAATTGATGCTGTCCCTGAAGAAGGAGCGCACTCTAGGCTCTGACAAGAATTAGAACAATTAGAAGAGTCACAGCACAGAGTCTGCATGCTAAGAGTGCAAAAAATAACGTACCCAACAGATTTAAACAGAAAAACACAATATGGTTTTCCCACAAATCAAATGTGGACTTTTTTTTTTGTATTTCAATACAAAATTTTGTATATTGAAATACAGTCCTCAGAGAGGGGCCTGACCTTCTTGGATGGAGTAAAACAACCACATAAACAAAGCACTGGGCCACATGTCCCACACTGCAAGCTGAGAGGTGCTCTTCTGTCCTGGTGGTCTAAATGACATGGAAGCACATCCCTGCTCCCTCCCTACTTTAAGCTGAAAAGTACATTTCAGAAGAAAGTGGTAGCATTTCTGTGAGTGATCTGTGGCTTTAATTTATTCCCCCTACCAGATATTAAATCTAAAGGATTTGCCTAGCTTTACTTACTGTACTGCAACCGTCAGGGCAATAGAGTACACTTCCAGTTTCTTCATTCTGAAATATTCTCGGCTTTTATTGTACCAAGTCTGAGGTCATCCTGCATCCTGAATAGTGTGGATTTCCAATTGCTGGGGCAAGGCAGCTGACAGAGCAGGAAACTAGAAGAGGAAAATGCAAAGTGTTTTTGTTTGTTTGTTTGTTTTAAAAGCAAAGGAAATAAACCAACTTCAATAACCAAACAACAAAAAACCTACCCCAAAACAATTAAGGCTATTTTTGTATTTTCTCACCACTGTAACATTACAAGTATAATCACAGTCACTGTAGCACTAATGTACACACTTGGCAAGCAAAAATGCCAGAAATAAAAACAAACTGCCATTTTGCAGTTACCTTGACAAGCTAAGTTTTAAGGAATAATAGTACTAGGAAACATTTGTCACCTCTATAAGCAAGCTCTTATTTTAGGTGAGAACAGGATTTTAAAAGTGACCGGAGGAAAAGACAGCGGTGTATATTATTTTAATAACATGTACTGAAATACAAAATGATAGAACTCTGCTTTTACAGCACTGGCATAACAGAATTGTAAATAAAACACAGTGTGTTTAGTTCTTTCTGAACAACAACACTGGTCACAAAACAAAATCTAAAGACTGTAGCAAAAAATTGCAATAGAATTTGTCACAACAACAAACTCTGGCTTAGAAACATCTTATTTAACATATCTGGCCATGTAAATATTTAAAGTATGTTAACCAGCTAAATATAAACATTAATTCAACAATAAGAGTTACGTCTTAGTATAACCAGCATCAAATAAATCCCAAAGTGCGAGAAGTTAAAAAAAAAAAAAAGTTGCAGTTTCATTAACTGTAAACTAGTTAGATGTAATTCAGCTCTATTATCCACTAACATGATTTCTGACTGGATATGCTACAATACTTTAAATGCTTTAAATGTGCAAGCTTTCATAAATTCCCTTTTTCCTTTCATTAAATTGCTAAAACACAGTTATGAATAAGCTGCAGAAACCAAAACCAGATGCTTTAAGATCCCTGAAGTGCAAAATACATGTATTGACATGATAGCAGGGAAAAAATAGATCACTTTAAAAAATCATTAACTCTGTACAGAAAATTAGGAACACGCATTTAAAATTAACTCAGTGCTTCCTTTTTTCTGCTATAATACATTCCTGGGTAACAGTAAGCAACAAATAAAGGCTTACAATAGCCTCACAGTACTGTTTCTAGAATGACATAAAGCTTATAAAAAGTCAGTACAACATGCTAGCTCAGATATTCAGTAGTCACTGGAATCCCACCTAACACAATGGAGTGTGTTTTAAAATTCTGCTTTGACAGCAACCCTTTCACCACAACTTACATCCTTCCCACAGTGTGGCAACCAGCTCGCTGAACCAACTACAATTTATGAATTCAGGAGAAAACAGGGCTTACCATGTTTGTTACAGTGTTTTCCATGCCCAGTAATTTAGTCTAAAATAAAAAAAAATATGGATTTTTTTAAACCTGTCCTCTTTAGTTTTGATGAGTTAAGCTGCTTTGGTAATGTCACAATAAAACACACAGTGCAGCACTATCTGGATACTATGTACAAGCCTTGTAATTAACAGAAAATGAAAAAGGCTCAAAGTTGCTATTTTTTGGCTATGTACAACACTTGTAAAAACAAATCACACTTTACAGAAAAAAATTCTTGTGTGTTTCCTAAACCCTCTGTTGGTACCCATCTGTTTTCTGTGGGTGTGCCACCTCCCTTTCCTTTTCAAATAAAAGGTATCTTCATTTATGAAACTACAACTTAATGTATTTCTCACATACACAGACATATCCATTTATCACTCTGTAAAAGGGGGTGTTTCAGTTGCTCAGAAACCTTTGGAAGTCATTATTAGATAGTGCTGCTTGTGTAAAAACATTCATGAGGGCACGTGAACAGGGTGAGCCCTTCCATAACACAGAGTTCTGCGTATGACACTGGCTACAGGCAGCCTCTGCAAGTTTCTACCTGTCTGCTATGCCCCAAAAAAGTGTTTGCGCTGAAGCTCCAAGTCAGAGGAACAAGTCCATTTGGAAATGCTCTCTGGGAGCACTGCTGCAGCACGTCATCTTCACTCAATAAAAATTAAACCAGACAGTACCTCCCCCCAGTCACACTGGGGAGGACAAGGAACAGCTCATTTTAGTACCTCTTACAGCCTTTCCTCCTGCTGCCGCCTTCCGTCAGCCTGGTGAGGTTGCTCACGGTCGTCATCTTGGTGCTGCAGTTCTTGAGTCTTTTCTCCAGCCAGTGCTTTTGTCACTGCACCAGGTCTAACACTGGACCTCTCTGCTTCCTGCTGGTGCTTTTTACAGTGCTTTTCAAAAGTGGAGATTTTGGCATAGGTCCGGTTGCACACCAAGCAGTGGTACAGCCGCTCACTGCTGTGTGTTCTCACGTGAAGCTGGGGGTAGGAGGACCTGGAGAAGGCTCGACTGCAGACTGAGCAGCGGTGAGGCTCACGCTCCTCGTGGGTCCTCAGGTGCTGCTTGAGGGACGAGCCCTGCTTGAAGGCCTTCCCGCAGGCAGCGCACTTGAAGCTCCTCTCACCAGACTCGAGGAGCTGGTGCGAGATGAGGTGCATGGAGGAGCGGAAACTCTTCCCGCACCTGCTGCAGGCGTAGGGCCTCGCCCCCGTGTGCAGGCGGCCATGGAGCACCAGCCCTGCCTTCTGCGTGAAGGCCTTGTGGCACTGCGGGCACCCGAAGGGCCTCTCTCCCGTGTGCAGGCGGCGGTGTGCCTGCAGGTGCGAGGCCTGCAGGAAGCGCCTCTCGCCCGTGTGGCAGCGCAGGTGGAGGGCGAGGTGCGAGGAGGAGATTTAGGCCCTGCGGCAGACGGGGCAGCGGAACGGCTTCACCCCACTGCTCCCCGCTGTGCCCGCGGCGCTGCCTGGCGAGGTCGCCGGGCTGCGCCAACGCCTTCCCGCACCGCCCGCGGCCGCACCGCCGCCACCACAGCCCCGCGGTGCCCGGCGGCCATTTTGGGGAGGAGCCGCGGCGGTTGCGGCGGGAGGAGCCGCGAAATGGCGGCCGGGCGCAGGGCGGGGCTAAAGCGGCACAGGCCGAGCGCCGACAGGCAGCGAGTCAGGCGTTCAGCAGCTGTTGGAAATGTTTAATGCTTTTTTTTTGTTTGAAGTCTTACTTTACAAGGCAACTTGTCTCACTGTCAACCAATATCTCCATACAAAAATCTTACAATGTTTTATTTGCTAAAAAACTACAACATTCAAATTGGGGCTAGGTAGTTTTTTTCTTTTTTTTTTTTTTTGCCAGCTGTTGCGTTATGAGGAGTGTCCCACAGTCCACTGCTAAAGGCTGCTGTACTTAGACAATAAGTTACACACGTGCTGTACATAATTACAGTCATAGGAGGGTATGCAGCTGTATAATACACCACAATCAAACACCATGAGGGCAAAGAACTAATATATACGAAAGCACTTTATAGAAGATTTTATAGCTCATTCGACCAAGAGTCATTTGATATCCTCTTACCAGGATATTGATATCCATCTTTCTTAGGCACTGATCCAGGCAAAATTGCCTTGCAGAAAAACCTGGCTCTTTTGCCAAACCCAAGCATTACTAAAAAAAAAAAAAAAAAAATTAATGTAGCTCAAACTCCTTATTAACTCTATAAAAATAATTATTTGCTAGTCTCTTACTTACCTTCAAACACATGAAGTATTTGAATAACTTCACGTTCTCTTTCTGAATTAGGTTCACTGCAGTATTAGATCAGGCAGAAATTTCAAAACTGTATTTAGTCAGTGTGACTCAACCACCAGGCTATTTCAGCTTGAACAAAAGGTCTGTCTAAACTGAACTAAAAAATGAAGGCTTGTACCATAGCAGATCCACCTAACACTGAATATCTTTTCCACGGTGGAAGAAATTACTACATAAGTTTTATCACAGGATATTCATGGAAAACATACTGTAAGATCATGCTTTGTAAACATTTCTACAAACAATTCAGAGACTATTGGCTTTGGAATGAGTTCTTAAGTACTTGGTGTTATGCAGGGCAGTAATAAACAACTAATGCTATGAAAGCAAGCAACTTTTAACATAAAGTTACAACAGCAAGAGCAGTGAAGGCTCCTGCATCAAGTAGTTAAAACTGAATATTAATTTAATATTTTATTATAAAGTTCATAGCATTACAGAGTTTAGCATGGCACAATATGTAACCTTGTTACAGATGCAGTATTTGCTTTTGCTTGGTACAAAAAAGCTGAACAGCAGCATAACTCTTGTTAGATTGAATCTAGAATTTGAATGAACTTGTTTCTTCTGAATAGGAATGAATCAGTGATTTAAAATAAAAAGGCTGCATTTTTAAACCTGAAATATGTGCAGAATTCCTATCAGTACAGTAGGAGAATATGCTAGAGATGTGTGCAATCTTGGAAGTTATGTCCCAACCCAGATACTACCAATACATTGCAAACAATCTAATTGAGGGTTAAGTCCAAATGTTTTTTCACAACTTTCAGAATTATTTCCAAGAGTCTTCCTCACAGCTGGTGTACTCTCCCCACCCCGCCTTATGTCCCTTTATGCAGTGCATCAAGTACTGACATTCATAATTATTGTAAAAAAAAAACAACAAAAAAACAACAAAACAAAGCACATTGGTCCATGATAGTTCTCATAAGTTTCCTTCAGGAATTCCAGTCAATTCTCCATTCTAAGACAGCAATAACTGTTATAATGGATTTATGAAATTAAATGCAATCTGAAAGGTGAAGGTCTGTGAAGATTAGTATCTCCATTTTCCTAAGTTTTTCAACAGTTTTAAAAACATAACAAATGAATTCAGATGCTATTCAGAAAGTCCCTAGATTTTGGTGCTTTAGCCTTGTGATTTTCTGGTTTCACATGTTGTAGGCAACATAAATAGGATCCAGCTGGTCAGCTAAAAATCCATCTCTCAAGTGCATTCGTTGTTTTTCACCACGGGAATTGATAGGAATAACACCTGGGTCCACAATGACTACAACACCTACTATGAGGTAATGTTCTTCCAGAACCACATTTGTTACCAGTGCAACCAGGTCCAATGCTTCTTGTTCTGAGCCTTCTAATTCCACAACCACCACAAGCAAGTTGGTCCATGTAAATACAGCACTGTCGGCAGGATGTAAATATTAATGGTGAGAAAAAGAAAACAAACCACAGTCGAAGGAAGCTACCAAAGACAGACTTACTGCAAATAATTTGTGTAAGGACTTGAACAATGTAAGTAATGTGAAAAAGCAGTATAATAATATGAATATGTATAAATCAAGAGATATCAAAGCTGTAAGTTCTTGGGATATTCTCTGCCAACCATTTCTCAAATTGTCTCTGTAAAAACTCTAAGTGGGTCTTTTTCTCCTATATGCATGCAATCACGTATTTAGAAGTCCTTTACACTTATGTATTAACGTAAGTACCATTGAGATTTCAATCAGTGTGTGCATGCTTGCTATTAATGTACTTTTATAAATTTCCAGAGATTCAGAGAATCATAGAATCATTAAGTTTGTAAAAGACTTCCAAGATCACCTGGTCCAACCATCACCCTACCAGCAATGTCACCCACTAAACCATGTCCCTAAGAACCACGTCCAACCTTTCCTTAAACATCCCCAGGGTTGGTGACTCCACCACTTCCCTGGGTAATCCGTTCCAATGCCTGACTGCTCTTTCTGAGAAGAAATGTCTCCTCATTTCCAACCTAAACCTCCCCTGGTGCAACTTGAGGCCTTTCCCTCTAGCCCTATCGCTAGTTATCAGTGAAAAGAGGCTGACCCCCAGCTGGGCCTTCCAGGTCCACTCAGTATCTATCCCTGTCACTGAAGGGATAGACAAAAACACCACCTGTGCACCTGCTCCATCCACTAACCGCCACAGTCTCCTGAAGCCCCTTTTGACGGCCTTCAGGCTTCTCTCTGCAATTTCATCACTACCAGCCTGAATTATCACTAAGGGCTAATAATCAGAGGGGTGATCAAGGTCAGGAAGTTTCCTGGTAATGTCCCTGACCCAGGCCCCAGGTAGGCAGCAGACTTTCCAACAGGGAGGGTCCGGCCAACATATGGGGCCATCTGCTCCCCTCAGAAGGGAGTTGCCTGCAACCATTACCCTTCTTTTCTTCTTGGTGGAGGAAGTATTGAGACATGGAATCAGCTTCCTTGCCCTAGACAACCTCCCGTATGACTTTCCCCTGCATCTTCACCACCATGAAGACAAAGACACACAATAATTACAACAAGCAAGCACTACCACTTCATGACTGAAGAGGACCTACAGCCGAAGGGCATGTATCATCTTATTAGTACAAAATGAGAATAATATATGTTAGAAGATACCATTCTATGATTCGAGAAATCCTAGAGATGTACAACATCCAAGGGCATACATTCTTACCACTATGAAAATCAGCAATACAACTTCGAAGTGTTCTGCCACCCTGTTCATATTGTGCCCTCTCTTTGTCTTTGACTGAAGATCAAACTCTGATGAAGATGTGGAGTTCTTTATTGTTATTTTTTGTTTGTTTGTTTGAGTGGTAAAAAAGGGTGTTATATTTCAGTTGGTTATTCTCACTGCAGTATTTTCTAAGCAAGGATTTAGTAAGCTCAACTCTATAGTTTGGTATAGACTCAACTAACTCAATCTAGCTTGCTGTCCTGCAAAATTTGATTCTGTCTATTTTGGAAGATATAAAAGGATACAGAAAAATAACTGAACCATAACTCTTACCATTCTGCAATGCTCTTATGTGCTCTTATTACAGATGTCTCTATATCAATGGGGTGGTATCTCATTCCTCTGAGCTCCAGTGTTTCATCCAAAGAGCCTACGACATACAGGGCATCGTGCCTCTCTGCGACAGAACACAGACATTCCAAACATCAACAGATCTGAAGAACAGACATCCTCATTTGTACGTGCTTATTCCTGATGTTACAAGACATTGCTGGTTCTTCTGAGGAGAAAGTCCGTAATACACATCATGCTTTACCATTTTTAAAGATGAAGAATTGTGAGGTCATTTAGCACTTATGTATATTGACTCAAAGCAAAAGAAACCAGACTAAAAATAATTTTTGTTATCCAGTTCTGTCACTTCTCTTATATAACATGATCTCAGTTCATAAAACTAATCAAAATCCATCTTTTCATCCCACTATTCTTACCAAAGAACTTCTCTCCTATCAAGAGGAGGAGAGATTTCCCTTTTATTTTATTTTTTAAAGAATTTATACCCACTTGTTCTCATGACAGCAACATTTTTCTCAACTTAAGTTCCCCACAGTTAATGAAGAGAACAAACCTATTGCCTTAGCTTTCCTAGGTTAAACACACAAAGCTCTTCTAGACCTTACAGAACACGCTCTCCAAACTGACATGCTCATCCTGTAACTCTGTCGAAAGGAATTGTTCTTTTTTTTCTGTGCCTATTTTAGAATTCTGCTCAGTCATGTAACTTGAGACTAAAAACTACTGGGAAGCAGCACTATCTTTCATTCACATTTGCTAATAATGTGGTAATTTATGACAGCTGTTCTCTCAAATGCTAACAAACTTAAGGACAACTGACATTGTTCCACAGCAGGAATATCTTTATATGTGATTTTTTAGAAAGCTACAAGACACAAAAAAGTGCTGTAGTAATCTAGTGCCTTGCCATCTGCAACTTCTCGTTGTGAACATCTGCTTGCAATTCCCCTTTCTTTCCACTATCAGCTTTCTCCAGAAGAGGGAGCCACTCCACATTTCCAGAAGTGGAAAAAAAAAAGTTCTATCTTGTATCATGGGCGATTACAGGATCTATAAAAGGTATCTGTGAACGCCCTATTTATCCAGTGACAGCAATGAGGGGGACACAGATACTATCAATGGAGATATCACTGTTCATTTAAGTTCAATCACAAGCAATGGCAGGTACATTGCTAACAAGTTTTTCTTCCATCTGTGTACATTTCTCAAGTTCAGACACTGGTTTAAGTTAGAAAAAAAAGAGAAAGAAAAAAAGGAGATGAACACTATTTATATATTGGAAAAAAATAAGGATAAGTTACTCCTCTAGACATTTCACTTCTGAAAGGCTGGGAAATTGCTGATATTTGTGCATGTCCTAGAACTGCTGAATGACTTACCATTATTAGTATTATCTAGATCAGCACGGAAATACTGTATTCTCTCTGTACAAAAGAGGTTTATGCAAGAAGTAAGTAGAAAGTCTCTAGTGCTCTTAACAAGCATACTCATATTATTTTGTTTAAATGGATATAAAGGAAGAGGATCCTACTTTCTAAATGAAAAGCGCATTACGAATTTCTCCTTTTGCATGATTACCCAGTATCATTATAATCAATGAACGTATATAGAGTAAAGATTCCTTTTATATTCAGCTCTCTTATGGCAGCCAGGATAATCTTGCAGGACAGCTTACTCTTTGCTAGCTCAGCTACCCCAGTGAGTTTCAGCACATGCTTCTCTAAGTGTATCTGTTTCCTCTCACCTCCACTAGCATCAGTAAGTTCAGTTCTGCGCAGAAAGCCAAGGTATCCAGTCCGAGCCCATATGGTCTGAGTGTCTCCAAAACTCAATCGAGCAGTAAAGTGATCAGCGTGCAGTGCTTCTTCTCCATACACTGTGTAGTAACCAGTAGCATTATGCGGACTACTCACCCATATCTAGGGGATTAAAAAAAAAAAAAAAAAGAAAAAGAAAAAAAGAAGAGAACTATTCCAATATAAATAAAGGTGATTTTGCCAGATCCGGGCAGCATAATTTATTGATATAAATTACAGGAGTTGTTTTATTAAAATAATTAATTTCTGGCTCAGAGTAAATGACCAGGAAAAAGGATTAAAAAACATTTTACATACATGTAATTGGGGACAGTCAAGAGAAAAAATGAACTAGGCATTTGACATACTGGAAAGGGACACCCACCAACCAGTTATCTTCTACTAGAAGGGTATCTTAATAAGCACAAATCCAAATGTATATAAAGCACAGATTAAACCAAGCAGCAAATTACCTCATTACTACTTTCCACTGATGGAATATATGATACACAGTACCTACTCACTGCCTCATGTACCTACCAATCAGACACAGACTAGTTAACTGATACCACCTGGTCCTGGCATTCAATAGTTTGGCACAGGAGGGAGAAAACCATGTAAACATTCACATAAGTATCTGAACCATTCCAGCTCTCTGCTGAATTCGTTTCCTTGCCACATTAATTTGATCATGGCTGTCTAAGTATGACATGCATTTATCTAATATGATTTATCTATATATTATATCACTGCTGATAAACAAAATACGAAATATCGGAAGCTTTACCTCTCCTAAATGTGAGTCTCCCAGAGGTCCCTTGGTTTCTGTGTGTGCTATGATGACCTTTACTCCTGGAAGAATCTTCAACAGAAAACAAATGTTTAAAACTGAAGTTAACAGAAGTTGAATTCATCAAAAGAAAGGTACGTTAATAATGCAAAGCCACAGAAGTCAATCCATGCAAATCTTCCCTTTCTACTCTTTACTCCATGGGTATCAATCAGTTCTTCCTTCTAAGTTGATTAATCATTTAAATTCTAAGCAGCTATTTTGCAGCTTGTATTTAGCTACAGAACTGATCTTTCACACCTGAAAAATGCCTTGTGTGAAGGCCTGTGATTTTTTCAGTTACAGCAACATATACTACCTATTTCTACATTTTACAATCTTTGCTTCACTTTTATCAGCTGTTCATGTCGTGCTCTCTCTAGTGCCTCTCCTAGATATACTGTGATTAGCGAAGCACATTCAGCCTGACATTGCTCAGACTCTGTACTGAGAGAAACAGTTCACCATCCAGATAGGGATAGTGAGGAAAAAAGATTGCTCTCAGTCTCTCACCTTCCCAGACTCCATAAGTGGCAGACTGTGGGGAGAACCTCTCTCTACCAAACGTACCCTGAGAAAATAAAAGAAAAATGCATTTGTACAGAGATCCATGAACTTAAATAGAAGTTAAATAAACTTAAATAGACGTGTTTCATGATATCAGTGCAGCTAAGGATAGGATAACACTGGATATCATGAAGCACGTCTATTTAAGTTTATTTAACTTCTGACACTCAATTATTCACAAGATAGTTAAGAGTTTCTAGCTGTCTTCAAGACTTTAGTATTAGCATTCCCATATATCTGTTTCCTTTAAGAATCAGAAACTCATCTCTCCAGAGAGATGAATAACTCATTCCAGAAGAGCTCTAAGGTTGCAGTTTCACCAGCATTTTTTACTTTCATCATCTTTATTGAACTCTCCTGGACCTCTGCTTGCCACACTGAACCACAGCAGCCCCAGTAGGAATTACAAAAAGTAAGGAGCAAGAAGCCTAAAAAAAAGGATTACACTGTCCATTAGTGGCATAACTTATGAAGTTATCACAGTAGCAGAAGGAGCAAAAATTGAATGCAATAGGAGTGGTATACAAGAGAAATGGCTCCTATACACTATGCATTATTTTACTAACCCAACACACATAGGCTAGAACTGATTAGCACCGTGGGAGCTTTGAGGCTATGGCTGAACTTAACAATGTATCTCAGGCAAATCGTAGTGCTATATTTAATAAAGAAAAAATGAGCAATTTACATGGATCTGGTCAAATGCCAGATGAAGATCGTGCACATGATGCTTGTTTTCTAATAACCAAGATTCAACCTTCCAAAAATTACAGAACAGTAGTCAAAAAAAACCTGCCAGTTAAGCCCCTGATTGAAATAATAAACCCCTGATTCAAAATAATCAATTAAGAAGAATTTTTTATATCAATACCAAGTATTGATATTAAGTTTCTTAAAGTAAGTACAGAAACAAATACATAGATGTATGAACACTACTAAAATTAGTCTGAACTTGGTAATGCCAGCAATTTTATCAGCTAAGTTAACCAAGAGACAAGATAATGCAAAAATTATGACTACAGAATTAAGACTGATAGAATGTATCCTCAACAAGATTCCAGATGATGTTTACATGTTCTGTCTGAAGAAAAAAAAGTCTAAGTACAGCTAACTGTAATTTTTCCACTATTTCAAGGATTGTTATAGAGAAGATGAAGCCCAATTGCTCTGAGTTGTACATCATAAGGAGAAGAAGTCAGGCACATAAGCTGCAAGAAGGGAGACAACAGTAAGAAATTTATTGTCCTACAGCTGGATGTCAGCCTCAGGACACGTACCCAAAGGAAAATCCCCACTTTTGGAGATTTTCCAAACAAAACTGGTCCTGGCCCTCAGTAATGCATTGAAGCCTTGGAAGTTGGCCCTGCATTGAGCATGAGGGATGTCCTGAGATCCTGCCCACACAAATCTTTCTGCAATTCTGTGACTAACCAGCCAACTGGGAAATCACCTTTTGCTGGTGGTACAGTTGACTACGAAACAGCTAATGAGTCTGGATTATAGAATATGGATGAACAGACAGCAACTTAGGTGAGGGTGTAAAAAGGAAGAGCAGAAGAAATGATGGAGGAGGAGATAAAACTTTCTCCTCTGCAGTCATTTAATGGTTAATGTTTTACCATAACATAATCTGTACCTGTCATGTCGAAGTGCTCTCATATCTACATAGACCGTTGTTGGATCTGGTCCTGCTGTTCCCTATGAATACAAAGGACGAAACAAAATCAACAGAAGCCAGAAAATCCTATTTTCATGGCTATATAAACTCAAAAATTCCTCTCCCTCTTTTACTGACACTTATAAAGTACTGTCCTTATCTACCAAAAAAATAGTCAAAGTAGTCACCCTCTAGAGTGACTGCCATAAAGCATTGATGTTTTATGCAATTATATAACAATTTCATAAATGTTTGCATTTTACAATAGAAATTAGTAAAGTTATTAGTAGAAATTAGTAAATCAATGCACAAGTGAAGTATGTATATATACAGTTAAACCTTTAAGTTTACAAAGTTTTACAAAATTACACCTCCTTTAAAAACACTACATAGCAAGTGTAAAGTATATAAGCATAAACCTACACAGGCATAACCCCTTTCCTAAAGCTCAGCTGTTCTACTTCATAAAAGTTCTACTAACTTTGAAGAAAAAAACATTCGACTAAAACATACCTCTAACCATCCGCTATCTTTTCAATGCTCCTGCAAGTAATGGCCTAGACAGAGGCAGACATCTTGCAGTCAGAAGATAAACCTTCTGACCAACTCTGGAGGAAGGTCAGACTCCTAAAATAAATTAATTTCCCAACATGGCAACAGGGGACTTTTTTCTTTTTTCCAGCAGAGTTTAATCTCAAGGCAACTAGAAATGACTGTGAAATGCATATTTAAGCTAAAAAATGTAGGCAGAGTCAGTGATTATTCTCTCCCATGCAGGGAAACATAGCATAGCTGCTCATTTTAGAAGTTTTGAAAAATTAGGCTGCTTTGTTATCCGCTCCAGAGCAGGGAGCTGGAGAACAGTAACAATGTCTTTATAATGGCATTGCTTTCTAAATCTGTAGCACTGCTAAGGCTCAGGGAAACCAATGGTCATACCAGATTGGCATTATGGTGTTTACTTTTTAGGAAGATACCACTCATTAACATAATTCCTTGCTATAGCCCCATACTGCATGTTTGAGAAAGAGGTTTTGTACTTCAGCTACAAGTGTTTTTTTTTTTTTTTTTGGGGGGGGGGGGGAAGGACGGACGGACACAAAATACTTCTTTAGAAAAAAAATCACTTGACCTCTTTCAAGTGAAAACTCCCTCAACTAGGATACATTCCTTATAGAGTTTTACCACTGAACCAGACTGACTTTAGGACATTACAAGCACACACATGCATCACTATACCTGCTCAGCCAGCTTGCCCAGCCTGTTTGGCTGACAGTGGGACCACAAACAGAAGTAACAGAAGCCATCAAAGTGTGTGAAACAGAGAAAAAGGGGAAGAAGAAAATACAAACAAAGAGGCACTGGAGACATAAGATACACACAGTAAGACAGAAAACAAAACTCATACTGTTTCAGAGTGAAAAGAAAATTCCCATTTCAGATTACTTAAGAGCCTGTTTTTTTTTAAAGTGGTTCACTGGGAAACATGCAAGTCCCAGTAAATAAACAAGAGGCTTAAGGCAGATCATACATAATGTCTGCTGTCCTATCATAAATCCCTCCTCCATCTGCAAGTATCTAAATGCTACTTGTAACTTCAGAAGTAACTTTTACTTCTCAGTAGACCAGTCCAGTAAGGTGGTAAGCTGTCACTGATTTATTTGCATGCTAAATTGTATCAAATGCTCAGTTTGGCTACAAATCTATTCATTTAAATTCAACAACATAAAATGTCAGATACAGTTATGCTTTAGAAGAATGTGGGAAAGGGTAAAAGTAAGCTAAAAATAGAATGAAAACAAAGATAAAGAGGTATAAAATGAGGAGAAAGCTTAAATGCCCAGAAGTCCTACATTACTCACAATTATCCTGGAATACTTCCCTGGAAAAAATGTTGATTTGGTGTTTTTTGTTTGTTTCTGTTGCTGTTGGTTTTTTGCTTGCTTTATGCTAGTTTAAGACAAACAGAGTATTCTACCATAAAAAGAGACTGAAGATTTCTCATATTGCTGCCTGTGAATTATCAGAAGTTCTTGATATCATCAAGATAGACTAGCACAGTGTTATTCTAAGTATGGTCTTCTAGATTATTAAGGCTGCTCTTAGATTAATGTCATAGGTATGTGCCTCCAAGTTAGACTGCACAGGAAGCTCTTACCTAGCCCCAAACTGCTATAGTCTACTTAGTTTGAACAGTTTGAACAACAGATAGCCAACATATATTTTTTTAAATCCTTTTTCAGACAGGCCATTCAGAAAGTTATTCTTTGACCCTTGGCATCTAAAATGTTATATTCAAGGAACTTTCAGTCTTTCTTCACAATCTTCTTCATTTCATCTGTATCTACATTTTTTTCTATTTTTCTACTGATTCATAAAATCACTCTGGCCATATTTCTTTATAACTGGTTATCTAGAGGGTGTTAATATTTTCTCCTTTAATATGTGCAAAAAAATAAAGAAACTAAATGAGCAGTTATGAATGACAACATATTTAAGAAGCTGTTGGTTAAACTACACATATGAGATTAGCGTCAACTGAATACTAAGCTATCAAAGACACGTCTGGACAACTGCATGTCATTGTCTCCAGTCTGTGACATGGGGGTGTGTAATACACATGCCTATTCTCCCTCTCAAAGCTTCCCATTTTATACCTTAAATTGAAAGTAAGTCCAACTCTTATATGAAATGACACAAACGTATTTGCATGTTGATAGTGCTCATTTGAAATCTTTCGAAGTGAAAAGAAAACTGTCAACCTTGATAGTTTTCTTGGGTCTTTGAGATAAGAGTTTTTATTTGAGGAACTCTTATCTTCATTTAATTCTACATATACATCAGCTATTTTTCAACAGGCAAAATCTGAATCACATGAAAGCTGAAATTGCATTGCTCAAAATATTTACCATATTTATGAACAGGAAGATATGTATTTAATTTAGTACTGTTCCTGCACAGCAGGAAGGAAAGAAGTTTTGTAATGCTGATCCTCCAAATCAGACAGGCAAATCAACACTATAATTCACAGCTTCTAAGCTTATTCAACTTGGTGAAGAAACAGCAAGCAATGGAGCTCTAGATTATGTAGCTTATTAGAAAAAAATAACACAGAGCTGAATATGACTTCCTATAAAGTTCCCAGAGATACTGTGTGTAAGAGTAAGGAATAAGCAGTTTAATCTCACCTGTAAGCAAATTGCTACGTTGACCCTGCACCCAAATGTAGTGCTCACTGCACGAGCAGAGAGGCCCAGGTCTTTGAATAACTTAGAGAAAGACTGTGTTAATGTAATCCTTGGTCTCTCCTCTGCAACCACCATGCATGTTCGCACACAAGACAAGTTAACTCCTTTCATCTGAGGGGTTAAATAAAGAAAACAATACATTTTAAGTCTGAAATCAGCATTTCTACAAATAAACCATTTTAATTTGTGGAACTGGCTGTCTTTAAAAACTGACATGAATTCGTTAAACAATATGAACACAGACTGCATTCAGTTTGGCTCCAGCCAAGCAGGACAGCCCTCTAAAACTGTGCCAAGCAGTTTTGTGTCACAGTCTGATGTGCAAGACAGAAACCGCTCACATCACGTAGCTGTGACAGACACTCATCATTTTGAGCTGAAAAAACACAAAACATTATTGTGTCTCAGGGAGGGGCAGGCATCCACATGAAGCTCACAAGATACCTGCTTGCTCCAAATGCTACACAGTTCAGATAAAGGCAGAGCACTCAAGATGTTATGAATACTCATCAGCATAAATATGAAACCAAAACAACTGGCTGTGGGCCAAGATTCCCTTCAGTGAGGCCCAGGAGAACAGAGGACCAGAAGTTTTTGTTAGTTTGTTTGTTTTGTTTTGTTTTTTTTTCTATACTGAGAATAAGCACAATGTAGTTGCCTTCTTGCAAGCAACAAGCTGCCAAACATTTCCAGCAGAGGCCCTGAGCAGCTTAGTTACTAAAGCCATGGAAACTCTCTTGCCACTGAGACAGAAGTGCTTTCTCAAATCAATTAAACTTCAGTTAAGAGATTTTCCTCAAAATAAATGGGTGTAAAGTGTGTAATTACAACTGTTAGAAAGATTACATCAGTTTTAGAATTCAATATTGTTTGTCTGAAAAGACCCAAAAGCAGGTGAGACATGGCAAGTGTGGGGTTGAGCAGTCAGTGGGTGAAGGTTTTTGTTTTTTTTCATGTGTGTTTTGTTTTGTCTGTTTGGCTGGGTTTTTATTTTTATTTTTGCCTTCCTAAGTATTTTGTCCAAAACTTCAGAAATACCCAGCAGCACGGAGGAGGCACAAATAAACAGTTGAGAACATAAGATGTCTCCCCCCTCAGAAATGCAAGAGATGCAACTTTCAGCAATCTCAACATTTCCTGCAAAACAAGTGATAATTAAAAGCTCTCAAAGAAACACTTAGAAGACCATGTTCTACAGGACAAAATGAAGTGTTTTTAGGAAAATACATGTATTTGTATGTCAGCGTGCTGAAGAGACAAGTCCACTTACCCGCAGCATGTCGGTCTGTGTTCCAAGCCCTTTGGTGCACATCTCCATCACCGAGTACGAGCAGAAAGTGACACGCACTTTGTATTGACTTACAGCAGACAACCAGAGAGATACATTGCTCTCTAGTTCCAGAGGAGGGACAAGAATAGACTGATGACCTGAATATACACTAAGGAAAACAAGAAAACAAGCATGAAAACTTCAAGCCATCATAAAAAGCGAGAAGTTACTCAAAGAAAAAGGGAACCAAACAACTACAGGAAAAGTGAGAGCTTGATATCTATATGAACTTCAACTCAGCTCTTTAGAAAGCAAGCATCTCACTGGATTTTCAACTGATTAGTTGGCAAGGCACTATGGGTTAAAGTTAAGCCACAAACTTCAAGGTGAATTTATCTGTCCTGCAGTAAGTTGCACTGAACTACAGGCAAATAAATTCTCAGTGCCTTGAAATTTAGGCAACTTTTCATTTTCACATATGTAAACTACAGTAAGAGAGAGGGTAAGAATACATGTGCCATCCCACAAACCTCTGCCTTCTTTGCAAAGCCTGCTTCCCATGGCAGGCTGTGGTTGCAGCTCTGTCTCTTAGACCTGTTATCTCTGCCTGCTAGGCACAGCATGCAGTCAACACAGCTTGCACGAGAGGCATTGCCTGCCTAGCCTTGACCTAAGAATCAACATCGCCCTGGCAGCTTTCACTGCGGATTCAGAGCTATGAGGAAGCATTCATGCTCTTTGGCTCCCACCTCACTCACACTCATGGCCCCTCCTCACTCTTCTCTCACCCTCTCCACAAGCACCCAATATCCAGCACAGACTGTGTGCCTTGCAGCAAACGCCACTCATGTCTGCATCCAGGAAAAGCACCTGTCTAAATCTGCGTGGTGAATGAGAAGAGAGATTTGGTAGGAATGATATTTCTGCAGGGAGGTGACAGTTAGAATAGAAAACATGAATGTTGTTCAGGGGAGAAGTTCAAAACCATCAGAGTTTCAAAGAAAGGAATTTCAAAGAGTTTCAAAGTTTTCAGAAGTTCAAAATCATCAGAGAAGATATCCATGAAAACACTTCAGTTCCTTTTTTCCCTCCCTTGGATTTGGTGTCTAATTAATTCCAATTGCAAAACCAAAGTTACTTAAGTAACTGACTGACTTAAATAACTCTTTTACTGCATGTTGGTATGAATGCTGTATGTTTTTATGAAATGCCTACAAAAAGTTAATCTGGGGTTACACTTATAGTCTTGTCCACTACAACTAGCTGGGATTCTACAGAAGTGAGGAGAAAGATAGGGACATGTGAGAAAACCTATGATTCAGTAACATACCTGCACAAGCACCATAGTGCAAATCCCAAACCACAATAAGGGTCAAGGCAGATGGCAATCTGACGCGAAGGGTATAGCTCACACTGTAGCTTTATAGAACGACATAAGGCACTTGTAGCTGCATGTGACATCTGTAAGAAGAAAGCAGGCTGTCTTCAAGGATTTTTTTAAAAAGAGGTATCACATTTAATACCAACAGAAATGCTTGTTGTAGAAGATACAGCAACTGGTAGTGATTCTTTTTACATGCCTGTGAAACAGGAAAGGGATATAAGCCCAAATTTTTAGCTACTTATCAGGCTATCTGTAAGTGATACCTGTGATGTCAAATAATGTCAAGGAATGTCTAATATTGCTGTGATAAATTGCAATTGAAAACATTTGTGAACTTCATCACAAACACCCTCCCTTTAGTCCCCTCAGTGATTCCTCACATACAACCAGGTAGGAATGAATGCTTCCGAAAAGTGCATCAAGAAACTTTAATGTCATGCACATTTTAGAACAAGCCTTCTGAACACTAAGATGACCCACTGGCAGAAGGAATGAATGTGAAATATGCCAATATATAAGAAAATTAAATTTAACAGTCTCTCTTCAAGTACTCTACCTTTACTCCTGCTAATATGCCAGTAGTAGACACGCTGAAGTCCAAATATGCCAGCATATCTGGAGATGTAGGTCGGAAAATATTAGCCAGCTTCTTTTTCGGCATATCATCTAGAGAGACCACAGGATTAAAATGTATCTTCACAGAATTAACACTGGATGCTTTCTATAGGTTCTGGATGGCTATGTCAATGCAATGCAAGAGACATCCATTTAATTAGGCAGCTATGGTATAACTACAACAACAATAATCAGTCTCCAACCTATATACATTTTATCTAGTGGACAAACATTCTGTACCTGTATCCAAAATAGTGGGCCAAGTCTTAATATCTACAGCTGCTGCAGCTTCTTTGGACTTCAGCAGTTTCATTATCACTTGTGTGGTAAGTATACATGCAGACTTACTGACCTGTAAAAACAAAACAAAACAAAACACGGCATTAAAAACATTGTAAAGCCAGTTAACGAATTCTCCGGGAATTTCATATCCATGTGAACGAGATAACTAGTAAGCTGAATACATGAAGAAAAGCAGCGGAAGTAAAGCAAAATAATTTACAATAGCAGAAAGAACATTTTAAACCAGTTTTAAAAGAAGTATTGATTGACTCAGTCACTGCACACTGATTTTCTTCTGGCTTGTTTTACACTGATTGTGGCAAAATAATTTATCAGGCAATGTAACTATCTGCATCAACTGACCTACACCCACCACAAGCATTAAAAGAGAAATGTCTTATACATACCTCTACAATCATTTTGACAGTGGGCAGAGTGGTAGCAAGATTCTGTGGATGAGGTGGGCGAACAGTGATAGGTATACAGCCAGCATATAAGCAGCCATAGAAAGTCGCTATTAAGTCTACGCCTGTAAAGAATATTTGTGAAATTAAAGCTATTTTATCAGAACAAAAGGCCAAACCCTTTCAGCAAGATCAAAATATGCACTGAGAAATTTTATTTTATTAAGGCAAGGATTTGTCACAAGGTCTTTTTGAAGCAACCGCCTATTCTTGGCCAAACCCAGTCATATAAGGTTAAAATAATTTGTATTTGAGAGTTAGCAAAAAGTATTTAAAATCTAAAAACTTTAAAATTTTTAGAAATTTATTTTCATGGACAGGCAGCATAAAAGATATTAAAAAAAAAAAAGAAGGTACTGTAAGGTTGTGAAGATGACTCAAAGTCTTTTTAAAAGTATTTTTTCACAATTGTAACTATGAAATACTCAGTCATCCCACTTGTAGAGGATTTTTTTTTCCTGAGGTACACCTGTAAATACACACTAATAATGCAATTCTGAGGTCCAGATTTCACTTCTGCAGGCAGTCATTCAGAAAAAACCTGAAATATCAACACTGACATCCCTAATGTTACTTTCCATGGTTACATATCCAGTTTTATTCAATTTCCTGAGCCTGAAAATCCAGAATTTTTCATGTGGTTTAGAACAAACTATATTTGGATAACTGTCCAGAGATCTGGAGTGGTTAGATAAAGAGTTTGGTAAATTCAGTTTGACATTCTGAGAAGCAGCTTATTGATAAAACAAGTCTTTTCCTTGACATGTTAAGTCACTACCATATATAACTATATTAAAAGGATGTTTGAATGTTTTCTTGGCAAGAGCTGTTTCTTTTTTTATGATGTCTGACTTTGACTTTTCCTGTTTGTATTGCCTTACCCGGAGGATAAACCAGGGCTACATGGTCACCAACATTCAGTCGTCCTTTCTCCATCAGTGCAACTGCCACTCTCTCTGCTCTCTTGTGCAATTGTATGCATGATGCAGTACTAGTTACAGTGCCCTGCAGAGAACATAGGCAACTTCAGAAAACTTTGCAGAAAACATTTTGACACTGAATAAAGTACATGCTGCAGATGCAATATTTCCATTTCATAGTAGTTATTTTAACAATACAGCAGATTTAAAGACTCTGTCAACATATGCTTCACATTTCAGAAATTGTTATTATGAACTTTTAGCATGTTAGAGTATTCTACAGATATTACCAGAAGCAGTTCTTAAATGTATTTGGTACCACAAAAATAATACCTTACAAATATTTGAAATTTATAGTCCAAGGGAGAAAAAACAGTAGTATCAGTTATTTTAGCAGCAATTGAAGCACTTCATCTGCTTTGTTTCATTTCAGAGTGTATGAGCATGGGTTACAGAAAGCTATCAATCAAACAATTTTTTCAAATTGTTAACGCTACACTGACTGCAGTGCTTTCCTCTTATTCAACAACTCTTTATTCTATTTCCTTATCTCCTATTACCTTTTCTGCAGATTGGTAGTGACTGTAATCATTTCTGTTCTACCACGTGGAGAAGGGGCCTATATAGGATCACAGAATGGCCTGGGTTGAAAAGGACCTTAAAGATCATCTAGTTTCAACCTCCCTGCTCTGGGAGGGTTGCCAAATGTATGTATCTGGAGGCACTGTCCAAACCTATGTTTACACTGTGAGATCACATAGTGCATAAACAGCAGAGCCCAGAGGCTTTGGCTCTGCTATATGGCTAGGCCATAAACCTTAGTGGTTTCTCTACACTCACAACAAAAGAATAAATAATCACAAAATCTTAACCACAGAGCTTCTGGAACAGAGAAGGCAGGAATGCACCTGGTCAAAAACTTCAAATTACAGGCAATTAAATCCTACCCTCCTATCTCCTTCCAGTGGCACTTTATCCAGGTGTACATACAGTGGCTGACTAAGCAATCAAACCTCACAGCTGTAGGTTACCTGAAAGTTACCTTTATCTTTCAGGAACTAGGTGACTATAGAACTACTCTACCATACAAAACTAAACCTCCAGGTTTTGCAATTAGCATTCTCAAGAGTGTGAAGAGAACACTACAATGCCTTTGATACAGATATGCTATTAAAGGGACAGAGAAGCAACCAGAGCTGCAGTTGGTATGCACTGTCACTTTTACACCAGTGCATCTCTGTGTTGTAGAAAGCACATTTCCTTAAACCGTGTATTTGGACAATCTTCAAATGGGAAAAGCTGTATCTTTGGATTACTTAGGCATTCACCAAAAAGTCATGGAGACTACTGAAGTCTTAATCCAGATTTTGATGTGAAGACAGTGAAGGTCGTTTTGCTTCCCAGTCTTAGGAAATGACGACTTATCCTTTATGAGACTACAATCTGATGTAAGAAAAACTGGTAGGACAACCACCTCACAGGGAAACAGAGACTTAAATCAAGCCTCCCACTATGCAGATAAGGATTATCACAGCAAATGTCTGTTACATAGGTATCCAGTTTCACATCCAAAACAAGCTGCCTCAGCCCAAGCTGTTTGATCCAAAGCCTAATCTGATGCAGGACAGCATGGACATCCTGCTTGGTTTTACTAAGAAAACCTGCTGAAGTGCAAGTCTGTGAGCTAGTCATGCACAATAAGAACAGTAAAATCACACAAGTGAGATGGGAACTTCAGCAGCTCAAGGACTTGGGAGGAAAAGATTGACATGAAAAGGTATAGAACAGAAGGGTTTCTCATGTGGAGTGGTGAACACATAATTGTTTAGCATTGCAGCTTATTAGTCCGAGCTATTTAAGGCACGTGTTCACAGTAAGATAATTTATTTGTGCTTAAATTCTGTATCATCTTTTTGCAGTCACCCTTCATCTTTTTGCAAAAAGTAAAAGTTGTCTGAACAAAGTGACCTAGAAAGGGACTTCACATTAGAAAACTTTCCTCTTTACTCTGAGAGGTAAACCAATTCTACGGATGGCTTTTAACTATAACCATAATGAAGCAGTTTCACCATCATAAACAAGTTTCTTATGCTAAACCAGAGTCTCAGGAGAAAAGTCAGAACTTTGAACCATGTCCTAAACCATTTTGCCTGTCTGAACAAGAGACCCAAAGGCAAATCCCTTACTTCACAGGACTGTTGCTGGACCTTCTGGAAGCCCATATGTTATTTCACATATCTGCGGTACAGTACAGCACAGGGTAGACCCAATTTGTCACTGGGCTGTTATCATCATTGGAAGAGTAGCTAGTGAGTACAGGCTCAAACCAAAATTGACTCCTGGAGACTAATCTTGCCTCCTGGAAAGAAAGGAAGGTAGAACAAAGGGGGGGGAAATATGCCAGAACAGAAGCAGAAGATCTAAATCATCTGAATATTATGAAATACACACAGCAGTACTGCTCCTCAAGCTTCTCAAGGGATGCTGAAATATTGAGGAACATAGAAAAGCACAGTTTTTGTTTTTTTTACATCTCCTTACAAAGTGTTGGATGCTTGGGGTTTGTGTACACTCCAAAACTACTGAAAACTACTGAAGTACAGAACAGAGTGACTACAAGCAAATACGATCTACAAACTAAGAAACACGACTGTTGCCTTGTCATATATCATAAAGGCTACAAAAGCCCTAAATAATATGTATATATAAATACATATACACTGCCTGTGCTCCAAAATTGAAGCATTTACTTATTCGTGTTTGAGTGACATCCTTTTTAGGGGGGAAAGGCTAATAAAGACAAGGCATCAGTGTCTCCTGAAGAGTATGCAGTGCTTCTGGGAAACAGGACTCCAAAGTTGTTCCGGGGGTTCTCTGCCTAAGCTCTGTATCTTCTAATGAAAAAAAAAAAACCCTCCAGCTGTGATTTCCTCTTTGCCTTATGCTCAGGAACAAAGACAGAACTGTGACTTCCATTAAAATGACGGAAGTTGTTTTCCAGCAGGAAACACAACTGCTGACATGTTTTTAAGTTAGAAATACAAAATGCACACTAGAATTTTAGACATGGAATAAAATTCCAGATGTAGAATTATGCTGCTTTCTAACCACCAATGATTTATATTTGCTTCAGAACCATGACATGACACATTAAAATAACTTGAAGCATTTTAGGAAAAAGACTTCTATGTGTTTTTGTCTTAGAATTCTTAGAGATCTTGGATGTCTTTTCCAAACTTAGTGAATCTAATTCAAACAATCCTTTACTGATCTTGACCTTAAAGCAAAATCTAAGATGCATTTCACCTTGGAATTCAACAACAAGAAGAGGGGATGATCTGGAGTTGTCTGAGCTCGCCACTGAAGAACATCTGCTAAATACAGGAACTGAAACAGAAAAAGAATAATAGAAAACATTCAGATTCACTAAGAATGCCCCATGCTTAGTTTCAGCAGAATACCATGACTGTTCTTCCCTAACTTTGAAGAAACCAACTCAAATATTTAATATTACTAGGATGCTTGCATTACCTTTCTTGCTTGATCGTTATCCTCCAACTGGGTAACATCTCTCCCTGAGGCTTGTGCAATTCTCTTTCCAGCAACAAGATTTCCTACTATCATTGAAGCAGGACCAACATCTGTATTTTAAAAAACAGTGCAAAATAAGAAAAATAAAATGTAATAAACATGCAACAATCAATAATTCAGACTGTAGATTGCTATAAATGCCACTTGGAATATAGACAGGAAAAGATGAAAAGCTAAAAGCAAAGACCATATTCCGTAGAATAAGAGAGACGAGGATAATACGGTACACTAAAGCAGTCTAGTACTGACTCAGTAAGCTGTGGTCTATTTGTACTTCAGTTCTCTTATGTGAGTTACAGTATGTAAGAAGACTCATCTGTGCAAGATTGCCAGTACTGGAACAATTTACAATATATTTATGGAAGCATGAAAATGGGACATGCTGTCTGTCTTCGCATTTAACTGGGATTCAAGGTAGACCATAATACCCCCACTGAGCTCTAGGCTGCTCTGACACCACCACTAGCTTTGCTAAGTTAGGCATCTTGAAGCCATCCAAGATGCACAACCCTGAGCTCTCACATTGCTACCAGGTCACCCTACACTTGCCCTCAGAAACAGACAGGTAGACCTAAGCAACATGTGCTGTTTTACTTACCTGGTTGTTTCTGTCGAGGCTTAGGCAGGTTAGTAACGCAAGTATGTGGACACATCAAGACATTACAAGGGTGCAGAGCACCTTCTAAAAAGCGCTGCTTGGTTTCTGAAACATGAATTCCTCCAAGTGGTGCTTTTGGCAAAGTGTTGGCTGGCACCAAGGCAAGACAGTAGACGCCCACTTGGTGAATGCTATCAATTGCCTTGATAAAGAGAAAAAAACAACAAACACAACAACAACAAAATATTCCACATTATCAACTGGATGTAGATAAAGCAAGAATTCAAGTCATTTAATAACATTAAAATTTTTACTTGCACCATAATTTGCAAATAAAGGGTCCAATTCTGCACTCACTGAACTCATAGAAGTTGTGCCATGACTTCAATGGGAGCAGGAGCAGACCCAGGACTTTGCTTGTGCACGCTATCAATGGGATGCCACCTGCACATCAGGGATTAGGAAAGTCTCTTAAAAGTGGGCAACAAGTGCAGAGATTTTAAAAAGCCAAAACTATATCACAGCAAATTTAGCACGTATGGCACGATCACAAAAGCACAGTAGAACATAAAACCACAAAAATAGGAAGGGAAACATCTTGCTACCTAAAACTGAGGTGTCCATTTTAGCTATGACACTTCTAAAAATAGAAATAACTAAAATTTCTCTTGTGAAAAACAGCTTATTACCAGGTATGCCCTCCAAAAAGATTAAAACCTGAAATTAGACAGAAACTGTAACTACAAAACTGTGTTGTGCTTAAGAGGTATCTATCTTCCCTTGTTTTCTCTAGTTTTCCCTTAATTTGTCCTCTTGACAGAGTCTTCTTCTATAATTGTGCTCTCACTTTTTACTTTCTTATAACTGTTCAATTTGTTCCAAAATCCTTAAATGCAACTACCGGAATTCCTCCTGACCCCCAAGGAAGCACAATACAGTAAACAAGAGAAAAAAGTTTTCACTGCTTACTATTGGAGATCTAGAATAAGAACATTAGTGACTTAGATTCTAGGGTCTGTTTTGCTAATTGGCACTAAGTAACCTTAAACATTTTCAGTCTTAACTCTCCCAGCCAGTATGAAATCAGCAGAAACCCATAGAATTAAAACACACAAACTGTCATCCTAGTAATACTAAGTTCAAAAACATTCTGAAAAGCAGTCTTACTTTTTACATTTTTTTTTGGTTAACTGTCAGCTCTGAAATACATTCAAAGTCAGCATATTGTAACTCTAGTTACACTGGAAGTTTTTTTCTTATGGAAAACAGATGCTCTAAGATTCTCATTTCATTCATTAGCCTTATTCACCTGGAAAGAGAGAAAGGACAGATCTGACTACCTGTAGAACCCTGCTCATCCACTGAAAACTATCCTCCTCTGATGCATCAGGGCGCTGCTCTGCCACAAGCACTATTCGATCATCATGCAAAACGGTCACAGAAAAAACTGCTATCCTAAAACGCAAAGGATAGAAGAATGATAGGATGCAACATATGATGAACATAGCATGGCTTACTATAATATGGCAATGACTGCAATCTTCAATGGTACTGCTTCAACACATACAAGTATTATTCATGCCAGATCATCGCAAAATCACAGACAAATTTAGAACAAATGCAAGTTTATTTCTGTAAAATTCTACTGGGGGTCAAGTGAATTTGCAGTCACTAACGTGTAGGATGTGTTTAACACGGGCAGGTTCTATACATGCAAGGGCTAGGCAAACCTTGCCTATATAGCTCCATCATGCACACTAAACCCGTTGCTCTTACATACTTCATCTGTCCTGAAAGACAACAATTATGCCAAATTACTGGCTAGCATGTCTAGTGATGTTTGCACTGATGAATACTTACTCCCCTTTTGTGAATTAAATTAGTTTTAGGCTTGCAACTTCTAGGACAAAATATTAATCATGTCTTAACCAGGTATCTGCCATTATTTTTATGACCTGTGAATTGAGCAAATGATGCAAAAATGAAGAGAGCTCAACTTTGTGAGTCGGTAATAGTTCTGTGTCACTGTCACAGTTGCAGAAGAAAAACACTTGAACTAAAGGATTCTCAACTGAAGAGCAGTAAGGTTGGTGACACAGCACACACACTCTTTGAAAGCCCTTCAACAGCACTTCCAGTTTGTTCTTTAGAACACTGTAAAGCTCTTCCCTAGGCCACTCTGCATAAGACTGCTCGGGTGGACAAAAGGGAGCTGTATTTTACATTCTGTATCACGCTTCATTTGACTGTCTTAAGAGAAGCTTTGAAATAAGTTTTAAACAGACACTTAAAGTTTGATGTTTATAATATATGAAGATAATTGTAAATTATACAGAAATCTAATATGCAAGAAGCAGGATGTCACTATTTGTCTTCCAAATTAGCAGTGACAGCCAAGTTCTTATTTGGCATACCACAACCTAGTGCCATTTTTCCTGGAAAGTAAACATGTAAAAATTCACATGAGGAACTCCCACATACACTATATTGCTTGTTCGTTGCTTGCAGATGAAAAAAGAGCAACAAAGTTCAATCAATGGTGGTAAAGTTTATAATATACTCACCTTCCCCGGTAGACAAATTTCATTGGTTCTACTGCTAATGCAGTGGCTACTACATCATCTGCATTATGTCTGCGACCACTAACTGTCATTAGGCCATCCAATTTTCCTACCACAAACACCAAATAGTCCTGAAAAGAAGACAAGATTAGAAAAAGATAAGGAAAAACCTGGCAATATGCCTGACTAAAACCAATGATATTCACAATATTGGTATGAGGTCACTGCCCTGACACAGAATTGTGCTCAGTGCATCTATGGTCACAAAGGACCCAGCTTGCTGCCTACATGGGCTGCACAGCTCAAGGCATATAGACACTGACTTCCAGCATGGACTTGAAATAGTATCACCACAGCTGCCACCAGTCAAGAGGCAGTTGAAGACATGGGCCAACTATTACGGAAAATAAATGAAAATACTGCTCCCTCAAGGGGTAGATGCTAGTTTGTTTCACTCTGGCTTCACTTCATCTGCAAGCTGTCATAGAAGCTCTTCTGTTCTGTTTCCCCACTGACAACCTATCTCCTCTTCATTGTGTACCAGATCAACTGGGGTGGGTATGTGTCATTCAGATGTGGGTGTCAGGAGAAAGTGAGGCCAAAACTGCTCATTCACACTTACAGGACCCACAAAGCCAAGTAATCCTGTTCTTGTAAAGGGTTGATCTGAAACAGGCACACCGGTGGCCGTCACTGGAATGGCCTAAAAGAACACAGAAGAAATATTCACACACACAGTACTAAGAAAACCAAAGTTAAAATACTTTCTGCCTCTGTTCACCGCAGCTGAAAAATTCAGCTGAAAAATTACTTGAGGACAACATTCACTATCACGTCAAGTATGAACAACAGCTTTTACAATAATGAAAAACACACCAGTCCATCTAACTCAGGTGGTTTCCTTGCCTTTTTTTTTTTCTTCAACTGTTGCATTACATCAGGTATCTCACTGCTGTTCTCACTAGCTAACTATAGTGCTGAAAGCTAAGGTGTTTAAAGTTTTAAGATTAGGCAAAATGACAGAAAGAGGCTTTTTTGAAAATGAAGACCATGGCCAGGATTTCTCTCACCTTTCTTCTAGAATTCCATACTTCAGCCAAGCCTCCAAATTTTCGCCCACTGCAATACTACTGCAAAAATACTACTTCCTCTCCTTTTTTGCCAGAACAGGGAAAAATTGAAATTAGGATACCCCTGTGAGGAAAAATCTGGGCAGAATAAATATCAAACTAACTTCTCTCTGTCCCAAGCTATGCACCAATAAATTGAAATATCTTCATGTAACTTTACGTAAGACTTAATGGAGATAAATTTAAATGCCAACATGGACACAATACTGTATTGCAGAATATAGAGGCAGCTGACTGACTGCTGATGGTCCTTTGTATTTTGGTTGTAAGAGAAGGAATTTCAAGTTCTGACACGAAAAATGAAGGACACTGTATTTCACCATGGCTTTTTATTTTTAAAAAAAGGGGAAGTAATAAAAAATAAAAAGTGAAATAAATAAAAATGAATGAATGAATAAATAAATAAATAAATAAGTGGAAGAAAAGATATTATTTTCAAGCAGAAATACCAGAGCTACAACAATTGTACATTACGCAGAGTTACAACAACTGTACATTACACAGAGAAATACAAACCTCAAACACATTTTTGGTGATTCCAAGAAGGCCAAAATATGCCATTCCAGTTGCACCTGAATTCACACATATTTCTCCAACCTCATCAGCTTTACACAGATAAGGAGTCCCATCCACCTTCACGACACAAACATTTGCTAAAGGGAAAGGAAGAAAACAGAATCATAACATTGGTATATTTCAGCAACTGATACAGAAGTTACTTGGCTACTGGTAGACAAATAAAAATTTTAATATAATTTATCTAACAGCTACAGAAAAAAACACAGCATGCAAGAGAACTCTCTTTCTGACAGCCTGTGCAATATGATCTCCAAGATGAAAGATACAAATTTGCAAATGCATTTTTTTTTAACAGCGCTTCACAGCCTATGTATCAGATGCAACTGACTCCAAAACTGTAGCAATTGCTTTTCAATATGAAGGCAGGTGGTTTCTTCAAATTAAAGCTCATATGAGAATAAAGATGAAAAAGAAAAGATATTAAGTTACAGATGTACCACACCTTTTATTCTACTATTACACTTTTGTTTTCATAGTTATGTGAGAAACACACTAGAAATGGCGAGAAAATTAGGCCATTATAATTTCTCACTGCCAGGTCATGATTTTTCTGCATTATGTCCCACCCTCTTTTAAAGCAGTCTTCCATCTACCATCTTTCAGAGAGATGTCTCTTGCTGAACCTAATCCCATGACAACACATTATTTCTTTCCAAGCTTCAGTGCGATGACTTCATCTTGTGACAACTTTCTTCAAATCATTAAAACTATTTCATTTCATAAAGGTCCTACTACTATTATCCTCCTGTTACTTAGAAGAAAACTAATTTTCTTCTGAAATCTCAGATCTTCCAACACTGACATTTTCTTATTTTTAATCATGCAAATACACACTTGTAAACCAAATATAACGCTGATCTTTGCTCTGGCCACTGGTTATATATCTCACTTCTGAAGCAACAATTTTTTAGAAGTTTCTCTGGCAGAAACCTTTTCTCTAGCAGACCCTTTGCTTATAGCAGTTGGGATTTGTCTCTTCCCATCACCAAAGTGAAAAGAAAAAGCACAATAAAGGAGAAGGCACAACAGAGCAACAAAGTTTATCTTAGCACTTACAGACAAGATTAAAAAGAAATCAAATGGGTCATCTTAGCCAATATGAAATACACAGAACATTTGAAAAACAACACAAACTATGCCACGAATTAATTTTCTGCCCTTTCCCATTGTACCTGCTTCCAATCCAGATTATCAGAGTATTTTGTTGTCAAGTGTACTGTATGTAAAAAGGAAAGATTTCTATCAGGACCCTTTGAATGTTTTGGACATGGAACGTATGGCAGATATGAAACCTAGATATGGCTGACAACAGCCATTATGAAGGAGTGTATTATTGCATTCCAATTTAGCCAGTCTTAACCGATACTACAGATAGCCCTTACTTTTACCATTGTTCAACCAGAACAAAAAGAAATCCTAAAGGGAACATAGAACATTTTATCCAAAAATAACACATGATACAGTTAGTTCTGCTGCAAGCATGGGCCAAGTTGCTAGTTGATAAAGTGCTTAAGGACATTGTCGAGTCTCAGTGAAGTATTCAGTCCTCGACAACTTATGTCTGAACAGGAAAGACAATAATTCACCCTACAAATACACCAACCTCTAGATTATCTTGGTTTCATAAAGAATAGGTAATTTTTTAGAACAACAGATGTTTATTAATACAGAGTGTGGGACCCTGTGATATTAACCTTCACTGACCAAAGAAGGAGACTGCATGGTCAATGACTGGTACAGGTCCAACTCCAAAGCAGAACAAGAGTTTCAGCTGCTGAAAATATGTGTGAACTACAAGGTTGGAAAGAACCACCAGTTCATAATTTAGTCATTCAGAAAAACTCATTAAAAACATTAGAAACTTTTAAAAAGGCAGTTCAAACCTTTGTCACAAATTGAAACAGACACTTTATTACCAAATAATAGTCTTCAACTCATTCACAAACACAGAGAGCACAGCCAATTAGCCTGCGGTTCTGAACTGATGCTCCATCCATGAAGCCCTAGGACAAGCCTATCACCCTGATCAAGTCAAAAAAATACTTACCAGTAACCAATGTATGAAATAGGTAGTCTACACATACATTCTAACAGCAGGCATAGTTCTGCCTTGCCATGTGTTACTGCAAGGTTTTCCTTTTGCAGCACCTGTAGAGCCTGTACTTGGGCTTCTTTTTTTCCTGCTTCATGTGTGCTATACAAGAGAGCGCATCTACCACCATTTCAGTCTCTCAACAGCATCGCATCTGAAAAAGAATTAGAGAAGGGAAAGGTAGATGGGACAGGAATGTACATGTGGACTACACATCATGAAGAATACTGATTACTGGTAGGAAAACTTCCTTTCTTCAAATGAGTCCACATGTACATTCTTACAGATGGAGTCTCAGGAGTTAGCCCTGCCATGAGATTTCTGGCAGAGGATGAGAATCCTATTGTGCAAATAAATGACCAAACTGATACCCCTACTGAAGAGTGGACTTAGCTTTGAATATTTCAAGAACAGCACTACATGAATGTTAGAATTCTGGAGGTCTACACAGCAGATCGCTAGAACAGAAAACTACTGCCACCAAGGATGCTTGATACGTGTTAGAATGTTAGAAAGTGTTTTCATTCCATTTTCATGGTTTCATGGCAGATCCATATGCAACTGTTACAGTGTGCCAATAGTGGAATGCCAGAATCTTCTTGTAGGGAGCAAGTCTTCCTGAAAGTCCTGGGGCCGTGAAAATAAAAAGAGGGCCCTTCTAGCACTGCAGGTGTTACAGCTTCTGTTATAGAAGCAGGAAACCTCAGGAAAAATAACAAAAAGCTAGGATAAAACACCTCTAACTGCCACTGTTGAAGGCACTCGCAGTAGTTCCAGAGAAACCTAATCCCTGAAGGAAACAGCATATGAGGCTGTTCAACAGAAGGACCTGAATATTTTCCCTGTCTTCTGGAAAGGGCATTAGGCATAAAGTAAGGTCATTCATAGACGAAGATGAACAAGACTCTAGACTCTAAAAGTGGTCATGCAAGTAACCAGAGCACAACATTTAAATTGGAAGAGAACATCTCATCATAAATGTACCCATCACCACAGATCTCCAAAAGTAGGTCTACAGTGGGAGGGTGTTGTGCTGTCACATGACAGCCTGAAGCCAAATGGAACACAGAACTGAGATGGAATACTGTTTCTTCACATTCACCATCTAAGGAATAAGACGAAAAGCATCATGAAATTGTCCTGTAACAGCTCCCTTCAAAAATCAGTAAGAGGCACTGAGATATAGGAACTAAATTTTTTTGCAATGAAGAAGCATCGTGATAACCACCGGAATCTGCACAAATGTTTGCTGAGACACAGACATCTACAAACTCAAGACAAAGGAAGCATCCTAACATCCTGTTCTTTTTACAGAAGCTTAAGATCTGGCTCCAACCTAAACTTCTCTGCTTGAATGTAAGAAAGTAACTGCTGCAGCACTTTATGAACCAGGTTTTGTATGATTAGGAGCTGTAGGGATATAGATGATCTGGATTGATAGGGTTATTCTACTGTCAAAGAAACAATGTGAGGAAAATTCCTGCAAAACAATGGAAATGGTAAACAGCAGGGAGGCAAAATTGAGTCCCCTGACCATCCACATCCTAGCATAAGATATTATAAGCTTCCAAGATGATAGGTGACATGCTGGTTGCATCCCAATTGATGGGAAAGTTGGAGGCTGAAAACAAAAGACAGGTTTGATACTCTCACTACTATCTTTACCAGTCCAATTTGAAAAAAAAAAAAATGGACTAAAGACCATTATGAGTCAAATACTGCTTCTTACCAAGGTTGGTTCCAAGACAGAAAGCATGCAAAATAGCCCGAGCTCATCAACAGGTGAGACGAAACATCATCCTTCCAGGAGCTACATAGGAGTTTTTAGGGAAATGCATACTAGATTCTCTCCTACAAATTCCCATGCTATCTTTCATGCAGACATTTCTTTGTGGATGCTTGCACTTCCCTGGTGGTTCTTGTGATTGGCATTCATGGTAGATAATCAAAGTGAACAGCCAAGGCAACTGAAGAGAATATAGCATTGAGAGTGGCCTGTGGGTTAAACAGCATCAACACAAGACATCATGCTGGTGCTAAGGGGTCTGTCTTATTTGCTAATTAAGACACTGTAAGAAGGTGGACCCACAGTGTCTCAGAACGAATAGCAAGGTCTGCAGAAAAGGACGGCAGAAGTGGACACTTTATGTCCATGACCTTTTAAGAAGCTGGCTCCTGAATAAAGCACACCAGGGATCTTCAAGGGTACTGAAATCAAAGCCATTTGGCTTGACTGAACAAGCCTCAGCAAGACTACTTGTTCTTGGCTAGGAGACTACTTTCATAGCACATTTCATAGAAATTAGAGAAAAGCCCAGCTTGGAAGGGACCTGAGATCTAGTCCAACCTTCATTTGCCCAAACGAAATTCAGGAATGTGAGCTCCTATGTTTTAAGATGTTTGAATGACTAAGGCATATAGTGACTTCCAAGACCTTACAGAAGTATTCCCTAAGTATGGAATACAGCTTTCAGGGACAGCATGACACTCAAATTAGGCTTTTGGTGAAAGCACTGCAATCTAAAGAAAGGGAAAAAACAGGGAAAGATCAAGACTCATCAGTCTGCAGAGTAATTCAAAGTGACAAGTGACAGGCAAGGAAATGGTGGTATGTTCTCTCCTGTGTGCCAAACACGAAGGGACAGAGCACATCCTTCATGATACTACACAGGAAAAACCATAAAACTTACAAGGCAAGGCACAAGTATATCCAATACTAGAATGTACACGCTGACTCATTTGAAAGAATTCATTAAGTTCTTTAAGACAACAATTTCTTTTCATTTGGCATAAATCTTTAAACAACTGCTCGTTTTTGTTTTTAAAGAGACAGTCACAAGCAACAAAATTCTTAGATTATCACCTAGAAAGCACCCTCTTATCTATGTTCTGACTTAGAGAATGTACAGAGACATTTCTGCTAAACTATACTTGACATGGAATTTTTATCATTCTGTCAAATTGAAATTAATCTGCCCTACAGACTAATAGCTTGATGCTGATGAGAGTTTTAAAACAGTTAATGAATTAAGTCATTTAACATCAGCTTAACCTACACGTAGTTTTGCCACTTACTACTTCTTTTAAAATATCAATAGCCATCCACTACAAGTCATATCACTTCAAGGCATAAGACGGATACACACTTAACTATCCCTCTCATCAGACAAGTCACTCCATGTTTCTCACTGATATATAAAATCATGATAGTGATGCCAATTGTCTGTAAATGACATCTTAAAACATACCAGCTTAGAAGAGGAGATCTCTGAATATTAACCAGCTTTCTTGGGCCTCTCTCCTCCCCAGAATGTTATCCCACGGGACTCTTTCAAGCCAATTCATGAAGAGGCCAAAGTCTCCTCTCCTTAAGTCCAGCATTGTGATCATGCTTCTTCCCTGCTCCTTCCTCTCATGATCTGGAATACTGCTATCTCATGATCACGTAGCCTTCAACTTTCACATCCCCAATGATCTCCCCTCTCCTTTTTTGTGAGTATGAGGTCCAGCAGAGCACCTCTCCTCAGTGACTCCTTTATCATTTGTGTCAGGAAGCTGTCATCACTGCACTCCAGGAACCTTCTGGTTTGCTTATGCCCTCCTGGGTTGTCCCTCCAGCAGGCATTAGGGTGTTTGAAGCCCCCATGAAGAGCAGAGCCCATAGATTTGAGGATGCCATTGGTACAAGGCCTCATCCACTTCTTCCCTGTCAGGTGGCCTACAGTAGACATCCACTACAATGTCACCTGTACCAATCTGCTCTACCCTTACCCATAAGCTCTTAGATGTCTCTTCATCCATCCCCAGGCAGACCTCCATGCACTCTAACTATTCTATCACGTAAAGGGAAACAACTCCTCCTCATCTCCCCAGCCTTTCCTTCCTAAAGAGCCTTCCACTGCAACCCTCCAGCCATGAGCATTCCTGTGTGACATGATTTAGGTGTTCCTGCTCCAGCAGGGGGATTGGACTAGATGATCTTTCAAGGTTCCTTCCAATCCCTAATATTCTGTGATTCTGTGATGAGAGCCATCTCACCATGTCTCTGTGATCCCAACACAACTGTAGACCTGCAACTGTACATGTCTACTTCCTCATGTTTATTCTTCACGCTGCATGCATTAGTGTAAATTCACTTCAGAGAGGCATCCCAGCATGCTGATTTCCCGCAGTTTCAGTGTCACGGCTTTATTAAGAGGAAATACCAAAATTGCCGCTTCCTGAATTTTTAAGTTATTATTGTTAATTGCATATCCAGCACCAGATAAAATATATTCTTCACAAATACTCTAGAGCAATTCAAAATGAGAGTCTGGCAGCAACACACACACTCACTATTAGTTTCAAAGATGACAAATTTCTATGCTAACCTAAGTTTCTAGGCCATAAACAAACACTAAAAGGTGGGTAAAGCCACATCAGGACAAAGCTAGGTCTTGGAATGTTGGAGAGCTAAAGATAAAAACAAAAAAGCAGCAATAAAAATAAAGCCTTCAAAAATAGTAAATTGCTGCCAGATATTGAACAATCTCACTAAATCACACTGTGAAGGGCTGAGAGAAACAGAGGAGGTATCTTGGACTACACATGCTCCTGTGGTACACAAAAAGGCTTAGAGAACTGCTGCAGGGGCTGCTGAAGAAAAAGAACTGTCACAGCACACAGAGCAGCTGCAGCTCAGTATGAACACATGGACTATCACTAGGAGAAACAACTGCTGGATAAAACATAACATTTCCTACTAAGATTTAAGGTGTTTTTTTTTTTTTCCTGCTGTACTTGTTATTACATAGCTGTAAATCAGTCTGCACTAATGCTAACAAATGTACAAAAACACAACTCTGAAAACCAGTCAAATGCATGTGCTCACACAAAAACCTATAGTTGTTCAAGTTTATCATCAGTTAATTTCTACTGCAAACATTTAACAATTTAGTTGAGACAGTACTTAATACTGAAGTGTTCGGGTAATGTGTCAAAATGTAAGTCATACTACCTTGAAGATAATTCTCATTTACCAATTTCATTTGTTTCATCGGCATAAGCATAATAGAAAAGATAAGTTACATGGAGTTTGCGTAAACCTACATGAAATGTTTTCCTACCTCCAGGCATAATCTGACCAACATCCTGTACAGTTAAAATGGACAACTTCTCTTCTGTATCCACTCTTATCACACCAAAACTAAGACAATTCATAGATAACACTGCTTTTCCTGGAGGAGGCCCACCCAGTTCTGGAGGTCTGAAAAACAGAAAGTCAAATCAGAATGAACCAACTGAACTGGCTTAGGGTCATCAAAAACACAGTGCAATTCTGTCAGGTCTATTAAGGCTAACCAAAATAATGGTCTTTCATCCTACACAAACAAGAGTTCAAGACTGGTAACGTATTTTACTAGATTAAAAAAATAGTTAGATCAAAACATCACATAGCTTCCTCCCACCCTAAAACATTACGGAGAGGAGTTAGATCTATTACGGGCAAAGTGTCAAGAATAAGTATTCAAAGGCTGAATCTTCTGTCCAACAGAAAAATTAGGAAGTGTTTGTAGGCTCAACAATACTCTCTGAGATGTATTGGTTGAGGACTAACAACTCCATTTTGTGCAGTTGCTCACCTTTTGTGATGACATAGAACAGAAGAATCCAAGTGTTATATAAAAAAAAATCTATTTTTTTTTATTTATTTATTGGGAAAGGTCAGTTCCTGCAGCAGAGAAGATTCTCCAATATTTAGGGATTTTTTTGTATCAAATTTTCTTGAAATGTATTTTCCCCAAAAAAGTACATTTTGTTCAAAACCATGGCCCAAAAAATCCAGCATTCATGTGCCTATTCATAAGCAAAGCATGCTGCTTTCTCAGCACATCACTTTCTATCTCTAGAAATTGAATGGAATTTTCCAGGCCAATTACAATTATTATTGTTTTTCTTTGGCCCCTTATTACAAGACAAAATATGTAAGTCATTGATTAATTGAATTTTCAGTATCTTCTTCCTCCCAAGTAAGCAGAAGTCTTGATTTTAGTGGCATTTCCTAAAGGTCTTACAGCAAACTCAGTGAGGATCAGACCCCATTTTCCAAAATGCTTAAAAATAGTATGGCTGATTACTTCTGGAATATATAACATTTTAAATAAATAAGCAAATAAATAAATAAATAAATAAATAAACAAACACACACACACTTATGTGTATATATATAAAAATTCCCACTTCCTTCAGTGAAGGTGAAACCTGCAAGCCTCAGACTTCCTCTGTCTAGGTCTTTGATCACCTTTGTGTATGTAGTTGTCTTTTTTTGGCAACTACCTTATCACCAGACACATTTCAATAGTCAAGAAATGTTTTCAGCCCAGTTCTCAGAAAAAATAAAATAAAATAAAGAATTACCTGCGAATAGCAACAGTTAGTGCCTCTGAGGAACTAGCACAGGGGCAGATTACTTCCGGTCTCAAACCTCTGGATTGAAATACATTCAGGAACGCATCACAAGAAGATATTGACCCTAAAAAGAACAGGCACACAATTGGAAACATTTCTGCCAAGTGCAGGAAAGCTTGATCTGCAGAATTTCAAAATCTATGCTTACCCTAAGCCCAGTTGTACAAAGACTGTATCCTTGCACAGAAACTACACACTTTCAAACTGCCTAAAGGACACAGTAGCCTACAATTAGATTCCAGATTTGAAGAAAAAAAAGTGGTTAACAAATTCACAGAACGAAATTCTGTGACTCTCTGCATACTCAGAACAGATTTATGAAATTCTGCATAATTTTCCTGAGGCAACGATCCATAAAACTTCACATTATTGAAAGTCTGCCAATGATGCAGTTCTTAAGTTCCTATACAAGTGTTTCTTTCAGATGCCACAGAATTACTCCTTAGTGATAATTCAGGCTGGCAGCAATGACACTGCTGAGAGAAGCCTGAGGGCTATCAAAAGGGACTTCAGGGGACTGGGGTGGTTACTGGATGGAGTGGGTGCACAGGTGTGAGTTTATGTGGCAAGCTTTTGGTAGCAGGGGGCCATAGGTGTGGCCTCTGTGAGAAGAATCCAGAAGCTGCCCCATGTTAGATAAGGGCCCTGCTGATGGCCAGAACCAGGCCAGAAAGTGATATTATCTGTGCCTCTGTGAAAGCCTATTTAAGAAAGGGAAAAGAAAACTGCTGGGGAACAGCAGCTGGGAGAGTGAGAGGAGTGAGAAACAGCCTTGCAGACTCCAAGGTCAGTGAAGAAGGAGGGGGAGAGGTGCTCCAGGCGCCGGAGCAGAAGTTCGCCTGAGGCCTGTGGTGAGGAACATGGTGAAGCAGGCTGTCCCCCTGCAGCCCGTGGAGTACCATGTTGGGGCAGGGTTCCACTGCAGCCCCTGGAGACCCACGGTGGAGCAGGTGGACCTGCACTGACGGAAGCTGCCACCTGTGGAAGACCCCTGCCAGAGCAGGCCCCAGGCCAGACCAGCTGCCCGTGGGGGACCCAGGTTGGAGCAGAGTGCTCCTGCTGGATGGACCCCGTGGTACAGACCCATATCTGGAGCAGTTCTTGAAGAGCTGCTGCCTGTGGCAAGCCCACACAGGATCAGTTTAGGAAGGATGGCATGCTGTGGGAGGGAACCCACACTGGATCAAGGGAAGAGGGTGACTGAGAAGGAGCGATGGAGACAAAGCGCTATAGACTGACCCCCACGCTACTTGGGGGTGAGGGCAATGGTGAAACTGAAGTGCATCCACACCAATGCACACAGCATGGGTAACAAACAGGAAGAGCTGGAAGCCCTATGGGAATGTACAGAAATCAGACACATTGCAACTCAAAGACTTCTTCTACCTGCACTACATGAGCAACTACTTCAAAACTGACATTATGATTTACTTTAAATTTAAAAATCCTGTTTCAAATTACATTGCCAACTATTTTTTATGTAAAGAGTAACAGAATATTTTCTGTGAAAGTTTCTCTCCGGTGTTCTTAGCAAAGAAATGCTGCTGTCTGCCTTTCTGAAGATGAACTGCTGAGCTCCTACAGTACAGAAACAGTGTTGTGATTTAGAACGTACTTCAGTTCACCTTGGACTGACAGCTCAGAAAATACACCTGTACTTACATGGATTAGCTCCATCTGCCACTATTAACATTCGTAAAGAGCTTAGACTGACATCTCTCTGATCTCTCTGAGCCAAAAGTGACCAGTGCATATCACGTGATTTTACTACTGCGACACGGGCTGAAAATTAAATGAAGAAAATAATTATGGCGTGTGTGCAGAACAAAATAAAGACAAAATTTATTAAATTATACAAATATTTTTGCGTATTTACATAAATTTATTAAACAAATTACAAACTACTACTATTTAACTACTATGACCTGTCTCCAAATGGACTTGATTATAGAATTCAAATGCTTACTATAAACTCAATTAACAGGATGAGAAATAGTCATCATTAAAGATCTATCAGAATAAGCCATCGAAGTTGCTTATCAATCAATCCATCAGTACATTTAACACTGTATTTGTAGTACTTGATTGCTAAAGCTGAGGCATCACGGTGGCAAAGGAAGTCAGCTGGATAAAACACCAGTGGCCTTGCCTACAGCAGACATCTTACACAGATTTTAATTTAATGTTGCCTGTTTTTTTTTTGTTTGTTTGTTTTTAATAAATCATCAGAGAAAAGGTAGGTAAAGTAATAATACTTTAAGGTTACCTTTGTATGAGCAGACTTTCTGTATCCACGAAAGTGGATTAACCTTCATTAGCGCATAGGGAATACTGATGACATGCATCCTGTTCATAACACTCTGAGAAAAATATTAAAAAAAAAGTTTCAAGCGGTTCAAAGAATACACATAATATATTTTTAATAAACACACCAATATCTTTTTAAAAAAACACAGCTACAGCATAACTCTCACATTTCACTATCAGTGAAAATTATGTGTACAGTCAATAAAAATGTAAGGTATATCTGTACAGTCTGTTAGTGAAAAGGGACTATTTTATTAATAAAAATATAAATAATTAAATATAGTTCTCAAACTGTGGTTTATGACCGCATTCTGATGTTAATGCACTACCCCAAAGAGAACCTTATTGCTGCAGTTTAATTCATTCAAATACTTACTGTTAGTACTCCATGCCAAAGGCCAGCATCTCTTTTGAAATCCAAGACATTTGTTAGTGTTTCAGCTGAAAACAAAGGAAAAAACTATCAGATTTAAAAAGCGGTATATAGGCTGCTTAATCTGAAAGTGTCTTATATTACTTACTACAATCATCTTAAAAGTACAATTATAGACTAGATTATTACAAAGAATTTAAGACCTAATTTTCAGTTTAATACCACTTCCACATGTTTGTTACCTTTGCCAAAGGGCTATGCAGGCTGAAACAATGCTTTTGATGCCAACTGCTGAAATTTTCAACTAAAAATTGTTTAGCTATACTTGAAATAATTAAATTCTTGATTCTTAATTTCTTGAGAAATATTATCATGGCTGTACTAAATTTACTTCTATGCTTTCTCTGAGAAATTCAAAAGCCTTACGTGATTCAAAACACAGAATCAAAGTTTGGCATAAGATCTAATCTGATTTTAGAAGGATGTCTTTTGTTGATCAGGTGAAATTTGCTTACCACTGATGTAGGATGATTACATGTAAAAGAAATGGTTCTTCAAGGTATTTACTATTCTTGTTAAATTTTCAGAAAATACAAGAAAATACACAGCTATTTCCCAATAAACAGAAAACTTCAGCAAGCCAGTCACATACCCATTCATCCCCTGGGTGACTGAGAACTCCAAGGGCTCTAAGACACATAAGTTGTCCCAGCCATAAAATCATAAAGGTTGGAAAAGACCTCCAAGATCATTTGGTCTAACCACCCCCCTACCGCCAGGATCATCCACTAAATCATGTCCCTAAGCACCACGTTCAACCTTTCCTTAAACACCTCCAGAGATGGTGACTCCACCACCTCCCTTGTGAGCCTGTAATTAAGGAAATGCACATCTTCTATAGCCTCGAATATTTTCAGCCTTCAGGAAAAGTGGAGTGCATATGTAAGTGTTGGCTGGTAGAAGGCTGTCGGCAGTTTCACAGAATCTTATGACAGATTTTGTATGATGCTCAGAGAGAGAATCTGAAGTATGAGAAAGTATCTAAAGCTTATTTAAAGTTCATTTAAGACAGTAGACATGATTTGGCAATGTAGTTTTCCTGGATAATCAAAGCTATGATCATCATTCTAAAGTTGTAGTTAACTTACCTTCTGAATAGCCACATGCCTGAGTCAATGCATGACAGTGTGCCAGCATGGAAGCATGAGATATAGTAATGCCCACTGTGCTCCCCTCTTTACTTGTTTTGTACTGAAAAGAGAAAGTTTACACGCTCATTAGTTTAACAACAAAATAAAGAAAATTTAATGTAGTGAACTTAAAGGATATTTTATTATAAAAAGGTGAACTTTTTTTTTTTTAATAATCAAAGAGCTATGTAAAAGATGCATTTATGTTCAGCAAATATTCTAATATCAAAGGAAACCTGACCATCTCTCTACCCCATTTAAACAAATTCTCCCAGGGATCCCAAAATGCCAGTATAACCACTCACACACCAGTTTTCCTGGTAGCCTTGAGGAAAACACTCTTGTTCCACAATTATACATATTATAGTCATCTTTTTTGTAGCACCAGAAGATTAAAGGAAGAAAATGTGCTGTGACATAAACGGGAATAGTGTAATAATAAGTTAGGCATATTATACTGGATCACCTCAATATAAGCAATCTCAGCACTGGCATCCCGTACTTGCGGATGCCAGTCCTTAGCTGGTTTTGCCAGATGTTTTCCATCAATCACAAACCAAATGAGACGAGGCCAACCTTCAAATGAAAAAAAAAAGAAAAAAGTTAGTATCATTATACTTCCAAAGTACTTTTTCCCCCCAGTATTCTGGGTAGCGACACGTAGCAAGTAAATGCTGCAGCATCACACCCCTGACAGGAAGAAGAAGCACTAAGTACTCTCTTTACAATTATGGCAGTTTGTCTTTATACATAAGCTAGAAGCATACAAGCAAAGTCAAAGAAGTGGCTTAACACCAACAATCAATATACACATCCTTTATTGTATAAAGAAATTTGAGTATCTCAGAAACATACCTTTGAACGTAACTACCTCACCAGTCTGAGCTTTAGGAAGGCCTTTTTGACAAGCATCAGTGGTTAAAGCTAGTGTTACTCCACAACTGCCCAAAAGAAATCCAATTTGCTGGCTGCCTGCATCCTACAGAGAAATGAAGTTTTAGCAAACTTAGTAATAAATCACACTTTAGCACAGTTTACTGCAACTTTTCCATGTTTTGAAATTAAGACGAATGATACCACAGGAAAAGAAAATCCTTGGTCAAAAGATTTTTTTTTGTTGTTAGCACTGAACTTTACACTCAAAATGCATCAACTTTTGCTTAGTGCCAACTAATTGGCAGTAGATCTGATAAACAATGGAAGCAAAACAATATTTGTGCATGTTTCTCGAACCCTGCAGGGAAGTTCATATGTTCTGGCAAAACTCAGAGATGGTCTTATGCTGCCTCTGAGTCCCGAGGCACTGAAGAACAGAGCCTGTAACTTTTCAGGCCTGATTTCACACCTCTTCTAATAACTTCCAACATTTGAGGGATTATCCACGTATTTGCAAAACTGTGATATCTCTGCCTGTCTCTGTTCCCATTACATAGACTGGGAGCTGAAAATATCACATTTCTGTAGTATATTTTAAGAAATAATTTCACACATCTTTAAAAAAAAATAAATCTACAAGTATACATCCTAAAATAGCTAACTTCTTTGCTTCATAGCTTTTTCTCCCTTCTCAAAATATTATACATTTTATGAACATATTAACATGTATTTACAGTTGGTAAACTACTGAGAAGCAGAGTTAAGTAATTAAGCTGATGCATCATACTGCTTTCAAACATGCAGGGTCCTAGGGATCCTACTTCATTTGTGAAGCCAAAAAAACTGAATATATTTGCCTACCTTTCTGGTTAGTGGAACTTCTATTGGGACAGGAATAAGTTCTGCCAGGAGACATCCATAAAAAGCCACCATAAACATAACTGGATCACTATTAGGAAATACAAGAGCTACCTACAAAAATACATTAAAAAACATGAAATGCTTTTTGTTGTTATTTGGAGGGGGATGGTTTTTTAAGTTTGTGGGAAAAAATTGTCATAACACTGCTGGGGTCACAAACTAGGAGCAGAAATACTGAATGTTGTGATAATACAGTATTAAAAATCACAGTATTACAAAGCTTTCTTTAGCTAAAACTGTTCCACACTGTCTATTTTATCCACATAGACCAATCAAACAAACCTACCCGGTCTCCAGGCTTCAGCAGTGGTTCATTCCTAGTGGTTAGCTTGTTTAGCAGGGTATACGCTAACTTCAAGCTCCGACTCCACAGTTTGCCTAAAGATGATGCAGAAATCAAAGAAATAGCTTTTAACTGGCAAATGTCACAGCTTTTAACTGGCAAATGTCGATGCTCTATATACACACAAGTTGGTTGTGTGAAAACAGAATTAGTGGTCACACAAGCATTCTGGAAAAGTGAACACTGCTTTTGCAAAAGCAATCACACCACAGAAGCCTGCTGAGCTCATCTGCAGTATCAGTGCACACACACACACACAGTCTGGTTGATATAACTTAAGTGTATTTCCAACAAAACTTAGACAACTCCTTATTAAGGGTTCTTAGAGAAATCAAACTGCCTGGGATAAAAATAAAAATTCTAATTTGGCCAAAAAATAACTGAAATTTAAGAAACAAAGGGTACAAACAAATGCCATAATATCCATCTCTGTGAAATGCCAGTTCAGTGCTCAATAGTCATCTACACAGCCTTCAATAACTCAGAACAAAAAATGCATCCAAACTATTAAATACAAAGACAAAAACCTAATTAATTATTTGACACAGCATAGAAGACGATCTTCAACAATCCTCCAAAAAGAAGAGTATTGATTAAAACAAACTCTTCATAAAAAGTTGAGCAACAGCAAAACCCTTCCACTGTTAATGGCAAATCAAAGCATGTAGAACCCAGGGAGCCACATTGTAGCATGCATTTGGTACAGTTTTCTAGTATGGTGTCTTGGACTTGCATCCATGCTCTTCAGACCATGTAGCCAACCATCATGTAATTTGTGTTTGTCAGTCTCAAACTTCCTCAATTCAACATCTTTTTTTGCTGTGTAACATATATGCAAGTTTATATATTATAAGTTTTATATATATGTATATTAAAAAAAAAAAAAGTACACACAACAAAAACACAAAACAGGTGCAGGACTCAAGTTCATCAAAATAAATACTATGGCTTTGTGACCTGCCCAGAGAAGTTGGCAGAATCCAAGTACAGTTTAGAACTTGGCTTCTTTTTATTTTTATGTTTGTTCATTTTGTTTTTTAAACATACAACTAAACATGATCTTCTAAACAGTTTTCACTTTCTTAAAGTTCCTGTGCAAGGTAATGAAACTAATGCACCTACTCAATTATATTTTCCCTAAGCATACTTCACCTGCAAGAACGCAAACAAGAAAATGTAATATTCCAACATACTGCGTGATTAAATGTAAGCAACATGCTGCAGAGTTAGCTACCCTGAGGGATAAGATTACCTTCAAAAAAAACCCACAATTACTGTAATTTTTCTAATTCACTGATACAGTCAAGTCTCACTTCCCTCAATAATATCCTGAAGTACAAGTTTTCTCTATAAGGATATGCAAGAACATACATGCACACTGAAGCATTCTGTCTACTTTGGGAATCTTAAGAGTCCATTAGTAGTCATCTGCTACTTTCTCCTATTTTACATCAGTCTCTTTTTAGCTTTCTTTTGCAGGTTTTTTTAAGCAAAATTGTTTGAAATTTATAAATAGCCACTTGTAAAGAACTGATGTGATTATTTTGCCTTCGTTAACTTTCAAAACTCTTTTTCATATACAATGAACTTTTAACTTCTATTTGAGTAGAAATCTCAAATGATCTGTCCTGAACAGTCAGTCCCTCCTAAGGAAAGCCAATCGTTCATTTCACAATGAACACCTATTTCTTTCTTAGTTTTCACCAATACCTACCATAGGTAAGTGTATAAATAGCTTTCCCGGTTGTATCCAAAGCAGTCAGACATGGGGATTTCGGCTGTGTAGTTCCCCAGCGTTGCAGGGCAGCCAGCAGAGAAGGTGGCCAGTTGGTTACCACACCTAAGGGTTCACCTTTAAGAACACTCATCTGATTTCCTTCAGGCTTTGGTTGATTTGGGTCAGGCTGTTGCACTAAAACCAGAGAACAGTAAAGTGGCAGAATGTCAATCTTTATCAAAAGTGCACATTACACTTAAAAGGTAATTCTATGAACTATTCTCATCCTTCCTCAGAGCTATCACTGCTTTTACCCTGCTTTATGATGATGCCATGCTAATCATCTGTTGGCTTCACAAAAAGTAATTACCACCATTTTGTAGTTCTGATTCCACATTGTTCAAAGAAGCTGGCCACAGAACAGAATTTGAATCCTGAGTTCACTTTTTCTCTACTATGGGAGGATATTATTTTCTTCTGTTTGTTCTAACATCTGTTTAAATGAAAGCCTACACAAAGTCAAGAATCATCATCAGAAAGAATGCCTTCAGTGTCAATTGAACAAGTGTTCTCACTGTGAAGAAAGACAGTAAAGGCAAAAGCTGGAACATGAGAAATTCCAACCAGGTATACAGAAACCCTTTTTTCTGCTTTGAAACTGGTCAAACACTGGTACAGCGTCCAGACAGGCCATGGAATTTCTGTCTTAGGAGATACTCAGAACTTGACTAGACAAAGCTCTGAGCAGCCTGACCGACTGTCCTGGTTTCAGTTAGAACAGAGTTAATTTTCTTCCTAGTAGCTGGTAGAATGCTATGTTTTGGCTTAGGATGAGAAGAGTGCTGATAACACCCTGATGTTTTAATTGTTGCAGAGCAGTGCTTATTCCAAGCCAAGGACATCTCAGCCTTTTGCTCTGTCCTGCCAACGGGCAGGCTGGGGGTGCAGCAAGAGCTGGGAGGGAACAGACCCAGGACAGGTGACCCAAACTAGCCAAAGGGGTATTCCGTATTTTCTGACGTCATGCTAAACAATATATAGGGGTGGCTAGCCGGGGGGAGGGGGCTGGACTGCTCGGGGTTAGGCTGGGCATCGGTCAGTGGGTGGTGAGCAATTGCATTGTGCATCACTTGTTTGTACACATTGTTATTAGTAGTACTATTATCATCATTGTACTATTATTATTATTGTTATTATTATTATTGTTATTATTATTTTCCTGTCTTATTAAACTGTCTTTATCTCAACTCACGGGCTTCACTTTCCCTTTCTCTCCCCTGTCCCAGAGAGGGAGGGGGGAGGGTGAGCGAACGGCTGTGTGGTGTTTAGCTGCTGGCTGGGTTAAAACAACGACACCTACTCAGACCTGCTTTGAACAGCAGGTTGGTCAGAGGCTTCCAGAGGTCCATCCTGTGATCAGTTACACTTTGGCTATTCCTTGATTTACTCCAGTGAGTACCCACTACAAATTCACTGATTACTGTAAGACCAGGTATAAAATGTCTGCAGCAAAAAGTGACTGCATGCCCATCACCAAACATGATATAATTTCTGAATCTCCCAGTGTAGTTCTTAACAAAGGTGTGAATAGAAATTCTCCAAATATATGTAAATCACTGGCTCTAGTATTCACCAGCTCATCACACTGGTCCAAACTGAGCTGAATCAGAAGATTCAGAGACAGAAAGATTAGAGACAGAAAGGTCACATGATATCATAATTCTATCACTTTTTTTTTTGGGGGGGGGGGAAGAAAGGAAGAAAACAATACTTTTTAAGACATAACAGTTCTTTCTTTAATTGATTACACAAAGAGTGAAATTTTTATTTAAAAGAAAACTAACCTTCTAGCAGTTCTTCAAAATCATCAACAAAAAACTCCTTCAAAGGTGGGCGCTTTGGTCTTTTCAAGGTATTTAGAAGCTGCTGGATTTTAGAGGACACCCTGCTATTCACTGGGACACCTGTCAAGCAGAAAAGATGCATTACTTACTATGTATTAATACACATACAATAAAATAATATAGCTTCCACACTGCTGACAACATCACTCGAAGCTCAGTATAGTTTTCAGATGGAAGAGTTATTCAAAATGAGTAGCTTGTTAGGGAAAAAAAAAAAGAAAAAAAAGCTTTAATAAATAACAGTTTCAAACACAGATTTATTTGTTTGTATTGGGCTTACGTAGCAAGGTTTTGGTAGCAGAGGGGATATGGGGGTTGGCATATGTGAAAGGAGTCCAGGAACTGCCCTGTGTTAGAATAAAAACAGCTCTGGTTGATTCCAAAAGGGACCCACCACTGGCCAGAGCTGAGCCAACAAGCAAGGTGTTTTAGTTTGCTTTTTGTTTCTCACTGCTCTAGTTTGCTAGTGATAAGCAATAAATTAATCTCCCTATGCTGAGTCTGTTTTGCCTGTGACAGTAATTGGTGAGTGATCTCCCTACCTTTATCTCAACCCTTGAGACTATTTTCATGGTATTTTATACCACTGTTCCTTTCAGGAGGAGGAGTGAGAGAGTGGTGTTGTGAAGTTTAGCTAGGCATCAGTGTAAAATCACCACAGTCCTTTAAAACAATGCTGTTTCCTAGCTGTCTGACTGATACATATACATTCTCATACTTTAATCTACATTTTACATTCAGTCAGTACTGGAAGTGTGAAAATTGAATAAAGATAGCTATGGAAAAAATAAGTGAATCTTTCAATATTTTATACTGCTAGCAAACAATAACCACAACACAAAACCATGTTGTATGCTGATTTTCATTTGTGTATGTTATATTCTTATTTATAATTCAATAGCATTTAACAACGCGTGTTTGTTTATATTTACAGTTTTGAGACAATACATATTTAAAATGTGAGATTAAAGGGCTTTTGTTGTCTTTTACTATAAAAATATACTGAAACGGTGACATAGATTCCACTTGGTTCCCAGTGGCAGAGCAAGGGAAATGCAAAACAGCTTCCTTTCCTTTTGCAGTCTGACATATACAGCATAGTACTGCAGAGCTTTGGAGGGGTTATGACACACTATGTTATCCATCTGCTTATTCAGAAAAAGGGACATAGATGGAAAGGTGGGAGATTTATAATACAATCACCATCTGCAGTTTCCAAAATGCTGCTGTTGTAGCCTCTGGGAACTCCTCGTACTGATGCCAGTTGTGGTCGCTCATGATGCAAGTGTTCCACCAAACCAGTGGTTACATCAGGAGGTGCAGAGTGGTTATCTGTAGAAATGTAAGAATGACATGGGAACTCATCAGTCACGTTAAGACTCAGTACATCCAAAGTTGTTTGTTACAGCCTTCTTGCTATTCCTCTCATGTTTTGTGCACCACTGCTCACAACAGAAAAAGCACTGGGTTTTCTGAGGCATGATGTGGTATGGCCTGACATGACAAGCTGTTTAATTCCAACGGTGTGTGATACAAGCAGTTAATATTTAAACGTTTTATAATGTACATTTACATAGGGAAAACAGGGCAATTCTCAAATTCTCATATACTCAAGGGGCTTGAGAAACACCTTATAACAACCTTGAGGCAAAAACCTGCATTGCTTGGAACTGCATCACGTTTCTGTACTACTACAGAATGCTAGCAAGTACTGTCATCCCAAAATTGTGACCTATTTTATGGAATGATTTTCTGCACAATCACAGGTTAAGATAGTCAATTATTTGGAAGAAGTGTTCAAATAAGGAATGCCTGAAGTACTATTATCAAGAACTGGAGGCCTGAAATGTTCAGAATCCTAATGAATAAGAATAGAACTGTAACAGGAAAAAGCTTATGAACACAATGCTGCTGGACACAACGGTGCTGGAAGAACTGGATGCGGTCACACAGCTTGCCAGTGACAGAACCCTCAAAGAACCTTTGTATGGCACAAATTCTGCAGTAAGAACCCTAGGGAGATAACCTAGGGAGATAAAGGCTATGCTGGGAAATGTATGTATTAACCCACTCTTTTTGAGGAAGTGATTAGTGCTAACATAAAAAGTACTTCTAGCTCTGTTCACAGATTTCCAGAGCTTAATACAAACCACCAATACAGCTCTAAGCAGTTTTAGAGGCATCACCAGAAAACACTAAATCCATTCTTATACTTTGCAGCCATCATCAATGCAATGACAATTGTTTTATTAGGGAGATCTGTCTTGCCAGGTACTAAGCAAGGACCATAAATTTCTTTCCTATGGGTAAAGATACAAGAAGGACAAAATATCACTTGATCGGACAAAGGTGAGAGTTAAAACCAGTAACAAGAAAACATGGCAACACAGCTAAGCCACAACACTTTATCAGTGGAAATCCCCAAAATACCATTCTGCATATAATATGTCATAACCACTAAGCATTAAGGTGACTCAGAGCATAAATCTATTCCATGCACTTGACATCATATGCATATGGATACAAATAATCAAGAGAGAGAACAATACACACACACACAACGCAACTTGGTGCACTTGGATCAGAAGCTGAAATGCTAAAAGGATACGGGTTTTGCCATGCACTTTCCTGTTAGGCAAAAAGCCATCTTCCATCCGCATGCTCAAGATGGATTTTTGAAACATAAAAGCTCTGCAACTAGATGCAAAGAGAGTAACACAAGGAAGAAGCTATTTGGGAACAGTTACAGAAGTTCTGTGTACTTGTGAACAGTTCAAAGAAATCACTCAAGAAAATGAAAATTCTTGGAAAACAAACAAAAAACAATGATCCCAACTGAAAACACATAAAGTAACTATATATGGAGGTGCTGCTCTACAGAATTCAGGTATTTCACAAGCATTTCAGAGCCAAGTTTCATGCAAATCGATGTCCCTAATCACAGAAAGAAAATGCCAGGGGTGCGTATAAACAAGAGCTCTGTTGTCCACAGCTACTTTATCCTACACACAACAGAGAACAGATCCTCCCACAATTCTGCCCTGAGAAGGCAAAATTATGTGTGTGAAAGGAATAATTTCAATTTTCAGGATTTATGCTCAGATGAAAATTACATTAGCCTCATTAATTATTTAGGCATTTTATTCATATACACCCATAAAAATCCATGAAATTAATCTGTATCATCTAGAGATACTGTGACAAAATACATAAAGAGAAAAGCCGGTAAAGCATCTGTGAACAGACTTGTAACTTGGGGACTAAAGATAATTGGATTTAAACTGAAGCACATGTACATTTCAATTACTAATTTGAAGACACAGAGATAAACGTAAAGGAAGGCAGTAGCCCAAGAAAAAAAGAAGTATGATGTACAATACAGAAATCTAAAAGCTAGACATCAGTCAGAAAGCGATCTCTAAGGAAGAACCTTATACTGAAGATTCAAAGACTTTAGAAAAGTTCTGACCTAATGTGATGGTTTTACTCAGGTGGGCAGCCGAGCTTCAACACAACCACTCTCTCACTCCCCCTCCTGAAAGAGAAAGGGGGAGAAAATACAATGTGCAGGGCTCAAGGGTTGAGATAAGGATGGGGAGATCATTCAACAATTATCATGACAGGCAAAACAGAATCAGAATAGGGAGATAGTCAGATTTATTGCCTATTAACTAACAAGCTAGAGAAGTGAGAAACAAAGGAATGAAACTAAAAATGCCTTCCCTCATCCACCCTCTTCCATCTCCTCTTGCATCTCAAGGTGCAGAGGGGAACAGGGGAATGGGGTTGCGGCCAGCACTTCATCTCTGTTGCTCCTATGGACCCATATCTGGAGCAGTTCTTGAAGAGCTGCCGCCTGTGGGAAGCCCACGCAGGATCAGTTTGGGAAGGACAGCATCCCGTGGGAGGGAACCCATGTTGGAGCAAGGACAGCGAGTGACCATGAAGGAGCGGCAGAGACAAAGTGCTATAAACTGACCACAACCCCCATTCCCCTGATACCCTGTGATGCTCGGGGGGAGAAGATGGAAGAGGGTGGATGGGAGGAAGGTGTTCTTTGCTTATTTCCTTTGTTTCTCATTTTTCTAGCTTGCTAGTAATAGGCAGTAAATCTTACTATCTCCCTACTCTGAGTCTGTTTTGCCTGTCATTATAATTGTTGAGCGATATCTCTCCCCATCCTTATCTCAACCCTTGAGCCCTGTGCATCGTATTTTCTCCCCATTTCCCTTTGAGGAGGGGAAGTGAAAGAGTGGTCGTGTTGGAGCTTGGCTGCCCACTCGAGTAAAACCACCACAACCTCTACCTTGCTCATACACCCTTCCCTGTTTCATAATGTGCTTTACAAATCTGAAAAAGTAAAACTACACAAACTACAAGCAGTAGTTACATTTTGAAACCCATAGCTACTATAAACTAAGGCTGGTGTCCCAAACTGAGTATAAGGCAGAAGGTACTTGGAGGGCATGCTAGCAAAGAGCTGAGAAACAACATTCTCATGAATAGCCACTGCACGTCTATGAAACTATAAACACACTATTATCTACAAAAAGAAGTCTAAAGGATACCTGATGGGGCTTTCAACAAAATTTGACAGTAACAGCTCGACTAGCTCAATTAACAGGTATTTGAGAAATAAATTTGTGCCTTAAATTATCACATCAATTGACACCTCAGAAGTATTTCATCTCAGCATACAGAAGTCTGTATACTCAGTTTAAGTCTACTGAAGCATTTACCGTTTTCCATATTCAACCTAACCTCTGTAATGAATTAAGAGAAAACTCGGTATAGTCCACATACAGGTAAGTCATACAGCTACAGATAAGCAAAAAGTTGAGTAGTAAAGCTGCCAAAATCTGAAACCATCAGGAATAATACATGTGATACACACTGCATAGTACTAAAAACACAAGAACTTCATCATGTACCATGCTCTGGGGCCCATATCATCTTGAGTGAGTCCAGAGGAGGCGATGAGGATGATCAGAGGGCTGGAACACCTCTCCTAACACCTCTCCTATGAAGACTAAGACGAAAGGCTGAGAGAGCTGAGTTTGTTCAGCCTGGAAAACAGAAGGCTCTGGGGAGGCCTTATAGTGGCCTTCCAGTTCCTAAAGGGGGTCCACAGGAAAGCTGGGGAGGAACTCTTTCACGGAATGTGGTGACAGGACAAGGCTTTAAACTAAAACAAAATATAGGTTTAGATTAGATATTCAGAAGAAATTCTTTACTGGGTGTGGTGAGGCACTGGAACAGACTGCCCGAAGAAGATGTGGATGCCCCAGCCCCGGAAACGCTCAAGGACAGGTTGGATGGGGCTTGGAGCAACCTGGTCTAGTGGAAGGTGTCCCTGCCCGTGGCAGGGAGGAGAGTGAGTGTGGTGTGGTGCGTGTGAAACTGTATGGTCTTTAAAGACCCTTCCAACCCAAACCATTCTATGAATCTGTGTAGTATTTAGATTTTCTAATTATGATGAAAAAAAGATAAATTATTTGAAATAAAATGTTTTTACTGCACCACTAAGTTCCTTCCTGTACCTTTACATTACTGTGCATCTGTTGCACACACAGAAACCCACTGTCATTCTTCACTACAGAGTGTACAAAAACATTATAAAAATCATTTCCACAGTGCAAAAGATGGCCTGTCTCCCTCCCTACCAAATATTTCACAGGCATAAGACTAATGCTCTGCATTTAGGGAAAAAAAAAAAAAAGAAGAAGGTAACATGAAGTTCCAGACCTTCAGTGTTACAGAGATTGAGAAAAAACTCACATTTACATTTTGGCTTAACAGTACTTCTATGTTTTCACTCTAATCCCACAATAAAGGACAAATTTTATCATTACAAACTTTAATTAAAAGAAAATAATGTTTTAGCTTGAAATTTAGCTTTGTTAGTACCTCTAATTTCATAAAATTCCAAAAGATTCTGGATGTTTCTCTTGTTTTTTGGATGTTTACCAATCAAGTCACCTTTGGAATCCATCAATATTCTCTAGCTTAAATACAAGTAGATCAGAAAGCATGCACCGAGAATATCATCCTTTTGAAATTCCATTTTTTAGACAACTACAAATTTAACTTCTGCTTCCTGATAAATTAAGCATTTTATCAAGAGAATGAATGTTCAGATCTTGTGAACAACTGGTTTGGTTTAAATTAAAATACACGTATATCATGCGTACCTGGTCTGTGGATTGTACATTTTAAGGCTATTTGTGGATGTCTCCTCGTGAAGTACAGCATTCATACCTGACTTTTGCATGTAGCTCTGCTTTGGGATTTTCAATTCGATTTTATTGCAACCACACAGGCATTTCTTTACTGACCTAGCTGGGTGTGTGCCATGAGATCTGCAAGCACAGTGGCAGCAGCGGTGGCAGTAGCAGTATTGGAAGCAGCAGCAGGTTTCCCTCCTGGATGAGATGAGGTGGAGGATGCAGAGGATGAGGTGGACGAGCCCTGAATAACACGGTTAAGCCAGGGCTCTACGTTGGAATGGCTCTGGAACGGAGTGGAGGTGATCCGCCCTTGCCGACGTAACGAGCCCTCATCTTCTGATGCTGACGATGTGTCTGTGATTAAAATAACGATGACAGGCATGTAATGTAGGAATGACCCAACAGACAGGAACATGAAGTATTTCCATGTTCTTCGCATAGTGTTCTCATGTGCTACACATGAGATGCGTGTATTAAAGCTAATGGTATATTCGCATGCACAAATTCTGCTTATTGCCATTTTCAGCGTAATGTGACAACTTATACATGTTATAATAAGAAAACACATGAAGGAAAGTTTCATTTAACTCCTGCATTTGGAAAGACATAATGCTTGAAAAAACCTTCTACCTAAGCTACCTAGTGTACTTACTAACTATGCTAAGTGAGCATACCACTCTTATGGAATATTTATGTTCTAAACAGATAAAGTGAAACTTCATCCAAACTGAAAAAACATGTTGGGTATTTTTAATGTTTAGATTCTTCTGACTTCTTTCAACTAGTTACTAAAAAAAAACAACACAGTGCTATACAGTTCAATGAAAAAGTCATTTCATTAATCTAAGAATAAACAGAGGAACTAAAAAGCATGGATTTTAACCACATAAGGTGATATTAATGTGCACATTATATAAATGCTTAATAAAGAATCTTTTCATTGTAGATGTGTATTTGTTGCTGTTACAAGTCTGATGAAACATCCCCATTTTAATTACCACCACCCAGTTATTCACAGGTTTTTGTAAGTTTCCCTTTTGCATCCAATCTGTCTATATTTATCTACACAAAAGCAAATAAAAAGTTTTTTTTAATATAATTTTTAAAATATAAAAAAATCTTTTTTTTTGAGTGAAAAATAGGAACTTTTTAAAGAAAGACATCTTGTCTTTTTTCAGTCTGAGATCTCCTGTCAAAATTGTTAGAATGTGAAACTGAGGCTTGCCACAAAACACACTATGTAAGCTGGATGTTCAGTTTCTTCCTAAATAAACTACGGTATTTTAAGAACTTGATCCTCAACATAACATCCTCCAACTCCGGTAGTCAAAGGGAAGCTCCTAAAACAATGTATTGCCCATATACTGATAAAGCTCAAATCAAGTCAGTTTGCACACAGTGGTTTTAAGCCACACACAATGATGAGAAGAATTTAGAAAAGATACTGCAGGAAGAAGTCAGCATGAGAAAAGAAAAGAAAAAAACAAACACCTGATGAAAAAGACAAGGTGTCCATTGCTGTACTCCAGAGTCATTTCCAGACACAGAGCTCCTGGGCAACACAGATTGGTTACCTCAGAAACTTGCAGCCTTTGCTTTGGCATTTTTCTACATCTACTGAACACAGAAGATTAAGCAATATATAACTTAATAGCAAAATTTTGTTGAAGCCATACTGAAAATCATTTCCTCACCTTTGGGAACAATTTTCAATCACCAGGTGTTTAACTTTCTGCTTTCAAGAATATGTGCATTTCCAACAGCTCTAGAATAATTGTTCTTAAATAGTGTGAAAACACAAAATTAGAAATCCAGTTTAACTTAAGGGCCGTTTCAAAGTTTAAATCACAAATCTCCCATTACTTGGCCATCCCTAGTCAAACATGACAAGCTTTGAATAAATATACACAAACAACTGATCTTTGAGAAGATACTGCTGTGGATCACCATTACTGGGCCTGCGCCTCATGTGATATTTCTGTGGACAACAGTTTTAGTTTTTGGCTTCTGACTCCATCTGTCTCTGGAGAGGAGCCAAACCAGCCCATTAGTGCTTGCAACCTTCCCTTTCTTTTAGGCGGAAGGCAAAAATAAACAATTCCAGGAAGATATAACAAAATAGGATTATAGTCAGGTTTAAAACAAAACAAAACAAAACAAAACACATTTGTGATATATTATCACTTCAGAGTAAGAAATAAAAGTACAGGAAAACACAGGTTTCTCAGAGGATACATATTCTGATGGTGTCCGTTACCCAGTTACAAGTTCAACAAAGTCTATCTAAAATTTCTACACTTTCAGATATCTTATATAAGCCGAGGAAAAAAAAACAAACACATTTAAATGTAAAGAATGCAAAGTATTAACTGAATATGAAATGGAAATACTCATAGTAAAAACTTCCCAATATTAAAACAATTTTACCAGGAAGAGAAAATTAGCCAGGTAACACCTGGCTGTGTGACAATCACAGGAGTTAAATCTTGGTTCTCAGTGTGCTGTGGACAGAATGCTATGTACTTGGCTTGCAGCTCTTCCTGTCTGGGAGCTTACCCATGATAGCCACAGAAACCACTGCCTTAGGGACCAAACGTGTACCAAGACAACATCCCAAGTTCTGATCATGTGAAATGTGTATGGGAAGCATGAGAGACTCAATGGGACATAAACAATAGCACATCAAAATTTTTGGAAAGACAGACAATAAAAGCACTTCCATTACTACTGGCCAGGGGACTTCGCTTTGAACTTAACACTGTAACTAGAACACAGTGCTTCCTTCCTGGTAATGGATGGTAACTATATGTAACAACATTTCAGTTACTAAGTATTAACAATGTCTGATTTTAATTGCATTCATTTCTGCAAATACAAGGATTGTAATGTAGTGGCTTACTGGCTCAGGTCTACACATCCCCAGTAATGTGAAATGGGAAAAAAAAAAAAGTGTTTTAAGCTCACCATGCTAAATTAGCTAGAAAAATTATTTTGAAAGAGATCTGAACTGACAAAAATAAATAATAACAAAGGCATGTGGAACTCCTGAACCATCCTAAGTTCATGGTTATTGCACTATTAAAAAGGATAATTCAGGGTAGGTACGTAGAGGGAATGCCTCCCATTCAGGTGCAGAGAGCGTGCAGGCTGTGAGCAATGAGACTTCTGAAATTTTTTGCCCAGCTCTCACATTTAGAAAAAGCTCTAAGCACTCTGGTAACATGACAATGCTTACAGAACATTCTCTCCTGAAACCTTTACCAGCAAATACAGGCCGACAGATTTATTTATTTATTTTAAAGACAACTGACCACATCCAACAAGTCTCATAACTTCCTTGCCAGAGCAACAAACTTTGTTGCTAGTGCTCGACAGTAAAATTAGATGCTTCAAAGCCAGTTGGGTTCTTTGCAATTTTCTTGCTGAGTTAATTTTGCAGTTAATTTTGTTCAGTTTTGGGCCCCTCGCTACAGGAAGGCTACTGAGCTACTGAGTTGCTTGACTGTGGAGAGAAGAGCAATGAAGCTGATGAAGGGACTAGGAAAGTGAGACTTGTGAGGAGTGAATGAGGGAACTGGGAGTGATCAGTCTGGAGCAGAGGATGCTGAGGAGAGACCTCAATGCTCTCTATAGCTACCTGAAAGGAGGTTGCAGGGAGGAGGGTGTTGGCAGGGAGAAGGGTGTTGGTCTCTTTTTTCAGGTGAAAAGTGATAGGATGTGAAGAAATAGTCTAGAATTGTGCCAGAGGGGGTTAGATTGGAAGAGTGTGGTCAAGCAGACTGCACAGTTAGATTAGGAAGAGTGTGGTCAAGCGATTGAGTACCCATCCCTGTAACTATTTACGAGACGTGTGGATGTGGCACTGAGGGACATGGTTAGTGACGGGGCTCTGCAGATCAGGCTGATGGTTGGACTTGATGATCTTGAAGGTCTTTTCCAACCTAGACGATTCTGTGATTCTAAAATAAGGCCCTTAAAAACACAATTATTTTTATGCATTGATGCAGCTGAAGCAACTCCTCAGTATTTTTGAATGGCCTGATCTCTCATGATACAGTAATACATCTAGTTGTCCTGTCTCTTCTAAGGGTATCTCATAACAAGTTATCTTCTCTTATAAGCTGCACAACAGATCCCAGAGACAATACTTTATTCTTCTTTCACGATAATTTGGTTAGGGTTTTTCTGTATCCCACTGAAGCCCACACTGGCTATTTTTACTTCTGTGCTAACCACTTGGACAGACATCTTAGAAGATGACATTGTATTAGCTCCTGTCTGATAGCATTTTTACCCCTCCCCCCACGAAGAAACAGCCAAAAAAATCTCTTCTTCTTTAACTGGTAAATCCAGCTGCATTCCTCACCAGGGTACTTCACAGAAGATTATCTATATTCTGTAACCACACTTGACAACAAAGGAGGCTGGAATTTGATATGACTGCAGCTATATAAACGGTTTCTCTTGAGGGAATATATACAATGCTGAATCTGCTAACCCAAGAGGGGCGAGGCTGCCACAGCTCCATGCCCCAGGTCCAAGCAGCACTGAGGCTCAAGCGTGTATTCTCAGTAGACACACACGCAGAGAGCACATGTAGACACCACGTGCATGCATACACTGTTGACCACACAGATAACACACACTGGCAGCACCCACAGCTTCATTCTGCTTCCTTTCCTGGATGACAGAGGCCTCTGACCTGAGTCCCACGCTAGGGCATGGTGCTTGGTTTCTCTCACTCTGATCTCTCTGGTTAGTGGTACCCAAAGCCTCTGACTGCTGGTCCCAGCACAGTGACTGGCACTCAGGCTCTCACTCCTGCTGCTGGCACCATGGATGCACAGGCCTGAGTGACTTGTGGTCCCACTCACTGATGACACTTGAGTCCACTCACTGGTCCCTCCAGGCACAGTCCCCCAACCCATGGTCCAACTTCAGCTGCCAGAGCTCAGCCTCTCCCCACACACTGAACAGGAAGTCCTTCACCCAGAAAAATCAACAGAAATAGACTGTAACAGAGATAGGACAGACAAAATTGGTCACGTGCAGGGCATAGCCAGGGAAGTGAACCACTTACACAATTGGCCTTCTTTTCTTTTTATAAATCTCCTTACCCCTTTGTTTTCCCCGTACTTGTTTCTCCACAAATCACCCAAATCCACCCTTTCCCCCACTTTTGGTTCCTCACCTAAACACCCATAATAAATCTTGTGCAATCCTAAAATGCTTTTTCCCTGCATCCCATAATGTGCCCCATACACACATGTTCCCCAAGACCAGAAGGTACTCTTGTGCTGACCAGACTTGATAGGTTTCATGTCTGGACAACACGGCCAAAGCTCTCCAAGGACAGTCCAGGAGGGGCCTGGAGAGGGTGAACCATTCCTCTCAATAACTGATTTGGGTTTTCATTGTCACGGTGCTCTTGCGGGCTTGTGAAGATGGATCTGTGATGTGCTGATGACTTCTGAGCTGGGCTGGGAGTAGCTGGGGCAAGGTGTTGTTCGGGCTCCCCAACCTACCACTGTTTGTCTGTACTCCTTTGAAGGTGTGCAGATGAGCACTGATCACATAACCTCACGGCTTCTCCACACTATATACAAGGAAGCTATCACATGTTTTACCTAGATTCTCTCAAGCCCCCAGGACTTTTATCCTTTAATGCACCACACAAACCCGAGATGGAGCAGGTAGGGACACTGTCAGAGCTGCTCCAAATCTGTCCTGAAGGTATCCAAAAAAGGAATACTTGGGTTTTCTTCAAAAAACTGCCAGGAGATTCTAGTTTAAATGCGACAGGAGACAGGGAAGTCTAGCTGTCCTCCCACTCACTTATCTCTCCCAGCAGAGCTTCTGGATGCCAGCTATTTTTTGTATACTGAATCACAGAATCATCTAGGTTGGAAGAGACCTCCAAGATCACCAAGTCCAACCTCTGACCTAACACTAACAAGTCCTCCACTAAACCATATCACTAAGCTCTACATCTAAATTTCATTTAAAGATCTCCAGGGATGGTGACTCCACCACTTCCCTGGGCAGCCCATTATAATGCCTAACAACCCTTTCAGTAAAGAAGTTCTTCCTAATATCCAACCTACACCTCCCTGGCACAACTTTAGCCCATTCCCCCTTGTCCTGTCACCAGGCACGTGGGAGAACAGCCGCTCCTCGTAGGACTTGTTCTCCAGGCCCCTCACCAGCTTCGTTGCCCTTCTCTGGACTCTCTTAAGCACCTCGACGCCCTTCTTGTAGTGAGGGGCCCAAAACTGAACACAGTACTCGAGGTGCGGCCTCACCAGAGCCGAGTACAGGGGGACGATCACCTCCCTAGCCCTGCTGGTCACACTGTTTCTGATACAAGCCAGGATGCCGTTGGCCTTCTTGGCCACCTGAGCACACTGCTGGCTCATATTCAGCCGAGTATCAACCATCACTCCCAGGTCCTTCTCTGCCTGGCAGCTCTCCAACCACTCATCTCCCAGCCTGGAGCTCTGCTTGGGGTTATTGCGCTCCAGGTGCAGGACCCGGCACTTGGCCTTGTTGAACTTCATACAGCTGACCTCAGCCCATTGGTGCAGCCTATCCAGATCCTCCTGCAGAGCCTTCCTACCCTCAAGCAGATCGACACACGCACCTAGCTTGGTGTCATGTGCGAACTTCCTGAGGGTGCACTCGATCCCCTCATCCAGATCATCAATAAAGATATTAAAGAGGACTGGTCCCAGTAGTGAGCCCTGGAGAACTCTACTAGTGACTGGCCTCCAACTGAATTTAACTCCATTCACCACAACTCTTCAGACCCAGCTATCTAGCCACTTTTTAACCCAACTTTTAACTCCGTCTGCCCTGGAGCCGATCACCTCGGTGAGTGGCTACAAAATGGTGGCAACACCCGATTTGAAAGGCCCACCGCTGCCACTGCTGGCTCTGCCTACACCTTGTCAGCCTCCCTCCTAAGGGCTGCCAGGTCCTGGCGGCTCCCTTAGCTGCCTCGAGTGGCCTTGATGCCAGAAAAAAAGCCCTGCCCATCTCAATCCCCCACTCTGCTGCAGAACACATCTGCCCCAGAGCCGATCGCCTCGGCAAGGAAATCTTACGCAGAATAACAGCATGTTCTTTTCTTACTGTGATACACCTCAATCCAAACACACAGTGATTTGGCAAACTACACGAATGACAGAAGGACAGAGTGAAGCAGCACAAATGCACTACTGATTGTAACATCGGAATTTATTTTGGACAGTAAGACTTAATATTGCTTTCAAAAGCTATAAACAGAAACTTCACAGCCTCTCTCTTGAAGCTTCAATATACAGATGGTCACTGTAATTGAATTTTCTCCAAGATTTCAGTTTATGCAATTCTCAATAACTTTCATATATACATAAACAACCTGTACACAAGAAAACTCAATAGCATGATAACCACCCAACTGCACTAATTGTCCTTATGGGCATCCAAGTATACAAGAAGTGGAATAATCTAATCAAGAAGTGTGATACCTTAACCTATCTTAAAGGGAAAATGTAAAGGTGAAGAAAGATCTGATTTAAGACTACAGAAGATACTTATTATTTTTTTAACTAATGAAATAACTAAAGACACCTCCACCCAAAACAAACAAACAAAAAAATGCAACTGAGCAACTAGCAAAGAAAATTGGTACTTCCTGTAAATGACAGACAGAAGAAATAGAGCCTAGGAAGCAACAGAGCAGCACAGCAGATCTGCTCTTTTACAGGACTAAGAAATAGAATTGATGGAGAAGGGCACTAGAGGTCAGCGTGCTTCTACTCTAGGGGCATATTAGAAATGGCAAGAGCTCATCAGTAACAGCTTAAGAGCTAAACTCTTCTTTGTATACAATACTGGCCCCAAAATACTTGGCGGCTTGCTACCAAGACGTATCTGGAGAAAGATTTGCTTAACCTCTAGAGAATTCATTCTGAGGCAATAGGAAGATTATTGTTTTTCCTAAAAAATTTAAGGAAACATCCTGACCTAAACAATCTGAACAATTATAGCATATGACATTGAATGGCTTAAAGGGCTCACAATTGGAACAATCTGATGAGTGTTCTGCAAGCTAATGGAGCAACTTAACACCCTGGTATATCTTTTTTAATTCTTAAGAAAAAGAATCTTATGCAACATGAAATAAGGTGCTTAGAACTCTGACATACTTGTCAAGATTCTCTCTTTCCAATTAAGATTCTGTAAGAGAATGGACAGGGCAACTGCTCACACTCCCTTGTAGCTTTCAGGAGTATCTTTATTACCTACAGCATCGCTAGATGAAACACTAAAAATTTTGTGGAAAGACATCAAGGAACAAATCCAGGCAACATATGGTTATCAGCAAATACAGCTATGAATATGGAAAAAGTTCATTGCAACTTGCTCTTTTATGTTTTGATAAGAAGTTTACCTAGCAACATTTAAATACTTTAACTCAATAGATACCTGGAGGTGTGTATGTTTCTACTGAAGAGTGCACAAGAACAGACCGTCTCTTGGAAGGCATGGGCATTTTTCTCTCTTTGTATTTCGCAAGAGCTGCTTGTACTGCTTCAGTATGGACATCTACATAGAAAACAAACAAAAAGGTAAGAGAAATTAAGTTCAATCATAATTTCTTTCTAAAAACATAGGAAGCATGAATGTCATCTTTTACAGCTCAAATACAAAATATGAATTGCACATTAAGGTCCTTAATGCTTTTGTCCTATATTTAGTCCAACTGCTTAGCTCACGAACAGCAGCAGGTTTTCAGTCTCAAAGGAAGCATTTCTTGGACAGCAGAAAGGTCCAAAGTTGAATTCCAGTAATGTGGTTTTGAACTCAAAGCTGTGACAAGTTTATCAGTTGCTTTTCCTTCAAGGGTGTTCAGTAGGACTGAACAAATACACTTGCCTCCCACTCCACTCAAATGCAGTTCAGAAGCAATTCATTAGAGACTCAAGGGAAAATACAAAGAGGTCAAATCAACATATTTTCATCATGAAATCAGCTTAAAAAGGCTTTGCTAGTATCATTAGGAAGAACACCCTGACAACCGGTATTGAAGTTACAGCACACCTAACACATTAATTCTCAGTACTCATTTATTTTTAATTTTTGGTAAATTCCAATGCGTATACTGTAAATTTTGCTATTTTTAAGCCATAAACAAAGAGTTTAGTAAAAAGGAATTAGTGTTCAATCAAGACTATACTGCAGATAAAAAATACTGTATTCAAGTAATTCTAAATCATCTTCAACAGATTTTTCTCTTTAACATAGCTTTTGACATCACTTAAACACATAAAGCTTAGGTAAAAAAAAATCTTGAGAAGTGAACAGATGACAAGGAGAAATGAGACAAACCAAAAATATACTGACTTATGAACTAAGATTTAAACTCATGAAAAATGGATAAAATGGATATGCACCAACATGTACTGATGAAGGGCCAAAAAGCAAGTATTGTGGTAGGAAAAAGCATGATCACATTTCACGTGGAAGATGCTGTACAAGAATCATAGGATCATTTAAGTTGAAAAAGACCTCTAAGATCATCAAGTCTAACTGTTACCCTAACACTGCCAACTCTACCAATAAACCATGTCCCTAAGTCCAGTTTTGAAAAATAAATAAAAATGCATTCTAAGCCACCTAAGGCTGAAAATATGTAACAGGAGATTGGTAGACATATGCAAAGTATGAAACTCAGAGGTATGTGACAAATACACTTACACAATGTACATTAAAAGAAATATCCTTTCTCTGTCCTGTACCTAGAGCAATTAACCTTAATGCCAACTACAGGTTGTCAGCCACAACTCCATATTTTAGGGTCCATTAAAAAAAAAAAAACACAAAGAAACAAAAGAACAAAAAACTATTCTTTGAGCTATAACTCTTCAGTTCTGCTACAGAACAGCAACAGAACAAAGTTACTGAACTCTGTGTTGGTTTTGTTTTAAGCAGTACAAAAAGTACCAAAGAAAACTTGCACCTTCTGACTTCCTTAGCAGCATTACCAGACACAAGCCTTTGTCATGCTCACCTGCAATACATCCATCCCTATTTAAAGGACTGTGTTATGAAAAGGATCCCAGAGTTTTAAAAAGTACTCCTAAATTCAGGGATATGTAATTTACTCTATTTACAAATATTACAAGCAACAGCTCAAGTTCAGTATAGTAGCTGTAAATTCCAAGCATGTTCAACCCTGTAGATATAACTACACTCTGCATGTTATTTCATTCATGATGCATGAATCCTACACCTTGCTTCATGGTAACACAAGATCAGTAATGATATGACAGAAAATCTGTCTTTAGACAAACGCAGAGCTAGAAGGCATGTTAAAAAGAGTAAGAACTGATTTCTGGTACTAGTCCTGGGAACTTCTTTGGTTCTTGAGCATGAGATTCTTCCTAGATTATTTCAAATACACCAATCAATTCCAATTAATTCTAACAAAGCAAGAGATAGCTACAGGCAGGTAATAAGTATATATTTTAATGAGAATTGGAATAGTTTCAAGCATCAGGCCTCTAAAAATGGCTGCTGCAAACTAGTGTCCCATCTGACTGCATGCCTGTGACAAGGATTGCCAAAAAAAAGAAAAAAGAATATTTTCCGGATGTATCTTTATTATACTATAACATTCAGAGAATGCTGGGATTAACTTTTGAACTGTAAGTAGTACTGTGTATAGACTAGAAGAGAGGTTGTACCAGCTAACTGACCCATTGGGAAACCATGCAAACTAATAACTAGTTTTTATTGATAATTTGACACTTCTGTAAGCAGCCATGAACTCACCGTTGCATCCCTTACACTTCTTGGTGGAACTGGTTTTCTCTTTCATTAAAAACTTCCACTGGAAGTTCTTTAGTTTGTTGTATTTTCTACTGGAATTTTGCATTTACTACTGAAGTGTTGCTTCCCACAATAAGAAAGCAAGTATGACTGGCAAGGCTGACAGAGAAGAGAGGACTGTTGCAGGAACAAGCTCTGTCACATGACATGAAATACAGTATTTTCCACACTGCTATACAGGTGTCACACTTGCACACTGAACAGACTTGTGTATCAGCTGGAATAGACACATCCTTGTAGCCCATTTCAGGCAAGCTGGGAGAACTGGCTGTATACTGCAGCAGTACATCCAACAGGGCATTAGCAGTAAAGACCCAGCTGTTAGAGGCTGAAGAAGAGTTACTAGAAAAAAAGTGAGAGTGGAAAGAGTATAGTTGCTGGGGAAGCATCTTCAGACACCCTAAGGGCTTACCAGCTAACTTCCATGTCTTCTTAGCCAAAACCAGACCACAGTGGGGCTAAAGCAAGAGGAGGAACAGGAGTTTTCACTAGGAATTGGGCATCCTCATGGTAGAACTACCAGCAGCAACAACAGCAATATAGTGGCTTAAAGTGTCCTCTGAACTGTGGAACACAAGGTACTTAGTGCTTATCAGCCTGCACAAATGCCTGCAAAGTCTCTGCTTTTCTCAGCTTTTCTACCACATTGTTGTCATTTAACAGAGTGCAAATCTAGTTAAAGCACTGTAATATTAACTGCTGTTCTGGGAACACTTACGAAATTTATTAGCCTACAGTATTTTTGACCATATTTTCACTGTTGCAAATTTTTGGGTAAGATTTACTGCTTTAAGACAAAAATCTGTGGATGATAAAACTTAGTTAACTTAAATAGAAGACAATTCTGGAAAACTATAAAAAAATCTGCTTGCAGCTAGTAAGTGGCAGATTAATTGCACAAAAAGGCATAATTGTCTTGCTTGCTTATTTAAAATAATTTATGTTGATGGCTCTAAAGTACTATAATTGCTCCAGAAAGAGATCCTGTTCTATAAAAAATTGCATTCCAACCTCATCAGCTACTCTTGCAAAGGACATAGCAGAACTGACAAGATGCAAGGGGGAAAAGATATAAATAGAAGGCTAGAAGGAAATAAACAGAAAAAGAAACAAGATTCTCCCCCCCTCAAGTCTAAAGAACACATACGGCATGCAACTGATGGAAGAAGCAGTAGTGTCCAAAATTATTGTTTAAAGCTGTTCATCTTTCACAACATTTAACATAGAATCATAGAATGGCCTGGGTTGAAAAGGACCTTAAAGATCACCCAGTTTCAACTCCCCTGCTCTGGGCGGGGTTGCCCACCACTAGGGCAGGCTGCCCAGAGCCACATCCAGCCTGGCCTTGAGTGCCTTCAGGGATGGGGCATGCACAGCCTCCCTGGGCAACCTGTTCCAGTGCCTCACCAACCTCTGAGTGAAAAGCTGCCTCCTAACATGTAACCTTAATCTCACATCTTAGTTTAAAACCATTCCCCCTTGACCTATCACTAATATGTATGTCATCTGCAAACTTGTTAGGCTGCATGTAGACCAACGAGGCAGAGTTGTATAGATTTACTGAAAGTTAATTTAAAGAAATTTAAATCAACAAGAGCACAGAGATATTAACTCTACGAAAAGATGAACCACTGATAGACTAATATTTAAAAGGTACATTCAGAAGCAAATATGCTAGTTGAACTTGTTTAATATCCACCTACGTATAGTAATATGTCTTGCATTGTACGATTAAAGAGACCAATACTAAACTTCCCCCAAACAATACCAGTAATATGGCAGGGCTGTTTAGTTGCTTTTTGTTTGTTTGCTTTAAAGTATCCTTGGTGCAAATTAAGTAAGGCATCTGAGGCTCTAAGACAGGAAAAGTAGCCATGTAGAAAACATTGCTCTAGACCCTTTTAGCTCTCCTGGCTAATGCCTCCCAAGTATTCCCCGTTGTAACTGTGCTCTTCTTGCAAATTTTGATGTTGTTAAACTAACAGAAATAAGTGCTACTTAAATGAATTACTTTATATCAGATCCATGACTCAGATTGTAATTTACTTGGAAACTCTTTTTTTTCACAAAGTAACTTGGAAATCATGGTTGCAATTCAACCAATCAATCTACTTTTTCAGTGTACATTCAAAGGATTCTACTGTTGAAGATACATCTGAAATGCAAAAATAAATTTAAACGACAAATTTGGACATTAGTCAAATTTTCCTTTTGTTAATTTTAATACTAGGTAATCTTCACTGAAATTCAGAAGTTTCTTTGTGCAGCTGACTATATACATCTTTCCAAGGAATCCATATATGTTCCTCAGAATATTTAAGGATCCCATTCATCCTTCAATTATTCATAAAGAACGCATGTAGACATATCAACTCCATTTCTGAAGCAAGGTAAATATGATCCAATAAATTACCATGATGAAGCAATTGCAATGCAAGGTGACCCAAGATTAACTGGGTCACATGTACCATTATGGTACATGTCATTACTTGCACTCCTCATACCCAAATCCAAGATATATAATTTCCATTGAAAGCAAAAGGAAAAATTCCAGTTAGAAATCCAAAGGTATTTAGCAGAGAAAAGCTTCCAAACACCTGCCTTTTCTCGCTATTGTAACAAGGAATTTCACAGGGAAACTGTATTGTAACCACCTGAAAAGTAACAATGGATACAGGATGTGATGATGACATTGGTATTTTCACATGATTTTCCAAAACAGGTTTGTCAGAGTGGTGTCCATTTAAAACTGATGTAGAGTATCCATTGTGACATTTCCCTTTTTTGTGCACTTGTTTTAAACCAGGAAATATTTGAAAGTGAGCTACAGAAAATACTCAAATCCTATAACCTTCCTTTAAAAAACATCCCAGCCAAGCAAGCAAAATTAAACCCACAGCCCACATACTATATTCTTCTAAACATTTAAGTAATTGTATTAGAGACTGGAAAGCCAATCAACGAACAAGAGAAAAGTGCTAAGCATGGTGTAAATTCACAATAATGAAAAAGTCACAAAGCATGGATACAATTTCTTCCTCTCCTAGTACTTCCTTCATTCCGGATTTGAACAAAAACTCTTGTGTGTAGAAATACATAAAGCTACTTGAAAAATACTCATTAGATCTTCCCTTCCATCTTCCTCTTTAGGCATACATACTACTGTACTGGTAATCTTTTTCTAGTTAAGACAGCCGGTGTTTTAGCTACTTATCTTTTACTTACCAGATCGGAAGCGCTCATCCCTTGAGTTAGTAGAACGTGATTTCTGCTGTTTAGACACAGCAGCTGTAGCTTGCGAGGTGCCTGGGACTCTGTTCTCTGCTTGCAGGGATGGATCCACACCTGAAATATAGTTTTCCTTCAATATAAATTCAGGTTCTTACATAAAGTATGTGCTCCTCATGTTTAACGTTTTCTACCAGCCCTGACACCTACTTACAAATCCTACTGGAGCCCAAAGTCTGTACCTTTAAAAATCTAATTTTCCATCTACATTTTAAATTCTTTAAACTAAAATCAAATCTGCTGTCAGAGGGCGGTGAAACACTGGAACAGGTTGCTCAGAGAGGTTGCAGATGACCCATCCCTGGAGGTGTTCAAGACCAGGTTAGGTGAGGCCCTGAGCAACCTGATCTAGTGGTTGGCAACCCTGCCCAGAGAGCAGGGGGGTTGGAACTATTTGATCTTAGAAGTCCCTTCCAACCCAAGCCATTCTATGACTCTATGATGAGCATTTCGCCCAATAATTATAATTATACATCATACTTGAGGATACTGAAAATACACAATTACACTGCTCTACCTTTTAGATATAACTTGAACCATTCTGTCAAATTCATTTCAACTTTAAAAACAAGACTGCTAAATTAAGCAAAAACGAGAATGTGCATGTCTGCTTAATCTATACCCATTTAATGGAATAATACCAGAAGAATCACATTTTACAAGAACTCTACAACTCTCTAATAAACATCTCACAAACATTAAGGGCAGAACTATTCTGTCACCTTTGGGTGTCTAAGAAACAACTCCTCTAATCTAGATTGGCTATTCAGTACAAGAACACAGATCTTTCCACCCCCATAAAATGTACACAAAATAAAAAGAACCGAACTGCTCTCTAGTTGTCTTCTCCACACCTGCCTAGAATAGGACTCTATGGGCTGCCTAGGGAAGTGGTTGAGTCAGCATCCCTGGAGGTATTTAAAAGACATTTAGATGTAGAGCTTAGTGATATGTTTAGTGGAGGACTTGTTAGTGTTAGGTCAGAGGTTGGACTCAGTGATCTCGGAGGTCTTTTCCAACCTAGATGATTCTCTGATTCTGTGACTCCAGGTGGATAACCCAGAGCAGCCCTCTAGGCTGGCTGAATTTCAGAAAGGTGAATCTCAGCTTTAGATTCTAGCATAGGAGAAATCAGAAATCAAAGAGGTGGACAGTAACAAATAAATATTCCCTATTACTCCCCATCCACCCAAATAAAGAGACATGCTACTGGCTCCTGGTGCATCTGCAGGGACTACACAAAATTGAATTAGAACAAGGAACTTGCAATTTTATTATCTCTTATATATCTACACACAAGTACAAAACCAAGAACTAAACCCCCTGCAGGTGTTCTGAAGATGCATGTCACACTGAAAGCACTGAGACACCAGAAAGAACATAAAGGAACAAAGAAGTACTGTAGCTTGTGCTGTTTTAAGACTGGTGGATGACAGCCTTCAGAAGTGCAACAGCCACTACAGAACATGTAGAACATCTGTAGCATTATAATGCAGTGGGAATATTTTTTTGTTTGTTTTTTGTGCTAACCCATCATCAATTTTTGATCAATGTGGCTATTTGAATTAGTGTTGCGTTCAATAGCAAACTTTCCTTAAATCATGAAGATTTGTTCCACCAAGTTTACTATGTTTCTAGCCCTTGTACCATACAGGGCTGAGTACTATCTGTCATTCTGGTCTCTGCTTCCCTTGAATAGCTTCTGCCCTCCTGCCTGCTCTCAGTTTTGATAGAACTAGAAGCAGTATTTTCAAAATGTAGCTGTTTACAGATGGTGGCTTTCACTGAAGATGACATTTTAGAAGGATTGCTGCCAGCTTCTTTGGAAGTCAATGCATTACTTTAAAAAGTAAGAAAAGATTCCTCTTTCACTTGGGGGGTTTCTGTTCCCTCCCCTCTCCCGTAAATGCGTACCAAAAAAGAAATCAGCACTCATTAATAAATATAGCAATTATAAGAGATTTTTATCCAGATCTTTCAGTAAGACCTGGTCTTTACATTTGAGGTATAAATTTTCAAACAGTATATACCAGTTGTTTCAGCTGATCAGAAGTAACTTTCAAATACTCTCTTTAAATTTAATATCCACAGGAAAAGCGTTTTGCCATCTTCCTGACCGAAGCAGTTGCTTACAAGAGTTTTCTTAGGTACCTGCTAAGACCACTAGGTAAATGCAGCCTGGAACACTTTCCCCACCCCAACCTGCAGCCAACAGGCAAAACCTCCAGACGTTCAGGATGTCAACCCTGGATTACCCAGGAGTTCTTAGTGGGAAAAAGAATAAAAATGTGTGAGTCTCAGTAATGGAAAAGGAAGTAACATATAATAAACCACACTAACCTAAGTTTTTAGAAGTTAATCCAGCTCCAGAGAAATGCTTGGCTTTTACAATTTACTACTGAAACCAAATAAATTAACCTAATGGAGTTTTCCCACTCTCCAAAAGCAAAACTTTTGAAGTAGGTGACAGATTAACATCAACCACTCTGACAATAGGGGAAATAACATGGATCAGTAAAGAAACTGAAGTGTTCCAATGGAAAACAGCTGAACATGGAGCTGAGTAAGGACACAGCTACTACCCAATACAACGGGTAATGTTCCCTGAAACACTTTAGCAGATTTATTCTACAAACAGAATTGATTCGATTCATCTAATTCTCAAAGAGTGGTTAAAGCATGTAAGAACTGCATTTTACATTTCATTTGAACAAAAGTTTTACATAACCAAAAGTCAGCAGTCCAGTGAGGTTTGTCGCTCTCCAAACAACTTCATATTTCATAAAAAAGATTGAGGCCAGTCACCACCTAAAATCCTGGGCCAAGAAAAGAACAGATGCCAACAGATAATATGATAATGAGGGTGGTGAAAAGGAGGAGAACAAAGAGGAGCAGCTAAACTGGAAGTCTCCCTAAAATAGACTGCTCATCTATGAAACATTCAAAAAACAGCAATTATTCATTAATAAAGTTCCTACCCAACAATGTGCTTAGTTTTGGGTGATCTTATCAGGGGACGTAGAGTGAAGTAGGCAACAAAAGAGGGAGAGAATGATTGTGTGCCATTTTTTTCCTTCAAAGGTAGGTTATTAATTGTTAGTGGGGGGAAGAGACTAATGTCTTATTCAAAACCCCTTGCTTTTTAGCAGGCCTATAGTTCAGTACCCAACATCCCCCACTTGCCTCTCTCCCCAGACACCGAAGATCCCATCAATCCCTGTTTCAGGCTTCTGCAGCTGTACATGTTGCATACACATAATCAAGCAACTAGAGCCTTGGGGTCAGGACCCATCAGACCACAAACTAGCCCCTTTCTCACTCTGTGACACCGGCAAAACTGCCCAGCGCTATCTGGGAACAATGGCACTGCTGCATGTGGTACGGGGCTTTTGTCTTCGAATGTACTTGGAAAAACAGGAGGCTTCAGATGGAACGATGAACTAACAGGAAAAAACCATCAACAGCTGACAAGCTGTATGTGTAATGCTCCAGAGCCATATGCCACCTGAGCAATGCTAAATGCTATGGGGGGGGGGCTGTCAGGGATGAGAAGGGACCCCAAATAAACACAAGAGAATGAACAAAAGCTTACCAACTCCAAAACACAAAATTCTCCTCCTCCAATACTTACAAAACAGATTTTTGTGGATCAGCACTAGGACAATTGTACTGAGATGAAGTGACCAACAAACCTCAGAAGTTCCCTTTAAATTAAGATGGTGCTCAAAATCAGTGGCACGGTTGGAAAACAATGACTGTTTTTCTTCAGCTTAAATCTCTGTTGTTTTTGTGCTTTTTTTTTTTTTTCTTCTCTTTTTTTTCTCCCACAACTACATGCCAGAAAAATCCTGTTTCACAAGCTTGGTGAATTTGCTAATTTATTCTGGTTCTGTGTAAATCACAACCTTAAACTTCAGCAAAAGCAGCTGGATAATTAGGCCAACTCCCTCTATTCACATTGAAGATCTTTACAAACAAAACATTTTAAGAGATATAACTTAATGGAACATGATCCACTATCACTGTAGTTTGTCTGTTTTTAACTTAGCCAAAACTAGCAAAAATAAAATGCCATTTTAATGAGGCCACTAGGTATACACTTATTCCAACTAACTGAACAATTTGACTGTACAGGAAGAGATTAAAGTTAATACTTGAATTAGAATTGTTTTTCCATCTATTAACTCTGAAGAATCAAAGATAACAATGACATCTGTAGCAATTTTATTTCATACAAGTAAAAACTATTTACTGTAACAGCACTGAACAATTTACAGTCGAACAAAGACACTTGGCTAGCCTTGCTCAGGAAGATGCCTAGCTAAACACATCTGTAATCAGATATGCAGAGAGAAAATTTTCAAAAACAAGGCATCAGTAGATATCTCTCATTAAGGTTACAGAGTTTGAGTTTGTGAGCTCTTTAGGGTTAAGTGCAGTTTGTTTGGTTTTTTAATGTTTGAACAGAAATCTCAGCACAATGTAGAAATACCTCACCTGAAATTGCACAGAATAGTGAATAGCAACATGAATACACTTTTTCCTGCACTTTCTCTGAAGTTCTTATCAGTAGGAAAGTCATGTTCTTCAATATATTAATTTCTGAATAAAACAAATGTTGAAGTAATATTTCCATAAATACTGTCTAAAAAGTACACTTGCCTTCCTATAGGAAGGCACCTATAAATCCAGTTGCTCTGGACCATCTACCTTAGACTGCCATAAATATCAGCTAACAGATGGCTTTGATGGAACAAGTACAACTTATGTTCTTAATGATCACAGAAGCACAGAATATCCAAAAGCTGGATCCCACAAAGATCAGAGTCCAAATCCTGTCTCCACACAGGACTACCTAAAAATTAAACTGTATGTCCAAACGATTCTTGAACTCCTGCACGCACACTTATAAGACTTATAAGACTACTATTTTACTAATGCTAGAGAGAAGTGTTTTGTAAACTATTCTGTATGTTAACAAATATAGCTACAAACAAGTTTTTCATACTTAGCCCCATTAACTAGTATGATATGCCTGCACACATCAAAAAAAAAAT